TACTGGTGTTGTTTTGCCATCTGTAGTTTATGATAGAATACAGAACTGTATTTGTAATGAGTTGTCATATTACTTAAACAGTAATCAGAGAAGAAAGGGAGTTCTTACTTTACTCAGAGATCATTGAGAGCATGGGTCACCATGAGGTGTACGGAGAAGTAAAGTACCAATCATCTGATGATCTGAGTAGTAGACTGGAGTCTGGAATGCTACAGCACTGGCAAGATCAGTAAACAATAAGTCCAGTGTAGCTCCAAGACAGTGAGTTGGAGAGTGAATGAGTTGTGTCATTTTCCGCACATTAAAGAAATCTTCAAGTTTCGGCTTTTCACTCAGATAACAGTTGATATCCCCAGTAACTAGGACATGTTCACATTCATGCTGCTTGGGGAGATCCTAAAGTTTCTGCATGAAATGAGTTGGTGAATGTGACAATGGTGTCCATGACACTTTTGGAGGAGCATACACAAGGAATGCAGAACTTGCAAACAAGAAAGGAAATGTATTCAATACTACGAGATAGATGACATTACATCACATAGCTGGACACTGTTCTTGAAACTTGTTGAAACATACACAGCAATACCATGTGTAGTATCTCTTGGATATACTTGATAATCTTGCAGGTCTCTTTCACTGTAATCATTGATGTGTCTTTCTGTGAAACACAAAACATCAAGCACACCAGCAAAGTTACACTGCGAGGAAGTAGGCTTGTTCAGGTGCCCATGTTCATGTTATCACTACCCACTGCGAGGAAGTAGGCTGGTTCAGGGTGCCCATGTTCATGTTACTGGCATGCACTGCGAGGAAGTAGGCTGGTTCAGGGTGCCCCTGTTCATGTTACCGGTACCCACTGTGAGGAAGTAGGCTGGTTCAGGGTGTCCATGTTCATATTACCGGTACCCACTGCGAGGAAGTAGGCTGGTTCGGGTGCCCATGTTCATATTACCGGTACCCACTGCGAGGAAGTAGGCTGGTTCGGGTGCCCATGTTCATGTTACCGGTACCCACTGTGAGGAAGTAGGCTGGTTCGGGTGCCCATGTTCATGTTAGCGGTACCCACTGCTAGGAAGTAGGCTGGTTCGGGTGCCCATGTTCATGTTACCGATACCCACTGTGAGGAAGTAGGCTGGTTCGGGTGCCCATGTTCATGTTACCCACTGTGAGGAAGTAGGCTGGTTCGGGTGCCCAAATTCATGTTACTGGCATGCACTGCGAGGAAGTAGGCTGGTTTGGGTGCCCATGTTCATGTTACTGGCTTGCACTGCGAGGAAGTAGGCTGGTTTGGGTGCCCATGTTCATGTTACCGGTACCCACTGCGAGGAAGTAGGCTGGTTCAGGGTGCCCCTGTTCATGTTATCACTACCCACTGTGAGGAAGTAGGCTGGTTCGGGTGCCCATGTTCATGTTATCACTACCCACTGCGAGGAAGTAGGCTGGTTCGGGTGCCCATGTTCATGTTATCACTACCCACTGTGAGGAAGTAGGCTGGTTCAGGGTGCCCCTGTTCATGTTACCACTACCCACTGTGCGGAAGTAGGCTGGTTCGGGAGCACATGTTCATATTACCGGTACCCACTGCGAGGATGTAGGCTGGTTCGGGTGCCCATGTTCATGTTACCCACTGCGAGGAAGTAGGCTGGTTCGGGTGCCCATGTTCATGTTAGCGGTACCCACTGCGAGGAAGTAGGCTGGTTCGGGTGCCCATGTTCATATTACCGGTACCCACTGCGAGGAAGTAGGCTGGTTCGGGTGCCCATGTTCATGTTAGCGGTACCCACTGTGAGGAAGTAGGCTGGTTCGGGTGCCCATGTTCATATTACCGGTACCCACTGCGAGGATGTAGGCTGGTTCGGGTGCCCATGTTCATGTTACCCACTGCGAGGAAGTAGGCTGGTTCGGGTGCCCATGTTCATGTTAGCGGTACCCACTGCGAGGAAGTAGGCTGGTTCGGGTGCCCATGTTCATATTACCGGTACCCACTGCGAGGAAGTAGGCTGGTTCGGGTGCCCATGTTCATGTTAGCGGTACCCACTGTGAGGAAGTAGGCTGGTTCGGGTGCCCATGTTCATATTACCGGTACCCACTGCGAGGAAGTAGGCTGGTTCGGGTGCCCATGTTCATGTTAGCGGTACCCACTGTGAGGAAGTAGGCTGGTTCGGGTGCCCTTGTTCATGTTAGCGGTACCCACTGCGAGGAAGTAGGCTGGTTCGGGTGCCCATGTTCATATTACCGGTACCCACTGCGAGGAAGTAGGCTGGTTCGGGTGCCCATGTTCATGTTACTGGCATGCACTGTGAGGAAGTAGGCTGATTCGGGTGCCCATGTTCATGTTACCCACTGCGAGGAAGTAGGCTGGTTCGGGTGCCAATGTTCATATTACCGGTACCCACTGCGAGGAAGTAGGCTGGTTTGGGTGCCCATGTTCATGTTACCGATACCCACTGTGAGGAAGTAGGCTGGTTCGGGTGCCCATGTTCATGTTAGCGGTACCCACTGCTAGGAAGTAGGCGGGTTCGGGTGCCCATGTTCATGTTACCCACTGCTAGGAAGTAGGCTGGTTCGGATGCCCATGTTCATGTTATCACTACCCACTGCGAGGAAGTAGGCTGGTTCGGGTGCCCATGTTCATGTAATCACTACCCACTGTGAGGAAGTAGGCTGGTTCAGGGTGCCCCTGTTCATGTTACCACTACCCACTGCGCAGATGTAGGCTGGTTCGGGAGCCCATGTTCATATTACCGGTACCCACTGCGAGGATGTAGGCTGGTTCGGGTGCCCATGTTCATGTTACCCACTGCTAGGAAGTAGGCTGGTTCGGGTGCCCATGTTCATGTTAGCGGTACCCACTGCGAGGAAGTAGGCTGGTTCGGGTGCCCATGTTCATATTACCGGTACCCACTGCGAGGAAGTAGGCTGGTTCGGGTGCCCATGTTCATGTTACTGGCATGCACTGTGAGGAATTAGGCTGATTCGGGTGCCCATGTTCATGTTACTGGCATGCACTGTGAGGAAGTAGGCTGGTTCGGGTGCCCATGTTCATGTTACCGATACCCACTGTGAGGAAGTAGGCTGGTTCGGGTGCCCATGTTCATGTTACCCACTGCTAGGAAGTAGGCTGGTTCCGGTGCCCATGTTCATATTACCGATACCCACTGCGAGGAAGTAGGCTGGTTCGGGTGCCCATGTTCATGTTACCCACTGCTAGGAAGTAGGCTGGTTCAGGTGCCCATGTTCATATTACCGGTACCCACTGCGAGGAAGTAGGCTGGTTCGGGTGCCCATGTTCATGTTACTGGCATGCACTGTGAGGAAGTAGGCTGATTCGGGTGCCCATGTTCATGTTACTGGCATGCACTGTGAGGAAGTAGGCTGGTTCGGGTGCCCATGTTCATGTTACCCACTGCGAGGAAGTAGGCTGGTTCGGGTGTCCATGTTCATATTACCGGTACCCACTGCGAGGAAGTAGGCTGGTTCGGGTGCCCATGTTCATGTTACCGATACCCACTGTGAGGAAGTAGGCTGGTTCGGGTGCCCATGTTCATGTTACCCACTGCTAGGAAGTAGGCTGGTTCGGGAGCCCATGTTCATGTTACCCACTGCTAGGAAGTAGGCTGGTTCGGGTGCCCATGTTCATGTTACCCACTGCTAGGAAGTAGGCTGGTTCGGGTGCCCATGTTCATGTAACCCACTGTGAGGAAGTAGGCTGGTTCGGGTGCCCATGTTCATGTTAGCGGTACCCACTGCTAGGAAGTAGGCTGGTTCGGGTGCCCATGTTCATGTTAGCGGTACCCACTGCGAGGAAGTAGGCTGGTTCGGGTGCCCATGTTCATATTACCGGTACCCACTGCGATGAAGTAGGCTGGTTCAGGGTGCCCATGTTCATGTTACTGGCATGCACTGTGAGGAAGTAGGCTGATTCGGGTGCCCATGTTCATGTTACTGGCATGCACTGTGAGGAAGTAGGCTGATTCGGGTGCCCATGTTCATGTTACCGATACCCACTGTGAGGAAGTAGGCTGGTTCGGGTGCCCATGTTCATGTTAGCGGTACCCACTGCTAGGAAGTAGGCTGGTTCGGGTGCCCATGTTCATGTTATCACTACCTACTGCGAGGAAGTAGGCTGGTTCGGGTGCCCATGTACATGTTACCACCATGAACTGTGATGAAGTGGGCTGATTCAGGTGCCACACGTAAATTGTGCTTTCTTCACCATATACCTTGTCCAAGTTCCTTTGTCAAGTGGTATACATCTAAATTAGGTAATTATGGTAACGGTTCTCAGACAACCCTGCGTAGATATTATTTTTGTAGAATAGGTAAACGGTTCCCAAGTTATGCTCTTGCTAAGGAAACATTCGTAAAAACTCCCAAACTATCAAAAGGCACCAGTTTACCACTAGACCTATTTATATGCCAAGTTTGGAGGAAATATTGCACGTTTTTCAAGATCTGTGCCAAGTTTGGTGATTTTCAGTGTAAGTCAAAGTCGTTGCCAGGGAAACTCAAAAAATATTTATTTTTTTAAATCCCAAAGTATCAAAAGGCACCAGTTTTCCACTAGACCTATTTATGTGCCAAGTTTGGTGAAGAAATATTATACAGTTTTCAAGATCTGCTCCTGAAACGAGAACTACCGCCATTTTCAGTCCAAGTCAGCATGGAAATTGGCACTAGTCATGTAGTCCTTGCAAAACTGGCCAATAAAGGTATCGTAAGGACCAGTAGAAAGGGTTTTGCTATATGTTATCATTATAAGGACTAATGGACTAAACATGTTTCTATCCCTGCAAGTGAAATAATCATTGTAATAAGCGCTTTCAAATTGAAATTGGGGGTGTCACAAAATCAAACAAATTAAAAATATTTTCAAACCTAAATGAAACTTAATGAAAAGTGTTTTCAATTCTGGTTAGTTATTGGTCTAGAAAAGAGTCAAGGATGCTTATTGGAATACAGTATAATATATTCTGCTTGAAACAACATAACAATGAAACTGTCGTCATTAATTTATTCTTCATGTAAAATATATATTATTTACAAAACAGAATTTCCATTCATTCAATATGAACATTCATGCAGTCAGATCTGACAGGCACACAGTCTTGTACCCTGAGTACAGGCATAACATGAACAGTGACCAGAAATTGTAATGGACATGATTGTTATGTACAACATGATAAACTAAATACAGAAGTTGGAATGCAAATCATCAATGCCAACTCAAGCAAACTGAAAGTACTGTTGATCTTTCCAATAATATTCTTAAGAGAACACCAACTGCTAAAGCAGGTATCTGAACATAGTTAATCAAAAGTAATTCAACACATCACATTTTTTTCTACTTTTCGATCCCACATTTACAGTATAGGTCAATTGCACTTATAGGTCACTTGCAGGTGACTGGGTTTTCCGACCAAGCAAAATATCCAACATACATTAATCACAGCCATAACTTCAATATTTGTACAAATCTGCCAACAAGATTATTACCTTAACTGTTGACAAACTAATATCAGCGACAGTCCAAAGAGCTGACAAAACAGAAAATACTGTTGACATGTCACACTCCTCATAACCAGTGTAGCAGGAAAACAAGAAGAAAAGAACACATTCCCAGTTGTTCCTAATCAAATTCCAGTACACATTTCATGTTGTCTGGTATCAACTCAACATTGTAATACACAATATGAATAGTAAACATATTTTTGAGTCAATTAGAAAGTTAGCTCCCAGCTCCAGTCACAACTTCAATCTTGTCCATAGCGTATATTTGCTGTCACCGTACTGTCTCACTGGCCAATGTTTCAAACACTAATCTTTGTGCAAAGTTACTCCAATATAGCACCCAACTTGCTTCAAACAGTATCACCGACGGTATTTATCATACCTGTCCCTGGAATTTGCACGATGGCCATTCCGATGTTTCCGAGAACGATGTCTGTCTGGGCTGTATCCCCTGTCTTTCTCTTTGTAATATTTTTTTAGACTTGATTTGGAGTAATGCTCTTCATGGGACCGACTTTGAGATCTAGAACGTGATCTTCGCTTTCGCTTGTGGGAGTGCTTTTCTTTATATGTGTACCTGATGGGTGATAACCGCCTTTCTTTCTTATATTTCCTGGAGGGGCTTCGCATTTTCTTCCGCGATACTGGACTCCTGCTTGTGCTTCTACTTGATGAGGTTCTAGAGGATCTGCAATTACAATTGTAATAACAAAATAACCACCCGATGTCTGACAACAATCTGTGCAAAATTGGATTGTAACTTACTTATTTACTATGAAGTGTGTGTAAGTTTAAATTTGGTTCTATTACCTTGAGCGTGAATGACTTGGACTTCTATCTGAGCGGCTATGATCACTACCAGAGTGGCCCCGCTTTTTGGAATTGTGATTGCGGCTTCCATGACTAAAATAGATAAGGGCTTTATGTAAGAGAAGCTTCTATATTTATTTCGATAAACAAGTTCTTCAATGAAGTGAGTGCAATAAATAACAGTGCTGAGTGGCAACAGAGCTTATTGATGTTCTTTTCATTCAGGAACACAGAGAGGGAAAGAATTGGATTTCACGCTGTCTAAAATATTACTGCAATCTGTCAAGGAAATACACTTAAGGAAGCTGGGTGATCTTGTTGATAAACCTACAAATGAGTGCATGAGTGTGTGTGGGTGTCAGTGTGCGTGCGCAAATTCCTCATTCAGCAATATTCCAGCTACATAACAGCAGTTTGCAAATAACCCAATCTGGACCAGTGGGTGGGCAAGTGACATGCTTTTGTTTACACCTAAGTCAGCAATATTCCAGCTCTTTCCAAACAGCCAGTACATAATCTAGTGCATAATCTAGTCCAGCACAGTGGTATGATGAGGATTGATCCATATCGTAACTCCTAAGGAGCTCTTGTTTAGCCAATGGTTGACAGCACAAGAAAGGGCCTTCAATCAGTAACGCTATTCCATTCAGACCTCACTTTTTGACAAGCATGTGGCACAGGGGGCCTTGTCTGCAAAGGATTCCACAGGGGGATCATTTGAACTGAACCCACCTTCCATCAGAATGATGATCTTCTTCAAGCTTGACCTTCCTCATCCCAGGCAATATGGACGGATTTGGACTGACATTTTTTGGCGAGTCTGAAAGAGATGGTGTTCACAATAAAAATAATATTTTCAGTACAAATAGTTTTTTCTCAGAAAGCATAAGAAACCAAAGGATGTTAGATGTTATTTTCAACACTTCTTAAAGGAATATATATTTTCTAATTTTTGTTTGATAACCTAAAAATACATAGTTGTTAAAACTTACTCTGTCTGGATGTGGAGTTGGGAGTGCCATACTCAGATGAAAGTCCTTTGGCTTTGAGTTTTGCTTCAACCTGAATCTTCTTGGCCTTTTCCACTATCTTTTCCAGTTCATCACAGTTCGGCTAAAAGTATATAAAATGAAACATGACACACCACAACATAGAAAACAATCAAAAGGACATCAGATGAACTGACTTGGACAATGTTAAAGAGATGCCAATAAACGTGCTTTCAGCAAACTTCAGGCAATATATACATACCTTTGGTCTACTGTAAAGATTCAGCAATGCTATACATATATCTCGTATCTCATCTTCCTCCACTTCAAACAAGTAATACCAAGGAGGGCTGTCAGGTAGGGGAACCTAAAAAACAAATTGTTCATGTGAGGTGAGGTGAGGCGAAATCGGACTTAACGTTGCATCCAACATTATTGCACTTATGTAGCGGTGTGTGTGTGTGTGTGTGTGTGTGTGTGTGTGTGTGTGTGTGTGTGTGTGTGTGTGTGTGTGTGTGTGTGTGTGTGTGTGTGTGTGTTCTAGTCCAGACTAATGCCAATTTTATGGTGCTAGCCCACTGAGATATCAAGCCATAGTTTAACATGAATACCGACTCCGAGCTGACCTGTCCTTGTATTAGCCCATTAATGCCGACCGCCAGGCAGGCTAACACCAAGTGCCATCTTTAAACATCTTTTGGTATGATGCGTCCGGGGATCGAACCCCGCACCTTCCACTCTCCGGGCAGCCGCTCAACCACAAAGACCATGGAGGCAGTCGAATACATGAATCTATAGTATGAAAATTGTCTTCAGTAGGTTCTACGTCATGATAAATGTGTCATATTAATTCTGCTTGGGGTGATGGTTTGGTGTCATTGCTGTCATGTAAAAAGCATACAAGGCTATAATTTGCAAAATACACGGAACACAATTTGCAGTGACTTTTTACAAGACATGTCAACATAGGACACTTTCAATGTCAAACGTGTAATATCAGAACATATGCTATACTTTTTTACATTCCAGTTGCTGTCCTGCTAATATTCTCTCAAAAATGTCTTGCATCAAGGAAAGGTCCACTTGCACTGCAAAAGTTTCTCACCTGTAGCTGTCTGGCTGCTAGGAAAATGCAGGCACAAGCAATAGTCTCAGGCTGGTACTTCATAAACACATTTGTCCGAAAACTGTCATTCATGTAGTTCCTTAAACAGTAATTTGACATTGCATTTCCTTCATAATCAACAGAACAAAAGGATCTAGGACAAAACATTGTATAACGTTTACTTTGATTGATCTGTCATAACATGGAAAAGGGATATTATTTGTTTTACCCAATGAAATATGTTCAACAGTGTAGTTTGGTGAAGATACAAATTCATCCTATGTGTTTCTGTTGCATGTATGACAGCTCTCAAATATCTTGGCGACTGTCAACACAAAGTGTTCTCTTTCTGCAATCAAAATTCATTGGTCTTACCTCAAGTTTCTGAAACTTGACAAAGTTACATGTTGAAATGAGTAAGATTTCATGATACAAAATTGCACCCTTTGTAACAACACACCATCTCCACAATGTACCCAAGCCACCATTCTCTCAATATCCTGGTCAATGTCACTGAATAACTGCACGTTCTGTGCTTCTCTCGTGGGCTATGTCCTAGCATGTGTGTGCATGCCACAATTACCACAACAAGTCCAGTTACCACCTCTCACGGCATGCTGCTATGCCCCAGCAAACCAGACTTCTAACTGGAGGCCACACAGGCTGCTGCCAGCCTTACACATCAGTTCTCCCTGGCTTCCCTCAAGGTCCAAGACAAGACATCTGAAAGAGTCTCACATACTAGACACTGTAAATAAGTTCTCACAGCCTCAAGTGGACACTTAATTCTTACTGTCTAAATGAGTATGCCATCTTTACTTTAGACTTTGCAAATGCAATGGCAATTATTTTAACATTTTTTAGCCACACATATCCCCACACACTGGTGTGAATAAGAACCACAATGCTGTCAGGTCTTGATCTTTCATTTGGCGTTTTAACACAATCACAGTCCTTGTAGAAGCTTGAGTAAAAACTTGGCCGAGGTCCATCGTTGCTTGCGACTGGGAGAGGCAGGTGGGTGAAGTTGTGTTGCTTGCATTGGGTGCAATAACGTCACTCATTCATTGGCTGGGTGAGGCAATTCAACACTTCTACCCACCTATGCTGGGGTAGGCAAAAAGGAAAAGAATAATATGTTAATGCCTGTTTCCAAACCCTTGTTTGATTAGAGCAGTCAGAGCATGGGATACAAGACAAAGAAAACAACTTACCAGGGATGAATTTGTATCGTTCACGAAACAAAACTGCAATGTTATAATGTCCTGTGCAAACGGAAAGCGCCTCATATATTGACGAGACAATGCAACTAGGCATTACTATGTATGAAAATACTTACCATGCACACTGCACCAGGCGCCGGTTGTTTGCACTATCAAGCACTTGCAGATACATCACAATGATCTAGAAATATAAGGAACCACATTAAAAAATGATAACACAAAAATTGTTCCAAATCAAGAAGGTTACGTTATGTCGGAATCCAGATGTAAAAACCCTACAATTTTTTCAAGAAAAAGTATTTGTATCTCTTTTCCTGATGTTTTACGCATCATGAGCGTTAATCAAGCTATACAATTCAATATATACAATTTCAAGCTGTAAAAGATCAAACAAGTGGTTGATATCATAGTAAAGTCCCAACCCATCAGTGTACATTGACTGAGCCTGACCTTTACAACAATTGTGCTTGGGTCCTACTTTCCCTGCTTATTCAAATTATTGAACACTTTCTACATCCCCACTGTGACATGATGATTCAACTTACTTTGTGAGGGTGTTTAACATGTACACAGAAACCGAGCTCCTTGAGGACACGTCTTTCTGCCTTGATGACTTGGTTCTTTATGTTGATGTAGTTCTGGTCAAGGATAAGGGGCTGGATGGTCCTGGAACAAATCGCACATCTCACACACTGACCAGACAGACAGCAGTCGGTCAGTTACATATCACTGCCTGCACAGTTAGGTCAAATAGCCAGTGGTCTCAGCAGACTCATCACTTATCACAATATTAAGCATCTTACTTACTCTTTCGTATACAATCTCACATACATGAAAACTATTGACTGAATAATTTGAGAGACATGTTCCACTCAGCAATCACAGAGTAACATCAATCACAAGGCTAATTACGGACGCTATGTCAGGTGTTGTCTGTCGATGACTTTGTGGAACAAAGCCCAGATCTGTAAAAGATTGGTAAAAGATATAGCGAATACATGTTACAAGATGTGTAAATACACTACACCTTACAAAACCATAGGTTCTATTCATTGAACTTCAAAGTCAATGAATTATTCAAAGCATTTGAGGAATGCCTAATCTCTTACTGCAAATGTTAATTAGGTAGGTGGAAAGAGCAAAAGAAAACTCAAGTTTGGAAACAATCAAGTATCAAGGCATGGCCAGCATGAATCAGGCAATAACAAGGTAAGACTTTGTTTGGAGATACTTGTCACAGGCAGCTGGTTCCTCTATAACAGTTTAATATTGAAACAAGCCAACCAACTCATCCCAAGAGTACAGTTCAGAAAGGACTAATGACAATTCCTTGCGGAGAACAGTGTTTGATACTGACCAAAAAATCTACTAGACTCGATCTATCGCTGATTTCAAAAGTCGTCCAAACTTAAATTACCTTTTTAGTACCCCAAATAACACTAGACCACCATTTATTAAATGAACTTGTCCTTAAAAAATATGCCAGACTCGGGCCAACGTTAAGGTCAAGCACTGACATACTACTTGGAATATTCGGTACATGGTAACTCTGTAGCAGATCACTATGGACATGGGGAAATTACTTTCGGACAGTGTAGAATCATAAAATATTTTTCTCATACACATAGGGAGAGCATTATCAGCATTTTGACTTTGCATTTATGAGGAATTTTCAGCTGCGTGGGTTAACTCAACTATACCTTATGTGGTCTAGTGGATACATACCCAGAATTGCATATGATAATTTATTGAGTTAGTGAAACTTGTGCAATGCCTGTCAGCAATTATCAAGCTTTATCACAATGGCCTGAAAATAATACGAGTCCGTAAAAAGCAAACCGGTATTTGAAAACATGTGCATCATGACATGACGACATGCTAGCTGTCCAAGCCTCTCCAGAGAATCCGAACACAGGGTAGTAAATGTCTTTGAACTGCAATAATACCCATAACTTCTATATGTTTTCATAAGAACGATAGACAGCAAATTGTTTATATTATAAGCAAAACTCACTTGTTTGATAACAACACAAATAAAAATAGTCTTTCACACATCTCTAAAGTTCTATCAACAAGAGAATATTTCAGTGACAAATTCTGATCAGTATTTAACATTCAAGACCCTCAGGAGATTTTACAGAGCTTCTATATCAGATTGACCAGAGTAGCCTCCCTTGAATGATTCTGTTGATACAGTGCATGTAGGACAGTTACAGAGAAGGTTTAAAATATTGATAATTTACATGTTGACTTATTCACAAGCAATCATAACACTACAAATCATGTTTCTCAGAAGCAGAATCAAAGGGACCCCAACTGAAGGTTAAATAATAACTTATATCACCATATGGATGAGGCCAAGGAAGTGGAACATGCCATTAATAAGCAGCCTTATGAAGTGATAATCTCCACCATATTATTGTAATTTATCTGAAATTTCTTGTTTTGTAACATGTAAAATAGGGATTTACCGCACAAAATTTCACCCATATTACCAGTGATAGTCTTACAATGAGAAGATAAAGCAAAACCCTAAAAGGTCCTTATGCTATCTTAACTATTGGTCAGTTTGGCAAGGACTATAGGACCCAGTGCCAATTTCTAACACTGATTACTATAATGGTAAGAAATTGACGTTCAAACCGTCAATAGGCAAAAAATTCTGAGCATGTGCAATGACATAAGAACAGAATCTAGTGAAGCGTGCCACGTCACCAGCTTGGGAAACAACATTCATGCCTTGGATCTCCAAAAAGTATTACTGGGTGTCCCATAGTCCCAAAATCAACAGACCCAGGAATATCATGACTTTAGTTATAACCAGAGCTCCAGACAAGCAGCATAATTGTGTGAATAGCGCAAATAAATCACCATCACCCAATTAATTGATGATAATTACACAATGTATCCTAATCAACTTGCATACCTACATTTCTTTAAAGATCTTTATTTACTATTTGAATACAGACATCACACATTCATACATAGCTTATTGTTAATTAGACATACATTGCTTTCAGTTTATGCGACATGCTCCACACTTTTGGCAGCACAATCCGATATAAATTCGTTTTAAGGAGAAATATTCTTTAAAAATGTCTCCTCATTGATGTAAAAATCTTTGACACTGCATCCAAGGGAGCAAAAACACATTGAATACCCAAAGAAAATTACCAATACCAAATGTGAATGAAAACATTTGAGCAAAATTTTCTGGCAACTGTTTTAATAGCTGACAAAGCATGAAAATAAATCCTCAATAGAACCACGGAATTTACTTCACTGACAAGTGTTTTACTTGCTTGAATTTACCAACTAAAATCCTTAAGTTTCAACTCTCAGGTTGGTCACAAATATCTATTTACTATCTAACAATAGCAAGCCAAATGTGTCTTAACACAAGTCTTTCCAATTAACCATTCCATTTCATGAAATTGTCCATGAAGTGTGTTACTACATGACAGCAACCTCTAAATAATCAGGCCTGGAACAGACAAGTGATTGCAATTGCAACAAGCTCCCCCGTCAGGGAACGCCATCAACCAAAGCATCGAGTCTGGTCACCCAATCAAATAAATAGCAGATTTCAACCGGCATCAGTTGCTGGTACCAAGTCAAAACCTGGCATCACCACAGATCAAGATCTGGAAGATATTTCAAATTAGGTGCCAAGTATTTGTCCCTTACAAGTACCTAAAGGCATGCAGAGATGATATAATCACATGTACCATTAACCAGACTGTTGTTTTCATATCAACCTGTCAACCCGGACAGTGAAACAAACTATCCGATTTACCATGATTTCCAAATCTTGCGAAATTTGGACATGCAACTTCTGAAATGAAGTGAATGCATTCTGTTTGTTTTAACAGGAAACCCAAACAAGATAATATACTGCAAACTTTGACAGAACATATCAAGTCGAGCCTGTGATGCAGATGCCTAGGCATTGTCATGCATTACTTCGGAACTGACTACAAGCTGAGCTCTAAAGTGTGTTCTTTAAAAAGAAAGAGCTTTTGCATAAATCCCTGTTTCCCTACAGTGCCTCAGTGCCTAAGCCCACATCAAAATGAACCAGACATGGCATCTTGTAAAAGGTGCTTGAAGAATAGTCTCCCTTTGATTGCTTGTGGTCTCCATTTCTTCATGGGACACATCAGTGTCGTCATATCAAAGTCACAGCAAGCCAGACACTGATGAAAGACCTGTTCTGTTGTTTGGCTTCATGCTTCCTTTGATTGTTTTTCCCTTTTTCAAGTGATTTCTTTGCTGATGCTAGATCCTCTTCTCATTCATCAAAATAGGCAAATGCTATTACACAGAATGACATTATGAACATAGCAACTTGTATTCATATTAATAAGCAAGTGTAGAACTGTTGAAACATTTCATAATCAAATCTGGAATAACAATAAAATAACATGTCAATTTAGGAATGTGAAAATCAACATGATCAAAACTTATTATTTTACTTACTTGCTATTGTACTAGCACATGAATGAAACAAAAACTTTATTTGTGAAAGTTCACATCTACAATTTAACCTTCCCATTACATTTTTGGTAATTATGTGACAATGTCTACAACTAACTAACAATATTTGCCACAAGTATCACCTCATCTTAACTTGCTGAGACCACTGGTAATAACATGACCATACAAACCAGGTTTACATTAAGTGGCTGGGACGTTGTCAGGTGAGTCACATGAGAGGCTCGTGTGATCACCAGATTGTTCCACAAACCATTCACGAAGGCTTCCATCAACTGTGCAGGCAGTGAAAGAAAAAATAATACAAGTTAATAAAATAATTCTTCACCATAAATGAAAAGTTCAAGATTTGCAAAAGTTGTGAACACATGTCAAATCTTTGGCTAAGACAAAGGATATTAACAGATATGAATTGATTATTTCTTGCTTCAGCTCACAAAAAGGTGTTTGGTTAAAATCTTGAGATCTAACATTTCACAGGAAATTGTAATTACACCAAACAAATTAAAATCTTTTAAGTACTGTGTATTTTTATGCTATCATGAAAGCTTTGTCCAAACACTCACATACATATATACTGTTCATGAAGCACATGAGAAATTAACCTTTCAGCAATAAGTCAGTGATTTTACTCAAGAAAAATTGTCACTAGGACATTTCATGATTTCAGCAAATTCTGTAAGACATTCTTCTATATCACTACCAAAATTTAAAAATATCTTTGGGACTTTTAAGGACAATCAATGTCGAAGACATGTGAAAAAATGAACCATTCTGAAACCCTAAGTGTCAAACAAAACAATTACATAATGAATAAATTAAGTAAGTGGTGCAGAGACTGTAATAATAGATTTAAAAGAATTCAAAACAAATAACATTAGCATCGCTCTGATGTGGACACTTATTCTATCCTAAACAATTTTACATCTCAGTCACTTAACTTATGAAAAGATAAGCCATGAATGGCTGACAAACAACCGTCCACCAATCACCAGTTCAAACTATTGTATTCACTATTGTGGACCTAGAATCTCATCCAGAACAATTGCAAATGTGTCTTTTGAGACACAAAACACAGATGTCGTACGGTCTGCCCAAACCTCCTCAGTCAACAAGCCTGAAATTGTCTCTTGATATCACTTCCATTTGATTGTGGTGACATAATCAATAAAAAAAGCTGAGTGAGAGTGAACAACAGCGAAAAACAAATTACTTGACTCAAGTTTCGGACTTGTTGAAGTCACAGACTGTCTTACCAAAAGATTTGAAATAAAGGGGGAATCTCAACCTCACAAACAAGAACTAAACCAAATTACCCAATAAATCCTGATTTTCATTACAAGCAAAATTAAAATCTATCCCCAAGATGTCCTGTAAAATGAACCAGTACAGAAACATTAGAATCCCTGTACAAGATCACATGTTGGTACGTACCTGCCACTTCGAACTTGTTTGATGTGATGGAAAACGTTGATCACATCTCTAATTCTCCGAGGGGACTCTTCAATTTTGGATGCCAGGTTGACACATGCCATTGCTACAACCTGGAGAAAATTAATACAATGAGTACTCATTCAAACAGCTATGATCACAAAATACCTCCATCTGATGGACACCGTGCACTTGGAATGTTGAGGTTGTATTCATTTTATGAAATCATTCAACCCCCTGGGGACAATAATAACATATATTCTGTTTGAAAAAAATAATATAAATCACAGACAGGTACATCGACACTGACAATATTGAGTACTTTTTCAAGATTTTCAAGGAACGTGAATAGTCTTAGAAGTCTCTTACCTCCATGTTGTGTTTTACGAATGATTTCGAATAATAAAATCGTTGAAAGAGAACTTGACCAGTAGCCATGGCGACCTACAACAAAAACAAACATTTTCAAATATCAACATCACCAAATTATACATGAAATTGTCAATGATCAACAACAGCGTTTCGAACATTTGAAAGACAAAATGGCCGCCATGACTAACCTGTGGAAGTTTGAGCAGGATCCCCGACGTCTGAATTAGCTCACAGCCCAATATTCGGAGATCTGTTTCAGTTTCAAAATCAAGACCATCTTGCATGGAGGGTGTTTCTGACAGTTTCTCGCTCTGTACAAGAACATTATCTAAAGTTAAAATAACTTTACTGAAGTCACGAACAGTCAAAGGATTCACCACGCTGTCCGCCATGTTTCTTCGTGATGGTGAAGCACTACATACTTCCGCAGATTTTTCACTTTGACATGGTTAGGCGAATTTACAGTATCGGGGATGGTAAGAGGGCAGGGTAGAGCGACAAAGTTATTTTATGCCGATGGTTGTCATTGTTGGTTTATGATATCTATCATTCCCAATTAAATCCACAAATACTTTTGTACTATATTCGTACGCGAAATGATCATTTTTGTGAAGAGGGTAAACAGTCACGGACAAACTGAAACCGGTTTGAGAAACAGGGTTAGCAATAACCTACCACACCTAAAGTGTGTAATAGAATAGTCGAAAAAGACCACTGGAATGGTTTATTATTCTACAGAGGGTAATAGAAATGCATTATTCGCAACTGGTTTCAGTGCCAATTTTCCAGTTTCAAAATCAAACACAGCTCATTTCCTGTTTTATGGTGTCAACGTGTATTATGATATATGGCTGCACATGTAATGGTCTATTATTGATGTGTCAACCACAATGATCATTTAGGTCACTGACAACGTTAGCGAAAGACACCACTGTTCAATTGATTGAAATATTTTGGCGTTCTCCAGCAAACATGGATACCGATGCATGGATTTGTGGTATTTGTTTATGTTTATGGTGTATAACATTTGGAAATGGGATTCCACTAAACCCACCAAAAGTTAAAAATGTGGCAGACGATACAAAGGCAATTGATGATGCAATTGATTCAGACAATCTGAGACCGCTGGAAAACGACCAGAATAAGAATAACGTTTTAAAGTTTGAACCTTTGAAAGACATAAGGAAAGATGAGAATCTTTCCTTGGATAAATTGAAACCAGTAGATCATATCGATGCGTTAAAGATGGAACACGATGGACATATCAATAAGGAGTATCATAAAGAACTATTTCTGGGCAATCACGAGCAGTTTGAAAAGGATGGAGAAGACTCCACAGCGAAACTGTTGGATATCTTCTTCAGGTAACAAACCTTACCTCTATAAAAAAAAGTTGGTTGCCATTAGAGTAGGTCTTTCTGTAGGATGCTTTATTTTGAGTGTTATTGTTGTAGTAATTGTAAAAATAATTGATTCATCTAGCATCTTGTTTCAATCGGAAGGTGCTCAACAGAGCTGACATGTCATATTAAGTTATGCCATGATTATTCCTTGTAAGTGTGTTTCTGGTTTAACACCACACTCCACAATATTCCAGCTGGTCCAGACAACCCAATGATTGCTTAAAATGAGCAATGATATACACAGTCAGGGTAAGTTGACATGCCATCTACCAAGCCAACGAGTCTTACTACGGATGCTTTTATTCATCTTTACAACCAGCATATGATTCTGGGGACCACTAATAATCTGGATTCTCCATGCGGCCCTTCCGAGTAAACTTCCACCGCATTGCTGGTAGAAGTATGACATTTCCTCTGTTCAGAGTATTACCCATAATGGCGAAGCTTTCTCTTCCAGGCACCATCTTTGTGCTTGTACTAATATCAGGACTCTCCTTCACTTGAACGTTATAGGAGATGAAGTAACACATCACGGAAATGATATTTTGGATATATATGCATTGTCCATATTTATGTAAATATTGTTAAAGTCAGTGTTCCAAATTAAGCATAAAATTGAAAGCCAAGGAGTCCTTACAATTTTAAATACCTCTGATAATAAGAAAATATGAGCTTAATCCTAACATACCCAGTATTGAGCAAAATAACAACTCATAAGGTTGTCTCCCAAAACAACTACATGCCACAATTACTACACTACACAACAAACGCAAATTGTCTACTGATGGAGCTGAATAGTCCAGGAGTAGGGATTAGATGGAGAGAAACAAGCCGAGAGAGATTAAGCTGAGAAGGATCATGTTAACTAGAAGCTGGTTTGTTCTGACAAGTATATTCATATATTGCAACAACAATATGATATTGCTTAGAATATCTTTGAAAAAGAATACAAATATACATGAATGTGTATTTGATATTAGAGGTTAAATGAGGTGAGTTACCCAATTTTAAAGTAAGTAAAACAAATTCAAAAGTTTGTGAGTGAGTTTGATTTAAGCCGCTTTTAGCAATATTCCAGCAATATCACAACTAATCATTGTACAAATACAGTGCAATGAACTTGTTATCAGTGTTGGAACTAGGCATCCTTAATATTTTCTCCTAAAGTATTCAAATATTGGGACCCCAAACATTTTAGCTTTTGACATAACGGTTATGACAAGGGTGCCTGTCTTTCATTATTTAAAAAAAAGTAAAATAAAAAGTTATCATTCCATAAATTGTATCTACTTTGTCATCCATTAACTTCTAAGAAATGCCTATCAAACTGAGAATAATTCATAGATAAAAGAATGGGTTTTTTTGTTGGGTCTGTTAACCAACAAGAAAAAAACCCATACAGGCTGAAATAAACTAAATTTGCAAAAATCACATTGTTTTTGCTGATAGTAAACTTAGTTGTCCTGAAACATTGTTTATGTTGTGACACATATTGCGCAATGCTTGTGTTGCAACATGGCCAAAAGCACATGGATACCACTTGCCGCTATCACTCCATGCTACATCTTCCCCATGAAGATCCGGGTTAGAATAGGTCTTCAACAACCAATGCTTGCCATAAAAGGCGACTATGCTTGTTGTGAGAAGCGAGTATCAGGAAGGGCTTGCTGACTTGGTTCATGCATGTCATCGTATCATACTTGCTTATGGCGTCAATCACACTGGATTTTCCGGTCCAGACTCGATTATTTACAGACCACCATCATTCAGCTGGATAATTGCTGAGTGCGGCGTTAAACATCTCTAATAATTATATGCAAGCTTTGATTGTCATTTGAGGGATTAATGAAGGATTCTAAACCAAAAGCACCTGGCAGGCAAATAAAAGCCCTTGATTGGTCCAAACACATATACTGCTCAAAATAAATTTAAGAATATATTAACTGTAGTAATGTGAAAGAATCAGGGGTTCCTTAATTTCTTTTGAGTAGTATATATTCCCTGTTGATGGGAACGTAAGACCTGCAAATATATGTACATCCATTATACGTCTGAAAGAAAAACGTTATGGCACAATGGTGGTATTTACAGAGTCAACATTGCCATCTCACAAGTGTTATTTAGTATGTCTCTCGTGTCAAGTATATTGTTGTGCTTTATTTACAGAGTGGATTCTGATAAAGATGGCCACTTGAGTGAGGCCGAGATGGAGGCATGGATTATGCAGAAGATGGACGAACATTTTGATGAAGCTTTGCAGGAAAATGAGGAGATCTTCAAGCATCTGGACCCAGATGGCAACGGTGAGTGTGATAAGAGGAACAAGACAGAGACGATTTGCAGGGGGATGCAGGCCGCTGGGATGGTGTATGGTGTTACATTCCAGGGGGAACTCGCATCCCATCACATGTTAACGAATATCTTTTTTGAAATGCAAGGAAATCATCTTCATTGATAAGAATAACTTTTCTTACACACCTGTGGGTGAGAAACCCATTTGAGATAACTGGTATCAAACATATGTGTGAGATCGATTTCCAGGCCCGTGATTGGCTATTCCATGGTTCATAAGTTACTCGTGCTTCAGTCGAATGTTCACCAACATATGTGTTGAACCACAGGACCGTGTAATTAATAATAATAATCACATATACTCATCCTCGTCTGAGAGTTTATTATTATCAGTTACATTGTCTGTTTTTTTGTCAAAGGTATGTTTTTTTAGAGTGTAAATACAGCGACATATGTCCCTCCTCTTCAACCTTCGCTTCGAAATCGAATAAAATCCAAAGTACATCACTCAAACTAATACACTTCAAAGTTTTGAATTCCCTCTTCTGTGACATCCTTTTCTGTCATTTTAGGCAAAGCAAAATTTCTGAAAGTGAATTAGGTGCATCATAAATCTCGCTAAATCACAATTCATGGCGTTATTTACTTTGTGTTTAGAAATATAGATATCGGATATTTACTCGAAGAATTAAATTTCTAAAATAGCATATTAGCATGATTAGTGATCACGGGTATCTGTTTTTCATCAAATCACTAATGATAATTCTGAAACGTCGCCAATAAGCCTGGAATCGTTTAGAATGTTTTCGAAAATACGCATACACGAATGCTGAAGTGTATATTCCGCCATATTGGATTGTGTTTACAAAATGCTGGTTATGAGAAGCCTGTTAGATCATGTATGTTTCAAACTCAGCTGCGATACATGCATCCCTTAATTCCTCATACATTTATGAATCAAATGACAAAAGGGTTTTGTCACCAATGCAAATTAGGTGTGGAAACAAAGACTGCTCTGAAAACAGTAAACAAAGCAAAATTCAGATTTTACACTGTGTAGCATTTTTAGAGGTACTTTCGTCTAATTGTTTGATACATTTGCTCGATCGCGTGTTTGAGAATATTCGTGGGAAGAGTATCGTTGCAGGAATTATGGAATTTTCACATATATACATTACAATGATGTGCTAAATTCAACAGAAATCGTAAACATGTCCGTCCTGTGTACTTACATGACACATTAATGTATCGGAAACCTTTTTGAGGGTCACATTATTTATGCTTAGTAAATAGTACGTCGGATGACGTCACTCATGGTCGTAGTGTTATGTATTAATGCACTGCTGCGATCATGAGAAAAGACAAAATGCATCGATTCGATGCAAAAAAGGTGCGATTTTAGAGTGTGTAAGATACAGATTACTGCACTCGTGCCTGTCAAATACCATTTATCTTACAACTCGTTCTTACAAAGCGTATCTAACTCGCTTTCACTGGTTAGATACGTTTTGAAACATCTCATAAGATAAATGGTATCTGACACTCATGTAGTAATCTCTATGTTCACCACATTCCTTCAAAAGTGGCTGTGGTAAACTGGAGTCATGTGGAAACCATGTGAAAAAGTGTGTAGTCATGTCGTATGTTGATATATGTTGACAATCATGTGATATTCGTTGTAAATCATGTAATGCACAAGTCATTCATGTGAAATAATGCTGTCGTTACATTTTTTGTCAGTCATGGGGTAGGAGGTCGGGGAGCCTCAAGCATTCGCTCGTCACACTGAAGACCAGTGTTTGATTCCTGACATGGGTATAATGTGTGAAACTGCAATATTGCTAAAATCGGCATAAAACCATACTCACTCACTCAATCATTGGATTTGGTGTTAATCATGCCTCACAGGTAGTTTGGGTTGTATACTCCCCAGGGAGATGAGAATGAAATTGAGTGCACACTGATCCTCTGACCTCTTTGAGAATGCTCCTGTGGAAATATAGAACAAAATAAATGGCCTAATGTTGTTGTTGTTCTTGCTTTTGTAATTATAATTATTATCATCATCCCATATTGTGATTTATTTACGTGATATGGGTGTTCTTGCAGGGTTGGTACACTGGAAGGAATACTACACACATTTCCTTCTGGCCAAGGGATACGATGACGTCCGGGCCAAGAAACATGTCCAGGACTATGATGAGATCGAACTTGACTCAGATGGTAATAAGATACTTTATCTGAACCCGTGAGGTCATGTGATCTGTTCTGTCACAGAGAATTCGAAGTCAGTTGGGAGAGAGGCATCTGGATCTGACTTCTATAGCCAAGTTAACTCTCTTGCCTTGGAGGATGACTTTAATCATGATGTGTTTTGATGGGAGGCTTTCATTGTAATAGCAGATCAAGGTTAACAAACAAAAGACAAGGGCTCTGCTTAGATTGAAGACATCGTTTGAGTAATATGGGCCCTATAATGTTCAGATTTTGATGTTCATCTGGTTCATGTGCCCTGTCATTGATTGTAGTGGAGATGAGTTTAATGTGATGATATTTCAGCCAAGGAGGAGCTGGTTCGCTACAAGTTCCGCTGGACGGATGCCGACCTTGACCCTGCAGACAACCAGTTGAATAAGACTGAGTTCCTTGGGTTCCGCCACCCTGAACAGAGTGACAAAACCATCAGCACTATGGTCTCCAGCATCATGAACAGTATGGGTAAGTTGTGTTGAACACCCTCTTGGAAGCAGCCTCTAATGTTTTAAAGGCACACATGTGTTTCTACACTTTCATAAAATATCAACTTTCTATGTTTAGATAAATATAGTATTTCATCACTAACATATCAACTAACTACAAAGTCATATGATTAAAAACATTGTGTGCACATCTGACCTCTGTTACATGGTGTGTTGCAGACTCCAACGAAGATGGCTGGTTGTCCCTGTCGGAGTTCATCGCGCTGCCCCCTGGTGAAGTGGAAGGAGATGACTTCCGCGAGATGGATATACACTGGCAGGAGGAGCGCAAGGCTGAGTTTAGTGACGCCATCGACCAGGACAAGAATGGCCATGTCACAGCAATGGAACTCAAGGTCAGTGTAGTATTTTTCTCATAAGTTAAGTGTCATTTGGGATCACAATTGTTTTCACATTCAGTACTAATAACAGTTCAGTCGTCTTAGGCACTGAGTTGCATCCCTTAATCACAGCAGAAACCAGTGATCATGGATTTGAAGCCTGGTTTGCCCCAATGATGTTTCAAGGTAATTCTGCACCAGACACATGCTCGTGGGTTCACCGAAGTTGTAAATGTCCTGCATCACTTCGGGCCTTCCTCCCACATTAAGCTGACATGCCATGATTTGACTTGAATACTGTTAAAAGCGATGTTACAACCAACTCACTCACTGAGAGTGAGAGTCCACTGAATATCTATTGTCATTTGTCTCACAGAATAAGTCTTTGCAACTTGTGAATTTGCCAGCCTTTTGTGTGCAAGCACATTCTGCATATAAGCACTGTTCTCCTCACTCTGGTGCTGTGATCAACTCATGTTTACACCCTTGGGGATTACAAATGGTCATCAGCAACCTATACTGGTCATACAAGCTGACTTCATTGATCATCTAGACAGACATGGTGACTTGCTCAGTATTTACTGGCTGCTGTCATGTAGCTGGTGTCCCCCGCCGTGATGTTGCTGGAATATTGCTAAAAGCGGCGTAAAACCATACTCACTCACTCACTCACTCATGTAGCTGGAATATTGCTGAATGTGTTGCTAATGAAAAAAACAACTATGTTTAACCAAGACTAGGGTAAAGGGTTTTTAACTGGGATATTATCTAGGATAGGGGGTGTTTATGAGGACATCTGGCCGGTGGAGTAGAAGACAGCAATGAATTGTTAAGCTGAGGACCCGGGTTTGATTACCCATATAAGTACGATCATCTTCAAATATTCAGTGTATCATATCTCCATGATTTCTGCGGTAAATACCTTGCATCTATTTGCAATGGGAGCCATATTGAAAATCAGATTCAAACCTGTGGACCAAATTCTGGGGTCATCATTGGTGGGAAGACGTGAAGTTTCTGCTTCAATCGAAACTGAGATGATGTTCACAGATACTGACCATGACATGAGCTCATTGGACTTTCATTTGTATATTTGAAATTAAGCTACATTTGTTTCTAGCCGATTCTTGGTGTCCATGTGTGATGTTGCTTTAGTGGCTTAAAAGCCTACTCAGTCAGGGACCGGTCATTTATTAAATGGGTGGGTGGGTCGGAGGGAATCAAGGGAGGGTCTCTTTGGGAGGGTCAAAACTAATACTAGGAATATTTGGGGAGGGTCAGGAACAAATGGACATTTTCTAAGAAAATATACACTGCTTTTGCAGATGGTTTTTTTCAGGGTTGGATCATGACAAATAGTACAAGGACATGGGGAGGGTCTTCCAAACATATGACAAGCATTTGGGGAGGGCAGTTGTTTTCAGTACATAAGTCATCAAAAACCTCTGACCCTCCCACCCCTGTAAGAAATTACTTGTCCCTTACTATTCACTGATTTACTTGCAGGCGTATCTGGACCCACGGAATCCTGTGCAAGCGCTCATGGAATCAAGGAATCTCATCTCCCTCATGGACGAGGACAAAGACAAAATGGTGTCCAAGGATGAAATGTTGAAACACAAAGACATCTTCATCTCAAGCAAGGTCGTCGACTTCGCCGCCAACGTACATGACGAATTCTGAAAACATTGGGCTACATATGATATTTTTGTAACTATATGAATGTGTGTGTGAGTAAGAATGAGTCTGTGTTATATATATATATACAATTGAGTTCACATGTGAGAGGTGCTTTTCTGCAATTGGCACACAGTTTAACCTTGACATTTGTTAAAGCTTTGATGGTGTTGCTTATGGTTATTTAATGATTTTTTTATTTGTTAATCAAATTGTCCCAGAAATCAAATTGTTTTGTTTGATGTGCCTTTACAGCAAAGTCGTTTTGAAGTTTTGTATTGTCAAAAGGTCATCTTTAGAATCCTGATTGCACATAGTTATTCTGTGTGCTTTCATCCCATATCAAGCTGACACGTCATGATGCAACTGGAATACTGTTCATGGCGGCGTTAAGCCATTTTACTCCTAATCAGGCAGTCAGTGTTGAGGCTTCAGATATACCAAACAAATTCATTACTTTGCCTCAATTCCCTTAAATATACCAGGAAGTGAAATATATTGTCTCTAGCCCTGCCATTGATCATTGTTCCCTGACTACACAAAGGTGAATGACTTGACTGGTATGATAATACAGTATCCTGACTATTGGAAGATAAAACAGTGGGTTTTCATTTTGGGAGGTATTTTGAAGTACACATACTTTATTCATAGCAATTTCATTTAGTACCTCAGCAATTGTCAGCACGATACATTGATCCTTTTATCTAGTACTGGCACTGGTTGTGACCGTGGCTCTTGTAGTTGATAATTGTTGTGTTACAAGCACCGTGTTTGATACTAACAGTATAATTGACCTGATCAGGCATTTACCCTGTCTTGTAGAGTGTGTGTTGTAAGAGCCTTTGAGGTTTCTCATTCTTGAAATCCATGCAACCCAAACCTCCTGTATTATCTCCAGTCTCATTAAATCTGATCTTTTGCTTCTGTTGAGAAAGTGCAGGGTGTATAACATATCCACAAGATGATAGTGTGGCATTTTGTTTGTCCCAATGACAATTGTTTTCAAGATTGTTTGTGAGTTCTATCTCCCATTCTCCAAGAAAGAAACAATGGGATACAGTGTTTGGAGTGACGAGTATTTACTTCTGTACTTGCCGCCACGTTAGATGAGAGGGAGCAATCATTGCTTCTGATAACATCTTTTATGAGCACTATGCCTTGATAGTTTTATTACAACAAATATATCTCACCAACATTCATTCATATAGACCTGGAATATGTCTAAAGTTGTGACAGCTAGCAGACAAGGCAAACAAACCAAGTTACTTCCCTTTATCCAATGCATTGGGATAACGATCTGTCAGCTCGATGACACTTACGCGAGATAAGCAAGTTACAAAAGTGTTTTTCTCAGCAGGATACATGAGCAGGCTAATGGAAAATAATTGCCTGCTCCTAAACCAAGCGGGGGGCCCGGGTGGCCCAGTCATTTAAGGTACCACGATTCACTGTGGCATGTGCCTTGGGCACACCAGAAACCTGTGATTGTGGGTTCGAATCTCGGGTTCGCCCCTATTATGTTTCTAGGTTTGTCAGCACCATACTTGGCTCGTGGGTTCACCGAAAGGGTAAACATCTGAGACCTGCATCACTTCGCGCTTTCCTCAAACATAAAGCTGACACGCCGTGATATAACTGGAATATTGTTAAAAGCGGCGTTAAACCCAACTCAAACTCCTAAACCAAGTAGAAGCTGGTACATTAATGTAAGGTGAGATAAATATCCTAAACCTGAATCCCCACAGGGTTGTGAAGTCTATTTTTGTCTATATTTGGTGTTCGTGTCTTGGCTGGGGTGTTGGTGGCAATACATACTGTTATCATTACTGTTAATAAGGTTAACTGTACCTTATTGTCCAGTAACAATGTAGGTTACATATTGTATCGTTATTTTCCTGGCTTAAAGCTCTAGACCTAAGGTGTGATTATATCATGGATGTGTGATTGTTTCGTTTTCATCTTTTTTTTCTTTTAGTCCGAGTCATGAATAACTATTTGATCGAATACATTTTCCTTTGAAGAAAGGAATTAGTTAACACTGTCAATCATGGGAGGTGTGATTTTCTTTTAAGGAGACAGGATATACTCACACATGGCCACTTCCGTGTAACTCGGACAAGTGACCTTTTGAAGAGTGAGGTGGAAGTAATACTTTTTAAATCTTCCGGAGAGCCTAAAAGGCATTTCTGATGGGGATCTATGTCAGTGTTGTGTGTAATCAGTGGAGGGAGTCACAAAATATATGTTCGGAACTGTTTAGTTTTTTATGCAAAATCATTGTTGGGATTACTTTTGGCATCCTTTCTGGCAACAAGAACTAAGAAACTTGTTCAAAGTATTGACAGGAGTAAAAGTTCTCTACACCTTGTCTTCAGAAAGATTCCACTGTTGACATTAAAAGCCTGTAGAACAGAGTTGTTGTTTTTTTGTGGCCTATATCATATACTCTCTGCAAGAACTACCACGAAACGTAAATGAATTACAAGCATGTTTGTCATCATTCTGTTACTGTTGTTTTGAACGTTTTGTTGTCTACATTCCATCTCATAGATTTTGCATGTGATGTTAAGGAATCTGTGCTCTAAATTCACAATATGTAGCCCTGTGCACAATATGTTCGAAAGTTTGTGAAATTTGTATTTATTATTACTTACTTGAGTGGGTCATAATTAACTTATTTCATTTCCAGGTGAACTGTATCTGTATGCATTTTGGTTTTCAACAAAGTAAACATCCTTTCTTGTCGCACATAAAAAAAACCAAATTGTATATTTTTAACAATTTTGTTAATTTATTTTAGTTTTTTAGAATGTGTTATGTTCATTATCAAAACACCCTATGTGAGGCATGAAATTATGAGTGCTTGTGCAGAAGAAATCTGAAATTAGTAATCCAGGCCAAACTGTTTAGTGTCGAGGGAGACATCGTGTTCTGAGAAGCCTGTTTTGAAGCATAATCAGTATGTTCAGTGTATGATTAGTTTATGGAAAGTGTGTGCATATTATGGAAGTAAGATAATGAAGATGAGCAACAGTAGATCTAAATGCTAAATGAAAGAAAACCATGTTCTCAGAAATTTCTCGATATATTTCTTTAGCTGCGCAATATGAAAAAGCTGTGCTCAAATTTCTCTTCCAATATCAGATACGGGTGACCAAGGAATTGTTGTTGTCATTGGAAATGTTCTGAGAAATTAGATAAAATAGTTATTGGAGGTGCATCTGAGAATTTGTGAAATCCACAATTCAGCAGGTATTTATGACAAGCCTTTATTATGTTTCCATGGAAATACACATCAGTTACTTATTTCTATATGTAAAAAGCAATCATATCCTACAGAACAGAAAGTTTCTTTGATTCTCCTTTCAAATGCTTACTCTGCTACTTGCAACCACAGGGAGGGACATTCAATGTACTTATAAATACTTTTCTTTAGGTATTGATGGCATGTTTTGATATTTCGGGAAATATGAAAAATATAGAAGTGATGGTGTTTAACATTTTTCTAGGTGTATATTTTTTTCTCCAGGAATTGATGTTGAAGTACACACGTTTGGGTGATCTATATTTGTGAAAGTGTACTTTTATGGTTTCTTTGGTTATGAGTAATTATCCTTACTAATGGTGTTGAAGTACATATTTTGTAAAAAGTGTTTTATTTATAATGGACATCCTGCTGTGCTTATAATATAAATAAATGATTCACATTTGGTCTGGCAATATTGTCGTTATACTGAGCAGATTGGGAATGTGACAACATTTGTCTCCTGGTAAAATAACTGTTAATGCCATTCGGGCATCATGTCATGCTATAGATGAGACACAAGAATGAAAAGTAGCTTGGACCCCGAGCCTGACACCCGACATCAGGAGACCTGGACCGCAAGAAATAAGTTTCAAAACACAACCCCACTTATCCTTCTGATGGAGACATGCTTGGGGTACTGGGGACCTATGCTGATGGAGAATCTATCAAGGAGACATGCATGGGGTACTGGGGACCTGTGCCGATGGAGAATCTATCGAGGAGACATGCATGGGGTACTGGGGACCTATGCTGATGGAGAATCCCTCAAGGAGACATGCATGGGGTACTGGGGACCTATTCTGATGGAGAACCCCTCAAGGAGACATGCTTGGGGTACTGGGGACCTATTCTGATGGAGAACCCCTCAAGGAGACATGCTTGGGGTACTGGGGACCTATTCTGATGGAGAACCCCTCAAGAAGACATGCATGGGGTACTGGGGACCTATTCTGATGGAGAAGCCCTCAAGGAGACATGCATGGGGTACTGGGGACCTATTCTGATGGAGAATCCCTCAAGGAGACATGCATGGGGTACTGGGGACCTATGCTGATGGAGAATCCCTCAAGGAGACATTCATGGGGTACTGGGACCTATTCTGATGGAGAATCCTTTAAGGAGACATGCGTGAGGTACTGGGGACCTATTCTGATAGAGAAGCCCTCAAGGAGACATGCATGGGGTACTGGGGACCTATTCTGATGGAGAAGCCCTCAAGGAGACATGCATGGGGTACTGGGGACCTATTCTGATGGAGAATCCCTCAAGGAGACATGCATGGGGTACTGGGGACCTATTCTGATGGAGAATCCCTCAAGGAGTCATGCATGGGGTACTGGGGACCTATTCTGATGGAGAATCCCTCAAGGAGACATGCATGAGGTACTGGGGACCTATTCTGATGGAGAATCCCTCAAGGAGACATGCATGAGGTACTGGGGACCTATTCTGATGGAGAACCCCTCAAGAAGACATGCATGAGTTCCTGACCTATTCTGATGGAGAATCCCTCAAGGAGACATGCATGGGGTACTGGGGACCTATTCTGATGGAGAATCCCTCAAGGAGACATGCATGAGGTACTGGAGACCTATTCTGATGGAGAATCCCTCAAGGAGACATGCATGGGGTACTGGGGACCTATTCTGATGGAGAATCCCTCAAGGAGACATGCATGGGGTACTGGGGACCTATTCTGATGGAGAATCCCTCAAGGAGTCATGCATGGGGTACTGGGGACCTATTCTGATGGAGAATCCCTCAAGGAGACATGCATGAGGTACTGGGGACCTATTCTGATGGAGAATCCCTCAAGGAGACATGCATGAGGTACTGGGGACCTATTCTGATGGAGAACCCCTCAAGAAGACATGCATGAGTTCCTGACCTATTCTGATGGAGAATCCCTCAAGGAGACATGCATGGGGTACTGGGGACCTATTCTGATGGAGAATCCCTCAAGGAGACATGCATGAGGTACTGGAGACCTATTCTGATGGAGAATCCCTCAAGGAGACATGCATGGGGTACTGGGGACCTATTCTGATGGAGAATCCCTCAAGGAGACATGCATGGGGTACTGGGGACCTATTCTGATGGAGAATCCCCATAGGGTTCTGATAAAGAACAAAGTAGGTGAATATACTGCAATGGTAATTTAATCATCTCAATATAACAAAGAGGCAACAATGGCAGCTGATGGTGTCAGCTTCTGCAGTGAAGTTAACAAGGTGTGTGACTGGTGAACAACTTTCTTCACTTCTTGATCCAGTTAGAAAAATAAATACTAAAATATTTAAAAAATGCATTTTGCTGAATGGACAATGTTGTATGAGAATTATATTATTTTAATGAATAATTTCTAAACTGTAATAAGATTTTTCAACAACATTCTTCTTGACATACAGTGAAACTGTTGGTCCAGGGACCTGTTAATCCAGAAACACAAGGTGAAGCGCTTATTAAAACCATACATGGGAGTATTAAAGATGAAACTATCTGCAGATTGGTAAAAAAAACACCTGCTCTGTGGGTGTTTATTGGAGCAGGGCACTTATGGCTCAGGAATGGTTTGTGGTTACCTACTCCGGCTGTAATGAAGTGAGCCACATCTGTCTGGTGAGGAGTGTAGAGAGGACAGGGAAGAGAGAACAGAGATAATAAAAAGATCTGTAGCATTTCATCAGTGGAATATATTAACAAAGAGGTCTACTATTCTGAAGTGTTTAGAGATCTCAATCCTCTCTGTCGCGGTGTCAACTTGACTTTTCCACCCTTGCTGCGCTTGTTGACCGGACTCTTCGCGGAAAACGTATTATCAATGTCATCCTCTGCCTCAGATCCATCACCACCTGAAGCGACAAAAGACTGAGTGAGTTGCAACTCTTGCGGGACCTTAGACTACAGAGTCATCCTACACCACCACAGACAATAATCGGGATATTCACCCGAATCTGTGGTTTGTTTGTTGTTTAACGCCACACTCAACAATATTCCAGCTGTATGACGATGGTCTGTAAATAATCAAGTCTGGACCAGATAATCCAGTGATTGACATCAGGCGCATCCATCTACGAAATGGGGATACGATGACATGCATCAACCAAATTAGCGAGCCTGATCACCTGATCCCATAAGCCGCCTCTTACGACAAGCAGTGGCTGAAGACCAATTCTAAACCAGATCTTCACGGGCCCCATATCTATGACTAAGGAGCAACTCACCATCTTTGACATTGAACAGCTCTACATCGCTTTCTTCATCAGAACTGAAGGACAGTTTTGGTTTTCCCTTCAATTTTTTCTTCTGTTGACATTTTTGTTGGGATGGACTGTCATCAAACTCACAATTTTCCTTCCCTGTGTTGCGCCGCCGTCGCCCTGAAAACACACAATTTAAAATGCAATGCTCAACAATCCTTTTATTCTTTCCTGATTTTCTAAGACAAAGCTATTTCATGATGTGACAACGGTCCAGGGTGAAATTTCATGGGTTTTTTTCTCCACTGCATCTAGAGCAGCCTGCAGTTATAACACAAAGCCGTGACTGTTTCCCTAGGATTACCATGTTACAATTAAAACATACTTTTGGCTATTTGTGTATATAGCGCAGATTTGAGGTCTGTAGCGTACATAAACAGGATGTAAACATGAACATCGCGCGAAGTGAAAGTAATTTTATTTTAATTTGTTTACATCTTGCATACATGGTATAAATCTGAATTGTATTTATGAGCCTCACTGTGGATTATTTTACCATCTTGTCCGTGTGAAATCAAACCTTGCTGTCACACAACAATGGATCATGAACCCGACAAACAAGTGATTGATACAGTGAACCCCAATGCAGATGAGTACCTACCTGGTGTTTTGGCGGGTGTCTTGTGTTTCCCCTTATGTGATGCAGCAGCCCCTGATGCCTTGCTTGCTTTGTGGGCTATCTCATCATCCTCTAACCCCTTGTTGCGACACCGTTCTATACGATCCTCAATTTCATCAACAATCGTCTTCAACAGAAAAAGATTGCTCAGGCATTAATACAATATATAGAACTCTTGTCTACATAACCCATGGTTAACTGTGAAATAGCCAGGTTTATGGCTTTTATACAATAGGGTATATATATAAATATACATTTAGAAATCCCTGGATCAAAGACTGCATCAATACTCCCAAAATACATACAGAAATCCCTGGATCGAAGACTGCGTCAGTACTCCCTGTTAATGATCATGAGAAGGTAACACATTTTTTATTGTGTGTGTGTGTGTGTGTCTGTAAATAATCAAGTCTGGACGAGACAATCCAATGATTGATATTATGAGCAATGTCACATGCCATCAGGGTACATTGACATGCCATCAAACATGCCATCGACCATGTCATCTAGCTTGACCGTCATTTCTAACCCCAAATCTCCATGGGTTCCCAATTTAATAGGCTCTTATGACAAGCAACAGGGTTTCGGGACGTTTCTACCCTGTGTCCTCCGAGGATAGAGCGTCTGCCCAGCCGCATTATACCAAAAGAAGTACTTGTTGTAACCATGTTACCATGTAGGGACTAAAACAAGGCTGAGAGTCCGTATACTGTGTCTGAGTGGGGTATTCATGTCAAACTGTGGCATGGTGCCAGTGGGCTAGCACTATAAATTCGTCATTAGTTGGGACTAGTACAAGCAGACACACACACACACACATGCATGCATGTCACTATATGAGTGCAATAATCTTGAAATCAATGTTAAACCCCATTTCACCTCACCCACCTCACCCACAGGACATCTTTGATAGACACAAACAGGCAACAAGGAAGAGAACTGATAACGTCATATAAATGCAGGAGATATTACACACCTTGGCCTCTTGTTTCTGAAAGGACCTGGCTTTGCTGATGATGGTGAGGAAACAGTTGTACACAGCATCATCAGAGAGCTTGTCTGAGTAGCAGGAGAAGTTCTCCTGCAGTTTGCGTATACTCTTCTCGTTGTAGGACAGCATAGACAGACAGAAGGACAGGTCTCGTGACTGGCGTTCCACTCTGAAACACATCAAGGCCATTTCATTGAGATGGCAGTACTGTGGCCATTGGCCTACAGACACTTCACACTCATTCGATGTTAAGCCATTATTTGTTGGATCACTGATTTTAATTTGTCAAAGTCATATGTTGGAGGAAGGAATTTTTTAAAAAAAAGCTGACATTCTGCCATGGTTATTAGATTTGGCACCAATTATTACGTCAAATTATGAATTCGCGTTAAGTTAATTTCGTATATATGTGTATCAAGGACAAGGGACATAACTCTTGAGTTACTATGCAAGGAATTTCACTTCCACTCATCAAATGAACAAATTGGCAAAAAATTACTGTCAAATTGATTATTTGATTGATTGATATATTTAGTTTTAAATAAGATACTATGATGGGAGGCTTGTATTCTCAGTTCCCATGTTAACATGTTGCTACACGAAAGCGACGTGTTTAAAGAAGTATTTATATGTAAAACAAATGAACCTGAGAATGAATGGCATGTGTTCAGAAATTGAGTTCCCAGGATCAGAGTAATCAGTTTAATATAACTATTTGGAGGCGAGGTACAAAGCAACAAAGAGGATTGAGAAAGGTATAACAGCCTCTGAATGCGTACCGTGTAGCTCTGAACCGATGACAGATCTTCTCAACCAGACTCTCACACTGCTTGTCCTTCTGGATGAACGCGAACAAGTATCTGGAAGACATACAGCAGGATACGTACTCACACACAGTATGTTTGTTGTTTAATGCCGCACTCAGCAATATTCTTGCAATACGACAGCGGTCTGTAAATAATCAAGTCTGGACCAGACAATCCAGTGTTTTACATCATGAGCATCAATCTACACAATGGGGATACTATGACAAGCATCAACCAAGTCAGTGAACCTGACCTCCAGATCCTGAAACTTGCCTCTTACGAAAAGCATGGTTTGCTGTAGACCATTTCTAACCCGTGTCTTCACGGGTTTACTCACACACAGCAATACACACCATGACACACTTAGATTTAAGACAAAGCAACCTATTTTGTGTCAGAGAGAACGACAGGTTACTCACTTCATGATGATGTTGAAGTTGTCTTCATCAACGCCGATGTCGGGGTCTGAGAGGCGGCTGATGATGTCAGGCATGACATTGTACACAGCATTACCCTGCAACAGGGGCACCAGTAAATAACATGACGATATGCAACAGGGGCACCAGCAAATAATTACATTTAGTACTAACTTCTAAATGACTTTATCGCGCGTATCCAAACCATGGGCTAATTACGTCTGTAACCCAATCACCCCTCGGAACCCAATCACCCCCGGGTCACCACTCTGCACCGTGCCCGGGGAATAATCCCGCACAAGCATCATCCCGCCCTTTGTTAGTCCGTCATTCGCGAACAGCCCTTCCCCAAGTACACACGTGTGTCACTCTATCTAATCGCTTTCCCACCCACCCACCTACCCACCCAGCTTGCCACTCCTTTTTCTTTCCTTTTCAGCCTGACGTGTCCTCTTCACCTGGAATGCTAATCACTTCTTTTCTTCAGCGTTTATTCTATTACAGGTACCAGCAGTGCGGATTGTATATATGTAAATAAACCTGTACATATGTAAAATAGGTTTTCAGGGCGCTTGTATATATGTACATACTTTTAAACGAATCTGATATATGTAAATAAACATGACTTCTTAATAGCTGTATATATGTATATATGCAATACCTGTCACAACAATAAACTATGTCGAGGTGTGCGGGGTTCTTGTGGGCTACACTGCTAGTAACAAATTAACTTGCTTCCAAATTAATACTCGTGCTTAAGGCTACCTGCTTCTCAGTGGGAACCTTGTCTTTCCGACTTTTCAGCCGGGGAATCGTAAAATAACATACGTTGGGGCAAACAATTGCCACGTATATGGGCCCGGCGGCGGATGTCGTCTTGTCAAGCGGTAGCTGACAGTTGGGTTTGCGGCGGGAGCCGCACAATGGTTTTGCTAATGGGGCCGGGCAGTGGGATCTGCTTTGGCCAGCTACCTAGGGCCGGGCAGCGGTAGCCAGCAGCGTGGAGCTGCTTTTGGCAGCGTGGGAGTTGCCAAGCAATGGTAGCTTTTAAATATGCTACCGTGGGGGCCGGACAGCGGTAGCAGTCTCAGGCCAGCAGCGCTAGCTGCAATCGCCGTTGGCCACGCGCGTGGCCATGGCAACGGTAGCATTTTGGTATACACAATTAGTAGCCCACTAGTACCTGCACACCCTCGGCCATTTAACCCAATCTCATCTTCTGTTTGTATTATAGGCACGGGCACCAGTAAATACCATGACAACATGCAACAGGGGCACCAGTAAATAACATGACAACATGCAACAGGGGCACCAGTAAATAACATGACGATATGCAACAGGGGCACCAGTAAATACCATGACAACATGCAACAGGGGCACCAGTAAACACCATGACAACATGCAAAAGGGGCACCAGTAAATACCATGACAACATGCAACAGGGGTACCAGTAAATAACATGACAACATGCAACAGGGGCACCAGTAAACACCATGACAACATGCAAAAGGGGCACCAGTAAATACCATGACAACATGCAACAGGGGCACCAGTAAATAACATGACGATATGCAACAGGGGCACCAGTAAATACCATGACAACATGCAACAGGGGCACCAGTAAATAACATGACGATATGCAACAGGGGCACCAGTAAATGACATGACGATATGCAACAGGGGCACCAGTAAATAACACGACAATATGCAACAGGGGCACCAGTAAATAACATGACGATATACAACAGGGGCACCAGTAAATAACACGACAATATGCAACAGGGGCACCAGTAAATACCATGACGGTATGCAACAGGGGCACCAGTAAAGAACATGACCACATGCAACAGGGGCACCAGTAAATACCATGACAACATGCAAAAGGGGCACCAGTAAATACCATGACAACATGCAAAAGGGGCACCAGTAAATACCATGACAACATGCAACAGGGGCACCAGTAAATAACATGACGATATGCAACAGGGGCACCAGTAAATAACATGACCACATGCAACAGGGGCACCAGTAAATAACATGACAACATACAACAGGGGCACCAGTAAATAACATGACCACATGCAATACGGGCACCAGTAAATAACATGACCACATGCAATACGGGTACCAGTAAATAACATGACAGTATTAAAGGATCACCAGTAAACATAATGACAGTATTAAAGGATCACCAGTAAACATAATGACAGTCCAACAATGACTGTAGTGAGGTCACTATATACTGGTAATTCAAATTACAGGCGATATAGTTTGGACAAAATTAGTTACCTATTGTACTCAATCAAATGGGCAGAATTTGGTTCAAAATACCACGATTCTGCAAAAATCATAAAGGTGGGAGCAAATGCATACAGTAGGTCGGAAACAAAGAAAGGGGTGGTTGTTCTGATAGGGTTGTGTGTTCAAGGTCAGTTTGGTCTGTTACAGTTAAGGTAAGAGACTTGTTACAAGATTAACTTACCTTCTTTGACAGTTCCAAGAAGAAGAGTTTGGCAAGGTTGGCGATTCTCTCATCGTGATCAACAATACATGACGCCAGTTCACTGATCTGGCCTTTGACCTTCACCATGTCATTGAGAATGAGATGGGTGAGAACTTGCAGTGTATTCTTCCTCACATGCGAAGACTCATCGCGCAGTCTGTGAAGAAGTAACACCTTCATTTATACACAAAACACAGGCCTACAGGTACTACATTGCCTTATTTCCCCGGCTCATAAAGACATACTGGACCACTATTGGATGAAGTTGCATCTTAGGAGTGAGTGCATGAATATTGCTATACATGATAGGTTTTTAAACCAAGAAATAGAAAATATTTGTTAACCCTTCAACAAGAATTAACCCACCAGCCAAGATGGAATTTCACAAGCCCCATGCATGAAGTATTACTATTGTCAGATATGGTCTGATGTGCACCTAGTGGCATTTTGGTCAGAGAATTTATCATTTATGTCTTTACAAACCCTTTCAAAACATATGAAAAGAATTTACTCATAATCCAAACTCATTAAAACCAGATCTTAGTTCTCGCTACCGCTAAACAAAGATCTGAGGACATCCCATCCCGTCAGACTGACCTTTCATCCGACCAATCAGAGCGTCGCTTACCAGATAATGAAAGTGACAGTTGGAATGTGATTTCTAATCATGCAACCTCGAAAACTGTAACACGGGGTATTCCGAATGATCGTTACGGGTTTAACAACTAAATCCATACAACAATCTAGACCATATATTTGACATTCCAGAATGTTCTTTTGTTCAGGTTGCAAATTCGTACTCGAGAATTTGTCAAAATATGTTTCGAAGCGTAGTCGCCAATTTGAAATTAGTGCCGTAAAGCACGAGAATGCTGCCTTCTGATTGGCTAATGTCGACTTCTTATCAGTCATTCCATTGGTCGGTCAAATTCGCACATGGTCGGTCTAACGTGACCCGTAATGGGATGTCCTCAGATCTTTGTTTGGCGATCGTGAGAACTAAGATTTGATTTTAATGAGATTGCTCATAACCACAACAACTTATTATGGACATGTCGACCAGACTTTCAGGCATACATTTGTACAGGTAACGTTCAAGTAAGCATGGTAGGTGCATAATTGGCCAATAGAAATATCAAAGTGGTTGCCAGGATAAAATATCATAAGCATTTGTCTTGTGGGCCAGTGTATTGTGGACCCTGCTTCTGGTGCTAGTTGTGGCTGTATCTCACCTGCCATAGAGGTGCGGCGTCCAGGGTTCGATGAGATTTGGAAAGCGGAAGGCCAGGTCGCCAAGGGCGATGATGGTGTTGGCGCGGATGATTGGGCTGTGAGATTTCTCCAGGATTGTAAACATGAGCTGCAGATGGTTGTCACAAAACTCGGAGCTGCAACAGAAATATGAGATGTGAGACTTAAGTGTGTCACCCAAACGTATCCTATCATATCCTTGAGATGGAAATATGCTTTGTCTGAATGATTTTTCAGAGGGTGACAACAAGCAATGGCAGCTATATTTTACAGCATAACTTTGTACATATTTTGGATGTGAATCAAGACAAAGACAAAGTTAGTGCATCAGATAATCTTTATGCTGTTTCATTCAGAGGATAGAACTGACAAGGTTCATGGAACTTTACATAAGCCAGTAGTGTTTGTCTGTTTATTGTTTAACACCCAACTTTATTGTGTGAGACCCCATCTTTCAGCTATGTGAGAGCGACGTGTAATTAATCATGTCTGGATCAGACAATCCTGTGATTGACATCATGAACATCAATCTACATAAATGGGATGCAATGTCATGCTTCAACCAAGTCAGCAAGTCAGACCACCCGATCCCTATAGTCGCACAAGACAAGCATGGGCTGCTGAAGACCAATTCTAGCCTAGATCTTCACGAGTAGCTGCTAGTCATCTGCATGTGCAGCATCAGTGATGTATGAGTGATGTCTAAATGATTTCCAGGTGATATCTCACAGTATTTCAGTCATATAGTGGCTTATCAGCTTATTGTTGGAAGAATATGAATTCCCATGAACATTCGAATGGTGCTGACAATCATAGGATCATAATCAGGGGAAAATGGAAATCAAACCTATGATCACAGTACTCAGGCTCACCCAAGGTATGCACTGATGTCTGTTAGTGCATATGTTAGTTATGTGCAAGTGATGGGTGAGTGATTAGAGCGAACATGTTGTCATGTACACACCTGACCGTCATGAACTTGGCGAGTGCGAGTGATGCAGCTGTCTGCAACTGCTGGTCGGGGTACTTGCTAGGGGAGCTACACACAGCCACCAGCAGAGGCTCGAACTCAGACAGCAGTCCTGCTCCTGGTCACAGAGGGTAATGGTAGTTGTGTAAAACCAAACAGATACCAGGCAATACATATAGCTCATACCAGGATAAAGTCAAAGACAACTGTCAAATATGCTGTAAATACCAAGACACATTTCATGGAAGTCAGTTCTTTTTCTCAGTCACTGCAAAAAGATCGGAGGACACCTGCATAGGAGGCCACGTAGGATGAGCTTTCAAATGAACCAATCACTGTTGTGGTTTCTAAATTCATGGTACGAGTGAGTGAAGCATTCAGACAAAAATGAATATAATCGGATATCTGACTGACCAAAAAGAAAAAAAGAAAGCAGCACCATGATATTGATGTGGATATGTTATTATGTTTGTTTCTGAGCGACATGGTCCCAAACAACGTATGATCGATGGAATATTTGTGTTCCGAGTAGGTTTTCATTTGTATACATAGAAATTTCCCAATCGAACTGGGAAAGAAAAGAGGCTGAATCAGTTTAGGAAGCCGACGTCTCATTGGCTCAAGAACCCACACATCCTCCATACAGGGTTCACCTGTCATAACCTTCTATGGAGTTGTCCTTTGACCTTGACACATGGAGGTTTCATATCAAATAAAAGATCTGATCTGAACGGAACTTCTCCATAACATGGAAGCTGTCTGTGAAGACACAGTTGACTAAGGAATTTCAACTTCATTATTCTTGCAATGCCACATTTCAGTACTGATGCTAGTTATGTTTATCACTTGGAAGTCAACTCTTCATTGATACTACAGCTTCTAAAATACCACTGTTCAATACTGTTCACTGAAGTTCCACATCTTGATCAAAGGAGAACGATAAGTGTGCATCTTTGGAGAACTTGTTACGATCAATAATCAAATATATTCCCATTCCAATTTAAAATTTGTTTCAAGCAACCATATCACTTGTGTTAGTATTACCAGAGACAATCTCCATCTCACAGATACGGCGGATGTATTCACTCTCCGTGTCCTCTGCAGCCGCACCCGCCAGCCCCATCTCATCCTCCGTCTCCTGCTCTGTCATCACGCTGTCCTGGTTGAATCACACACAGCCGTAAGAAACAAAGACAGAATGGGAATAGCATTCTCTTTACTACCCAGAGTTATTTATTAATATGTGTGTGGATGCTTTTGTGTTGTTGCTGTTGTTGTTGTTTAAGGACGCAATCAGAAATATTCCAGCTATATGGTGGTGGTCTGTAAATAATCCAGTGATTGATATTTTGAGTAACAATACGTGCAATGACATACATGCTCTCTACCAAGTCAGCGAGCATGACCGCCCAATTCATTAGGCGAGGTGAAATTGGATTTAACATCGCATTCAAGATTATTGTGTGTGTGAGGTCTTACCATACAGCAGATTAACATGAATATCCCACTCAGACACAGTGTACACACTCCAACCGAAAAGGTCCTTTTTCCTTGTTTTAGCCACTTAATGCCAAGCGCCAGTCAGGGTAAGAAGATGTACCTTCTTTGAACATCTTATGGTATGACGCAGCCGGGGATTGAACCCCCGACCTTCCGCTCTCCGGGCAGATGCTCTCCAACAAGACCATGGAAGCAGTTGCCTGATTCATAAAGTTGCCTCTTATGACAGCATAGTTTGCTGGGGACCAGTTCTAACCCAGAATCCCCATAGGTTCATTTGATACTAGAAATCCACGAACTTTGCTTTTAAAACCAATCAAGTATCAAGATCTCCACAGAACTTTGGCTTGTTCAGAGAACAATGAAGAAATGACAACAGTTTCTATGAATCCACTACCTTTGTCTTGGAGAGTGATGTGTCACTCTTCCTCCCTGCCATCTTCTTGTTGTTGCGCTCCTCTTGCACGGCGAGCCGTCGCTTCACCTCCCCAAACACGCTCACGTCCAGGTGCACCAGCTGCTTGAGGGCCACGTGTCCAGCCAGCGACAGCAGCCGGGTCAGCAGACCTGAGTCACACTCAGGAAGCGGGGTCTCAGAGCTGGTGGCTCCTGCAGGGACGTGAATACACAGGTATAGTGCTCATAATATATTGGTGACTGTGTGGATGGTGAGTGAGTTGATGGTTGAGTGAGTTGATGGTTGAGTGAATGAGGATTAACGCCGCTTTTAACAGTATTCCAGTTATATCACGGCGTGTCAGCTTAATGTAGGAGAAAAGCCCCAAGTGATGCAGGTTTACCACTTCGGTGAAAGCCACGAGCACGGGTATGGTGCTGACAAACCTAGAAACATAATCAGGGCGAACCGGGATTCGAACCCACAATCATAGGTTTCTGGCGTGCCCAAGGGACGCAACTCTGCACAGCAAATCACAGCGCCTGAGACGACTGGGCCACCCGTGCCCACGTGAGTGGATGAGTGAGTGAGTGGATGGATGAATGAGTGGATGGATGAGTGAGTGAGTTGATGGTTGAGTGAGTGAGTGAGTGGATGGGTGAGTGAGAGGATGGATGAGTGAGTGAGAGTGGATGACTGAGTGGACTGGTGAGTGAGTTAATGGATGAATGAATGGATTGGTGACTGTGTGGATGGGTGAGTGGGTGGATGGATAAGTGAGTTGATGGTTGATTGAGTGGATGGATGAGTGAGTGGATGGGTGAGTGAGCTGATGGATGAATGAATGGATTGGTGACTGTGTGGATGGGTGAGTGAGTGGATGGATGAGTGAGTGGATGGATGAATGAGTGGATGGGTGGGAAAGGATGGATGAGTGAGTGGACGGATGAGTGAGTTGATGGATGAATGAGCGGATGGTTGAGTGAGTTGATGGATGAATGAGTGGATGGGTGAGTGAGTTGATGGATGAATGAATGGATTGGTGAGTGAGTGGATGGATGGGTGAGTTGGTGGTTGAGTGAGTTGATGGATGAATGAGTGGATGGGTGAGTGAGTTGATGGATGGGTGAGTTGATGGTTGAGTGAGTGGATGGGTGAGTGAGTGGATGGATGAGTGAGTTGATGGTTCATTGAGTGGATGGGTGAGTGAGCTGATAGTTGATTGAGTGGATGGATGAACGAGTGGATGGTAGAGTGAGTGGATGGTTGAGTAAGTGAATGGGTGAACGAGTGGATGGATGGGTGAGTTGATGGTTGAGTGAGTGGATGGGTGAGTGAGTTGATGGATGAATGAATGGATTGGTGAGTGAGTGGATGGATGGGTGAGTTGGTGGTTGAGTGAGTGGATGGATGAGTGAGTTGATGGGTGAGTGAGTTGATGGATGGGTGAGTTGATGGTTGAGTGAGTGGATGGGTGAGTGAGTGGATGGATGACTGAGTTGATGGTTCATTGAGTGGATGGGTGAGTGAGCTGATAGTTGATTGAGTGGATGGATGAACGAGTGGATGGTAGAGTGAGTGGATGGTTGAGTAAGTGAATGGGTGAACGAGTGGATGGTAGAGTGAGTGGATGGTTGAGTGAGTGAATGGGTGAACGAGTGGATGGTAGAGGAGTGGATGGTTGAGTAAGTGAATGGTGAGTAAGTGGATGGTTGAGTGGGTGGTTGAGTGAGTGAATGGTGAGTAAGTGAATGGGTGAACGAGTGGATGGTAGAGGAGTGGATGGTTGAGTAAGTGAATGGTGAGTAAGTGGATGGGTGAGTTGGTGGTTGAGTGAGTGAATGGTGAGTAAGTGAATGGGTGAGTTGGTGGTTGAGTGAGTGAATGGTGAGTGAGTGGATGGTTGAGTAAGTGAATGGGTGAACGAGTGGATGGTAGAGGAGTGGATGGTTGAGTAAGCCAATGAGTGAGTGAATGGTGAGTGAGTGGATGGTAGAGTGAGTGGATGGTTGAATAAGTGAATGGGTGAATGAGTGGATGGTAGAGGAGTGGATGGTTGCTTAAGTGGATGGGTGAATGAGTGGATGGTAGAGGAGTAGATGGTTGAGTAAGCAGATGAGTGAGTGGATGGTTGAGTGAGTGAATGGCGAGTGAGTGGATGGTAGAGTGAGTGGATGGTTGAGTGAGTGAATGGCGAGTGAGCGGATGGTAGAGTGAGTGGATGGTTGAGTAAGTGAATGGGTGAGTGGATGGTTGAGTGAGTGAATGGTGAGTGAGTGGATGGTTGAGTAAGTGGATGGGTGAACGAGTGGATGGTAGAGTGAGCGGATGGTTGCTTAAGTGGATGGGTGAACGAGTGTATGGTAGAGTGAGTGGATGGGTGAGTTGATGGGTAAGTGAGAAGATGGATGGGTGAGTGGATGGATGAACGGTTGAATGAGTGAGTGAAAGGACACATGAGAGTATGAGTGGGTGGAGGAATGATTGGTTGTGTGGGTGGAAAATTGATTATCCGCCTACCTTCCCCTCCCGACTCCTGACAGAGGTGCAGGGTTTTAGCAGTCAGAGCCTTGAGGATGTCCCCACACACCAGGTCGGGGTGCTCGGACAGCTTGTAGATAACGTTCACAGACAACTCTGCCAGGGGTATCCAGTGAGGGTTGTCTACCTTGGTCACACCTGCATTATACAAAACACTCACTTCCTGTATTTCTGTAGGTGATTCAAGGGAACTGTTCTACAAAGCGAACATGATGCTACAAATGTTGTATCTCTCACACTTTAGGATAGACCAAAGATAGTCACAGCCTAGTCAGGCCACATGTTTCTTTTTTGTGGTTTACAGATTTTTGGTCCAGTAGGTCAAAAACAAGAAAATTAAAACAATATTCTGATTTCAAAATTCCTCAAAATGTTACAGTTGTTAAAGTTTGAGTTTTATCGCAGGTTTTAATCATTATATATGAAATAATTTAGTCTTGATATCAACAGTGTGTTTTTAACAGTTTACTTATATCTGGTCAACAGAATCAAAAGAACTCACTGCTTTCAATGTGTTTTATTTTTTTCAGATGTCATGGGGAGGTACATACCAGACACCAGCAAGTAAGATAGCCTGGAGAACAGCTCGTGTGTCTGTGGAAGGCGGAATGGCTCAGCTGCTGTTTCCCCTCGATTCTGAAAGGAAAAGAAATACCTGTTCACTTCCTACTCCTTCAATAACTTCATTCTGCACCTGCCGTCCTGTCAGACCCCAGTTTGACAACAGCATGATTGTAGTTCTGCACCTACCTTCTTGGCAGACCCCAGTTTGACAAGAGCAAGACAGGCGTTCTGGGCCAGCAGGAAGTCCTCCTCAGCTCGTGGTCCCAAGCCTTCTTTGATCAGCACCTCAATGTTACTCTTCACCATTTCCATCTCTGCCCTGTGAAGAACACAAAGAGGCCAACAATCAGAATACATGATTAACAATCAGTTCTTTTTTTTCACATGTCCATTCAATTTTACTTCAAAGCAAGAAAGAATTTATTTGACAACAAATTATCTGTGTCATCCAGTGATGCCATATTGACGACATCTGAAAGAAGGAAGCTGAATCACATTCACATATAGGTTACAGCCTTATAATAGAGAAATATTTTTTACAAACCAATATCAGTTTTAGAAAGGCTATTTTTCCAGAAGTCATCTCTTCTATATCCATTCTGTCTCGTTTTTATTTTGTTTATAATAGGAACTTGAGAATTAAAATGCCCACAGAAATAACAACAGGTTCAAGCATGTGTAAAGCTATTCAAGAACAGTAAAAAAGAACTTAAATAAACCAAAGTAAACAGTTTAACAGCAACTGCAAGCCAGTAACAAGTTCAACCAATACGGAACCAGCGTGCCGACAGTCAGACAAGGAGGCCTACCGCTGGTTGAATCTCCTGCTGGGGATATATCTTGTAGGGAAAAAACTAAAGTTGTCATACCCAGCTGCCATAGAGAGCAGCAGCAGTGCTGCACGGCTGTCTGATGCCGTCGTGTGCGCCACCTTCAGCGTGAACCTCTCCCACAACATCTGTATCACTGGCGGTCCAATCTCCCCGCTCTTAATGAACTCAACAACCTGCAACAGACAACATTCAAATGCCAATAACATCAGATCTTATACTCGGATACGACAACTGTGTGAAGATCTTCCGGCCCGTTCTGTCCATAGGAATCACGTCAGGTGACCTTTCTTGTCAGCCAATTAGCATCAAGGCAATTTTCAAAATTAGGCAGTAAAATGTTCTTCATTGAAGAACTAAGTGTATACTCATTTGATATTGAAAAACAGATGCGTAATTTTTTGGCAAGAAATGCTTTCAGGATCTTTCGCGGAGGTACTTGAGTGAGTGAGTTATGTTTAACATCAGTTTGAACAGTATTTCAGTTATATCACATGTCAGCTTTATGAAGGAGCAAATCCTGAAGTGATTTAGGTCAAATACATTTAGCAATTCGGAGAAATCCATGTGCATGGGTATGTTGCTCACAAACCAAGAAACATAATCAGGGTAAACCAGGACTTGTACAATGATAACGGGTTTCTGCAACGCCTACTTTCCAGCATTTTAGCCACACTCCGTCGCAGTGGTGACTCAGCATAACACCACTGCCACAGGCTAATTTGCATATCACGTGACCGGACTATTCTCTTGTTTGTAAACAAACGCGCTTTTCAGAAATCAGTATAGAACGGACTAATGCAAATATTTGGGGGCGCTTTACATATTGTTTTGCATAACTATATATATATGCTACTACAACTGCGACAGTGAGTTGCATGACAATATATATTTATGCATCAAAGTGACCGTGTCGCTAGCTCTCCGTTGGGCTTCGATGACAGCACGTGGAGCCGTACAACCAATGTAAACATAGGATAACTACGCAAAAACAAGTAGATTTTTACGTATTTGCATACTTTCTCAATGAAAGTTAACGATTCTTTGACATTTGTTTATGAAAATGTGTAGACTTGTGAAACATGAACGGATGAAAAGCATATACAATATCTTGAATGGACTGTGAAAGATGTGACGAATCGTCACATGGCGCTGGCCTGTGGCAGAGGTACTATGCTCGTTGGCTGCCGGCCGCATGGAACTCTGGGTAGGAGAGTGCATTTTAGCCAGCCTACTGGGGCTGAGTTGCAACAATATTTCAATCACAGTGGGCCTGGGATTGATGATAAGTACACAAAACGGACATACCAGCCCCTCCAGTGACGTCAGGTCTCCCAGGGTGGCTCCGCTGGTGAGGGCTGTGAGGTTCGTCACGATGGCCAGGGCCTTCGACCTGCCACAGAGCAAATACATTCAGGCTGACCAAACATTCCACTAACCAAATAACCAAAAATCTTATCACAAGTAGCTTGATGGGTATCAATGTTAAAACGGATTTAATGTTTTACATCTGTCATAAGTGAATAGTGTTGAAAAATAATGGATTTCACATGGTAATGGGTTTCAAATATTGTCCTGTACTAGGTAACTAGGTTCACATACAGTACAATACAAGGTAAAGTGTTTCACATATTGTCCTGTACCAGGTAACTAGGTTCACATTGTGTACAGTACAAGGTAATGGGTTTCACATATTGTCCTGTACAAGGTAACTAGGTTCCCATTGTGTACAGTACAAGGTAATGGGTTTCACATATTGTCCTGTACTAGGTAACTAGGTTCACATTGTGTACAGTACAATTGAGTGAGTTGGGTTTAACGCCGCTTTTAACAGTATTCCAGTTATATCAAGGCGTGTCAGCTTAATGTGGGAGGAAAGCCCGAAGTGATGCAGGTCTCAGACGTTTACCACTTCGGTGAAACCCACGAGCACGGGTATGGTGCTGACAAACCTAGAAACATAATCGGGGCGAACCGGGATTCGAACCCACAATCATAGGTTTCTGGCGTGCCCAAGGGACGCAACTCTGCACAGCGAATCGCGGCGCCTTAGACGACTGGGCCACCCGTGCCCCCTGTACAGTACAAGGTAATGGGTTTCACATATTGTCCTGTACTAGGTAACTAGGTTCACATACAGTACAGTACAAGGTAATGGGTTTCACATATTGTCCTGTACCAGGTAACTAGGTTCACATACAGTACAATACAAGGTAATGGGTTTCACATATTGTCCTGTACCAGGTAACTAGGTTCACATACAGTACAGTACAAGGTAATGGGTTTCACATATTGTCCTGTACTAGGTAACTAGGTTCACATACAGTACAATACAAGGTAATGGGTTTCACATATTGCCCTGTACCAGGTAACTAGGTTCACATTGTGTACAGTACAAGGTAATGGGTTTCACATATTGTCCTGTACAAGGTAACTAGGTTCACATACAGTACAATACAAGGTAATGGGTTTCACATATTGTCCTGTACCAGGTAACTAGTTTCACATTGTGTACAGTACAAGGTAATGGGTTTCACATATTGTCCTGTACTAGGTAACTAGGTTCACATTGTGTACAGTACAAGGTAATGGGTTTCACATATTGTCCTGTACCAGGTAACTAGGTTCACATACAGTACAATACAAGGTAATGGGTTTCACATATTGTCCTGTACCAGGTAACTAGGTTCACATTGTGTACAGTACAAGGTAATGGGTTTCACATATTGTCCTGTACCAGGTAACTAGGTTCACATACAGTACAATACAAGGTAATGGGTTTCACATATTGTCCTGTACCAGGTAACTAGGTTCACATTGTGTACAGTACAAGGTAATGGGTTTCACATATTGTCCTGTACCAGGTAACTAGGTTCACATTGTGTACAATACAAGGTAATGGGTTTCACATATTGTCCTGTACTAGGTAACTAGGTTCACATACAGTACAATACAAGGTAATGGGTTTCACATATTGTCCTGTACCAGGTAACTAGGTTCACATTGTGTACAGTACAAGGTAATGGGTTTCACATATTGTCCTGTACCAGGTAACTAGGTTCACATACAGTACAATACAAGGTAATGGGTTTCACATATTGTCCTGTACCAGGTAACTAGGTTCACATTGTGTACAGTACAAGGTAATGGGTTTCACATATTGTCCTGTACCAGGTAACTAGGTTCACATTGTGTACAATACAAGGTAATGGGTTTCACATATTGTCCTGTACCAGGTAACTAGGTTCACATTGTGTACAATACAAGGTAATGGGTTTCACATATTGTCCTGTACTAGGTAACTAGGTTCATATACTGTACAGTACAAGGTAATGGGTTTCACATATTGTCCTGTACAAGGTAACTAGGTTCACATACAGTACAATACAAGGTAATGTGTTTCACATATTGTCCTGTACAAGGTAACTAGGTTCCCATTGTGTACAGTACAAGGTAATGGGTTTCACATATTGTCCTGTACAAGATAACTAGGTTCACATATTGTACAATACTTGGTAACTGGGTTTTCACTCCCCTTCACCCCCGTCCCCTTCGACCCCACAATGACCTTCAGGTTATGACCCCTCCTCACCTCTGGTTCCCACCCTGGGGACTGAGGTACAGCCTCTTGTACGCCGTCACCACCGCCTCCTTCACCCCTGACTCTTTTGACCACACCAACGCCAACATCCGCCTGATCCCCAACATGGTGGCCGTCACACCGAACTCAAACCCTGTCACGAAGAACTCGATAGCCTCAAACACATCGGATGTGTTCTTAGATCCCAGGAGTTGGCAGATGGTGGGGACAGATGTCTGTACTTGTTTGGCAAACGTCAGCGAGTCCTGCAATACACATAATGACAGTAAACATGAGTACACTTCACAGTGAAGGATGTGTTATGCTGGAGCTGAGTATTGCTGAGATCTCAAGATACAATAGTTTTACAAACAATTGGATCTCTGGTGAGAGGGGGCAATTCAAACACCAAATTTGCCCAAACTGAAGACTTAAATGTGCGTCCACTATTACCGCCATGTCCTCATGTTCCGTGATACTACTTCCGTCGTTACAGGAGGTAACTCGATCAGTTCCTGTTCCGTAGTTTCGATCACATCCAAGGTATCGATGAATCATTATAGCCCTATTTTTTATCGTTATCTATGCAGTAGTCCAGCCTTACAACAGCACGCTATGAATTTCTGATCGGGGACAGACAGGCCAGTGGTTGGTTTAATGAGCAACATTCCACACAGTCTAATCATGATGAGATCAAATTGTTTTGTTTGTTTGTTGGTTAACGCCGCACTTGGCAATATTCCATCCATGTTACAATGGTCTGTAAATAATCGAGTCTGTGCCAGACAATCCTGTGATCCATGCATCCATCCACGTAACTGGGAAACAAGGGGCGTTTCCAGGATAAAATAAGACCCAAATAATACTGCACAGTATTACCAGAATACTGCAATACGCTATGTAAACACATACAGTGACCAAGCTAAGTAATGTTTACTTTAGTATGCCGAAAATAGAATCTGCATTTACAATCAGTGTTAAACACAGCTCCCAATATATATGTAGCAATATAACTTGCTTGCCAATACACAGCCCTAATCCCAAGCACCAGTGCTGTCTCCCAACGGAAATGTCACGGGAGAATAAATCCAGAATGTCTGTTGTCAGTGCTGACTAAAGGAGGGTTGGTGACCATGTGTCATCCTCCACCACATGCATGAATCAGTGCTGATACTATCAACCACTGGATAATCTACAAGCCGTAATGACATGGGGCATATTAGTGAGTGAGTGAGTGTTGTCTTATGCCGCTTTTACAAAGTTCAATATTCCAGCAATATCACGAAGGGGGACACCAGAAATGGGCTTCACACATTGTACCCATGTGGGGAATAGAAACCAGGTCTTTGACATGACAAGCGAACACTTTAACTACAGGCCTAGCATAAAAAAGAAGACTATGGCTAAGATAACAGATTTTTGAGGTAGAATGTAGAGACAGAGTTATCTACCTTGAGGTACTGGACAAGCACCTGCTGCTTGCACACCTCGCTGGCAGCATCTCCCTCTCCTGCATCAGGTGCGGCGGACAAATGGGCCAGCTTCTTGTTGCCTGAAACAGTCAAATGTAGATATTCTCATGTTTTCTTGTCATACAGTGGGAAAATGATCGAAAGAAATATCATGACAAATTATGTCAACTTATGTTATGACACAGCATTACTAAAATCAATGAGTCTGATACTTCTGTCACTCACAGTGTAAGTGAGTGAGTATGGTTTTACGCTGCTTTCAGCAATATTGCAGCAATATCAGGCGGGGGACACCAGAAATGGGCTTCACACATTGTACCCATGTCGGGAATCGAACCTGGTTCCTCGGCATAACAAGCGAATGTTGTAACCACGAGGCTACCCGACCGCCCTGCCAGTTTAAGGGAAATGTCTTATATCATGTTAATGCTTCACAATATCTTTTTCTGAGTGTTTTCAATTAATCCCAAGGAATGGATGTCATTTACATTGTTCTAATTACATGATTAACACTTTCTCCATTTGCCAAGCATGTGTGATGAGGACCCCCTCAATCTTCAACTTTCAACATGGGGTCATGACAAGGACCCACTGACCTCCATCTTAAATTTCAAACACTGAATCAATACCTACAAACAAACCAAACGACAAACATTCTGCCCTCTGTCCAGCAGTGGTATATCTCTCACCTAGGAAGATCTCCTTCAGCTGTGTGACTGTCTCCGACACAGGATCTGCCTCCGGCTTGTCGGCACTGAAACACAGCAATACAATTCCACATCAACAACACCACAGAAATAGAGTACTTATTCAATTATGTAACTTTAGAAACCGTGTACAGATATAGTGTTTGAGTGAACCATCCCACGTATTATAGAGTGCCATATGATTTTCAGCCATGTATTTCTACATAATCACCCACACATTAAAATAAACAACAAAACAGTCAATAGATTTTGGAGCAAGCACTCTTTGAACTGATGAATAGAGATAAAAAGTAGTTCCTGCATGGGGACCTCATTTGCATATTTATCCAATCATGATACCAAATTTAGCACATGTATAACATTGTCCATCATATGAAAAATTGATTTACCAGTACTCATCTTTTATAATTTCTCAGAATATGTTTTCCTTTGCGACTACTTGCAACTGTATCCCATGACATATATCTTTCTTCACTGAGTTGTCTCCCTTACCTGTGACCCTCTTTCTGTCCATTGTCCTCTTCTTTCTGTTCATTCTCTTCGCTCTGACTCGTCTGTCCATCCTCGCCATTCTGTGTGGTGTGCCCCCCCTCCTGTCTGTCTCCCCTCGGTGCCAGGTCTGGCCACTGCTGCTGTGTGGCTGACAGAACCTTCACAGCAGACAGGTATCGACCCTCCAGGAGCAGGTGGTAGATCCTGGTCAACTGACTGAACACAGGGATGTTGTGAGTGGAAATTGGTACATGATTCAGTCTGATTTCTTTCTTTACCCCACAAAAGGATTCAGCCTTTGGAGTGGGGTGGGGAGGGTTTGGGTGGACTTGGCTGTGATTGGCTGGGTGGAAGTGGGAGTAGTCTTTGGGATTGTTCGGATAGCTGGGAAAGAGAGGCAGTGGAAGAGGGAGGGGTAGAGGTGCTCTTGGGAAAGGATGAGGCTCAGAATGCCTGTGAAAAAGGAGGGACAGAGGTGGTCTCAGGATCGGGAGGAGGCCGAGGGGAGTGGAAGAGGGATTGGGTGTGTGTCTTAGGGAAGGGTGGGGTATGGGAAGAAGGAGAGAGGAGAGGGGAGTGGAGAACTTGTGATGAGTGGTAATGGGATAGGGATGTGGTGGGTGTGTATTTTGGGGGAAGGTGGGGCTTGGGAATGGGGTGGGTGTGTATCTTGGGGGAAGGTGGGGCTTGGGAATGGGGTGGGTGTGTATCTTCAGGAAGGCGGGGCTTGGGGATGGGTGGGTGTGTATCTTGGGGGAAGGTTGGACTTGGGAATGGGGTGGGTGTGTATCTTCTGGAAGGTGGGGCTTGGGGATGGGTGGGTGTGTATCTTCAGGAAGGTGGGGCTTGGGGATGGGTGGGTGTGTATCTTCAGGAAGGTGGGGCTTGGGGATGGGGTGATGTGTATCTTGGGGAAGGGTGGGGTTGGGAAGGGCATGGTCATTTACGTGCTAACTGGATTACAAAACATATGCATTGTTTGACTGGCATTACTTTGAAGCTGCAGAGGGCAAAGTGGAGATAATTTAGGGTTAAGAACTTAAAGGTTAACAACTACTTTGGGGAAGATGTAAATAAATACATTGTTCACCATAAATATCTCCACTTTGTAAGACATATGCAGTGTTTAATGTGGTGTTCACAGCCTCAGCACAAGAGTATAGTACTATCATAGCGGGGATATAAAGTCCAGACTGCCATGCAACCACAACCCGTACATCCTTTCACCTTTCCAGGCATATCTCCATTACAGCAAACCACTGTCTGCCACCAACCATCTACAGCCAATACAAACCATGTTTCATATCAATCCCCACTACATACCAGCTCCTGCACAAGACACATGACACTTTATGATTTATATACTTGCATAACCTTGTATTTCCCTCACCTGGCGATAGTGATGTCCTCCTGACTAATGTCCTCCTGGCTGTACTCGTCCTGCGTGTCCTCTTGGCTGTTGTCCTCATCCAGGGCGGCAAGCAGCTTCTGCTCAACGGCCAGCCACTCCCTTTCAAAGCCTTGCAGCACGTCGTCTGTAACAACACACACAACATAATTTCATTAAAATTACATGAACTGGATATTCATGATGTTAGTATACTTATCCTGACACAACATATTGCAATTTCCTTCTTGTCTTTGATCATATAACATAGAGCCTTCTACATCCTGGGAGTCTGCTGCCATGCTACCAATCAGAGCTATCTATCCTTGATCCCTCTCTTTTCCAAGCGATAGCCCATACACAGAGCTCTCTATACTATCGCTGCCTCTAGTCAACAAAGGTGTCACGCTATGGGAAGGAGCTCTCCACTTTCCTTCACATCACAAACGAGGATACCCTCATGTGCACGCATTTCAGAAATTATATCCTTTAACACCACTGGTCTTATTGTGCTTTCTTGAACAAAACTTCACAGTTCCCTTCTTTGGAAGTTACTACATTATGATATGAATTTTGTATTTCATATTGTTGGGTTCTGAGTGAAGATCTGACTACCCCTCAAAGGAGCATTTTCCCAATGTCCCTGCCAAGGGCATTTAGTCTGGAATCTCCACTAACTACCTGGTAAAGCTAACTGCCAAGGGCATTTGGTCTGGAATCTCAATCAACTACCTGGTAAAGCTAACTGCCAAGGGTATTTAGTCTAGAATCTCCACTAACTACCTGGTAAAGCTAACTGCCAAGGGTATTTAGTCTGGAATCCCAACTGACTACCTGGTAAAGCTAACTGCCAAGGGTATTTAGTCTAGAATCTCCACTAACTACCTGGTAAAGCTAACTGCCAAGGGCATTTAGTCTGGAATCCCAACCAACTACCTGGTAAAGCTAACTGCCAAGGGCATTTAGTCTGGAATCCCAACTGACTACCTGGTAAAGCTAACTGCCAAGGGCATTTAGTCTGGAATCTCCACTAACCATGCTAACTACCTGGTAAAGCAAACTGCCAAGGGCATTTAGTCTGGAATCTCCACTATCTACCTGGTAAAGCTAACTGCCAAGGGCATTTAGTCTAGAATCTCCACTAACTACCTGGTAAAGCTAACTGCCAAGGGCATTTAGTCTGGAATCCCAACTGACTACCTGGTAAAGCTAACTACCAAGGGTATTTAGTCTGAAATCCCAACTGACTACCTGGTTAAGCTAACTGCCAAGGGCATTTATTCTGGAATCTCCACTAACTACCTGGTAAAGCAAACTGCCAAGGGCATTTAGTCTGGAATCTCCACTATCTACCTGGTAAAGCTACCTGCGCAGGGCATTTAGTCTGGAATCTCCACTAACTACCTGGTAAAGCTAACTGCCAAGGGCATTTAATCTGGAATCCCAACCAACTACCTGGTAAAGCTAACTGCCAAGGGCATTTAGTCTGGAATCTCCACTAACTACCTGGTAAAGCAAACTGCCAAGGGCATTTAGTCTGGAATCTCCACTATCTACCTGGTAAAGCTAACTGCCAAGGGCATTTAGTCTGGAATCTCCACTAACTACCTGGTAAAGCAAACTGCCAAGGGCATTTAGTCTGGAATCTCCACTATCTACCTGGTAAAGCTAACTGCCAAGGGCATTTAGTCTAGAATCTCAACTAACTACCTGGTAAAGCTAACTGCCAAGGGCATTTAGTCTGGAATCTCAACCAACTACCTGGTAAAGCTAACTGCCAAGGGCATTTAGTCTGGAATCTCCACTGACTACCTGGTAAAGCTAACTGCCAAGGGCATTTAGTCTGGAATCTCCACTAACTACCTGGTAAAGCAAACTGCCAAGGGCATTTAGTCTGGAATCTCCACTATCTACCTGGTAAAGCAAACTGCCAAGGGCATTTAGTCTAGAATCTCCACTAACTATCTGGTAAAGCTTACTGCCAAGGGCATTTAGTCTAGAATCTCCACTAACTACCTGGTAAAGCTAACTGCCAAGGGCATTTAGTCTGGAATCTCAACCAACTACCTGGTAAAGCTAACTGCCAAGGGCATTTAGTCTGGAATCCCAACTAACTACCTGGTAAAGCTAACTGCCAAGGGCATTTAGTCTGGAATCCCAACTAACTACCTGGTAAAGCCTTGCTGTGAGGAAGGAGGATACGTACCGGGGATGGGTGGCGCCTGCTGCTCTGCAGGCTTCATCTCCACCAACTTCTCTACCTCCTTCTGATGGTTCAACTCCAACTTCTCTATAGGCAGCTGCAACATCAGTGCGAGTTGTAAGGGGATCATGTGGTCCGAACAAACATCACATGGACTGTTCGTGTTTGAATGAATTTTAGCAAAATTGGGGCAATAATACGAGAGGACAACATGGATGAGTTTCACACACTGTACCCAAGAAAACTCATTTGAAAATCTGGTTATTGGGCATAACAAGTGAACCAACTCAGGGTTCTGGTCACCCTTTTCTTTTTGAGTACACTGGTCTTGGATTTCTTGTTTTAAGGGGAAATTCAAATCGGTGCCTGATTATGTTTCAACACATGTGGTGTTAAAATACATCTGAATTAAGGTAAACGATAAAAAGTTCCAATTTTGAACAAAAAAATCACTTTTACCAATTTGCCTGCCAATCCTTAATAAATCCCTGAACTGTTAGTAGTCTTTATCTACCATATATATCTAAACATCCCTTGCTTCCATTACTAAAATTAAACTCTCCTGATACAGTACCAGTATTCCCAACACACCAGTCTGTACTCACCTTGGCAGCAAAGGGGTTACATTTGAGTAAGGCTGTCATCAACTGGATGGCGTACTTGCGAACCTGGCTGGACTTGTCTTGGAGGCGACCGATCACCTTGGCAACCAGGTGCTCTTGGCGTGGCAGTGGTAAACACTAGGCATCAAGGTAAAGAAGAAAAGTTACTTCTTAATGACAACCAGTGTATCTGACAATAAAATGTTTTAGCAGTGAGTGAGCGACTTTAAGCCCAACGTTTCTTATCTCCCCTGTAGGAAAGTGAACCAGGTTATTCATGGACAAATTTTTAAACCACTTGACAAATCCCAAAGCCTCTCCATAAAACTCAAATTCAGTTGACTTGAGAAGCAAACAGCATGATGCATAGCTAATAATGTCAAGTAGAATAGATGGAACTCTCACCTTTTCATTGACAATTGTCAACCAGATCTGTAGAACTTTACTTCTGACGAATGCATGAACATCATGAATATGTTCCTGAATAGAAAGATGAAAAGGCAGATGTTATTTAGTGAGCCGGTCATAGTTTAATGTTACTTTGAATAGTATTTGCATCATGTCATGACAGATCAGCTTGAAGCATAATGTTTTTAGACATTGATAGTCAGTCTCTCTCCACAAGAACTCTCACAGTTGTGAGACATAGATGACGTCACTCTGCTGTGCTATGACCGTCAAATGTGATGGTGCCCACACAATTGGAGACATCACATGCTTCTGTGAAAACTGAACTCGCCTTGTTAGCAGAATGTGGAAAAATAACACCAATACCAAAGTTTATATTTAATTAAGGTGGTGTCCATTTTGCCAAGTCAAAAGGCATGCTTTTCAAATTTTGGATGGAGGACAAGATACGTATCAACAAAAATATTCATGTGAGAGAGTCCAGGAGATTTCTGTGCGTTGAATACCACTTCATCTCGTTTTTCAACCCAACAGACAGCAGAACACAGCTGTTAACTGGGTCATATATCATGGTCCTCTGATCCCCATCTTCGTCAGGTTTAATGATAATTAGCCTGGGGACAATTTCAGTTTCTGTTCAGTTCTTACCTCTAGTTTATCAAAGAATCCGCCTCTGGCATTCTTCATGTTATCGTCCAGGCCATCCTTAGACAACACACGCTGCAGGATCTCACCAAGCACACCCAACACACCATTCCGCATTGAGTATGACTGCAAGTTACATAAAACTAATATCACAAGGACAATTTTGGATAATATAGGTACATGATTATTGTCCCCAACCACATCAAGTGGAGTGGAGTGGAGTGGAGTGGAGTGGAGTGGAGTGGAGTGGAGTGGAGTGGAGTGGAGTGGAGACCTATGTGCACATGAATGTAAGATATATGCAAACATTGCTTGAAATATTTAAGTTTCTTTGTTTGCTGTTTAACATGGCATGCAGCAATATTCCAGCTATAATGACAATGGCATGTAAATTATCAAGTCTGGCCCAGACAACCCAGTGATGAATATTGTGGGCAACGAACCACGCTCTCGAGGTACAATCCACCAAGTCACCAAGTTTTACCATCCGGTCCATTAAGTCACCTCTTACGACCAGTATAGGTTGCTGAGGAGCAATTGTATCCCCGCATTAAGAACCAGCACATTAAGCATGTGAAGCATCTGCCCATACATCTCCATCCAGGTGACACAGCAGGACGCTAATGTTGGGCAGCATCACTGCCGGCACCCGCTCCGCCAGCTCCACCAGGAACAGTGAGTATGCCCTCGTCCCAGACGTATCACGACTCAGGTCCTGGGAATCAATGCGGCCGATTTCTCTGAAATAACACAAATAAAATTTTAAGTGATTTCATATTAATGACTGAAGAAATAAAACAAAACCTACACACTGAATAATTGTAAATTTTACAATAAATTGTATATTTCTATATTCATCCTTGCTCACACTATGCATTTTTCATTCTTCTTTCGAACCTAATTGGAAACAAAGGTTTTCAGCTTCTAAAAAACAGTTCACCAGAACAAACCTAGCCTCACAATCGTCACCTACCAAAAATCTGGGTCACTCACACTTTTCATGCCGGTCGACCTACATACGCTAAACACATGATCTCCACAGCCAACTCATTCTCTCTTTTGGAGCTTCATTGGCCAGAGGAATTGTGATGCGGGGGATGGACAGGTGGGCATGTGGCTCAATTTTCAAATTCTTAAAATTATCCTATCTCACACTATGCATTTATCCCCCAGTTAGAAAGTGGGGTGCAAAACCCAAGCCTATTAAGGCAACAACAGTAGGATATACATGAGGAAGCTGGAGCTAAGAAGTGATACAGAACCATATGAAGTTACAGTCTCGTGTCATAAGACAAAGCTCTTGGAAAGGGAAGAAAAACTCCAAACAAAAAGAGTGTTGTGACCCTGATATGTGAACACAAGAAACACATGAAGTTTGGCACAATATGTCGAAGATGTTCATGTGTAAAGAAGCATAATTGTAAAGCCAGACGACAGTCAGCTTGGTAGTGTTCACCTTGGCAAGGTCACCCACTACTGTCCATATTACAATGTACGACTTATAATCAACCAATCAAATCTACAAGACAGGTGTATCATGGACGATAGATGGATTGATAGGTTAAGACAAGAAGAGGAATGATGGACTATATCCACAAAAAAGGATCGTCGGGCAAATAGCCAACAACACACACCCAAAGCAGAGGTGAGGGGAATAGAGAATTGGGACGGTGACTTCCGAAGTCTCTACAGACGAGTGAATGCTTCCTCCAAACAGATATTCAGTCTGGGAAAACCTGAATAATAATACTAAACTCAAAGAATCATGTCAAGGTTTATTACATAGAACCACACCGGGTACACATCTCACCCTATCTGTGCAAATGTGTCCGGGAGACTTGTTGTCCGAGAACCAATGGCCCTTATTATTGCATACCTTGGACATCAGTCACAGAGTCACAGATCCTAAATGCTTATACAGGACACAAACATACGTTTTCATGATCCTCAGGATTCAAGATAGATGTCAAAGGCGGGATAGTAAATAACCGATCAAGTTGTCGGGAAGTTGATTTTTGGCGATGCCCTAGATCACTGATCCCAATCTTAGGATTGTCGATTCTGGGACGATCATCAATTCGAGGTCTGTGATTGAGCTGTGGAGGAAAGTTTATCCGGGGAAAGCTGAGAATCGCAAGCTGACTCTTATCCGGGGATCGTTGATCCTCATGAGAGCACTCCAGAGAACGAGACCTATGCACAAGTCTTGATTGAGAAAAGTGTCCAACGAGTCTGAGCAGCAATCCCGTGACAACGCCTCTCAGGGAGAACGATGATTAGGGGATCTGGAACGTCGAGGAGTAGACGGGGGTAGAGGCGACTGAAGAGGGTCCAATCAAGAGTTCTGGCGAAACCACGGTCTTAGGGATGCCCTCTGGCAGCAAAAGTTTGACATTATCATCAACAGAAGACGAGGGCGACAAAGAAAAGATAGGGTCTACGGAAGGCTTCGTGAAGCAAGAGGATTCGCGGCCGACTGTGAAGAAAATACACGTTCGGTTGGATAAAAAATCACTGACAGAACTTTCCATACATCGGAACCCGTAGGTTGACTCTTCATAATGGGCCGAGTGGCCAAGACGGAAACGTCTTCTGTCAGACAGATAATACGGGAAGCAAATGGTTAAACGATTCCCCAATTGCCAAAGATGTAGATAGAATTAGTAACAAAAGATTAAATACAAGATGTTGCTGTTGATGATTGTTGCAAACCCATCAATAAAACACCTTTTTCTATTTGGCTTCATCTGCAAGTTTTTTTTACTGTGGTATCAAAAAAAAAAGGAATTTGTCTTTACAGTTGCCATGCACTGACTATTTCAGCATTTCATTTCGAACCAATGTCTTTGTACAGATGATAGTGGCATCTGCAACTCTAGCAGATAGTGTGTGGGTTAAATATGGCAGAAAAGAATATGGTGTGTATAAAAGTTCAAACCAATGTGGGTGAGAAAGGTGAGAAATGTTTACCTCATAATCTCGGACACAACACTCTTGGCCCCGTAATGGTTGACAAACAGCTCCACCGTGAGAGACATCGGCGACACCAGGTGTTCGAAATGCTGGAGCAACTGGATCACCTTCAGGCTGGCTCCTACAACACAGCAGCAGTCCTGGTTCACATGCAGGCAATATTACAGGGTCACTCATAGAAAATACAGGATCACTAATTGTGAATATTAGGAACTTTAGGGCAATACTGGGTTCTTCATAGGTAGTACTTGCCCACTTTAAGGGCAATACTGGGTCATTTTTAGGGCAATTATAGGGATGATTTGTTCACTTTTAAGGCTTTACTGGGTCACTTAAAATGTAACTGTAAGACTGGGATGCTTGAAGATATTACTTGCCCACATTCAGGGCAATAGAGGGTCACTTATCTGGATTACTTGCCACTATTAGGGACATACTGAGTTTCCTTCAGAGCAATACTGAGTCTCTTTTAGGGCAATACTGAGTCTCCTTCAGGGCAATACTGGGTCTCCTTTAGGGCAATACTAAGTCTCCTTTAAGGCAATACTGAATTTCCTTTAGGGCAATACTGGGTCTCCTTTAAGGCGATACTGAGTCTCCTTTAGGGCAATACTGGGTCTCCTTTAGGGCAATACTGAGTTTCCTTTAGGGAAATACTGGGTCTCCTTTTGAGCAATACTGGTTCTCCTTTAGGGCAATACTGGGTCTCCTTCAGGGCAATACTGGGTCTCCTTTAGGGCAATACTAAGTCTCCTTTAAGGCAATACTGAATTTCCTTTAGGGCAATACTGGGTCTCCTTTAAGGCGATACTGAGTCTCCTTTAGGGCAATACTGGGTCTCCCTTAGGGCAATACTGAGTTTCCTTTAGGGAAATACTGGGTCTCCTTTAGAGCAATACTGGGTCTCCTTTAGGGCAATACTGGGTCTCCTTCAGGGCAATACTGGGTCTCCTTCAGGGCAATACTGAGTTCCCTTTAGGGAAATATTGAATCTCCTTTAGAACAATACTGGGTCTCCTTTAGGGCAATACTGGGTCTCCTTCAGGGCAATACTGAGTCACCTTCAGGGCAATACTGGGTCTCCTTCAGGGCAATACTGAGTCTCCTTCAGGGCAATACTGGGTCTCCTTCAGGGAAATACTGAGGCTCCTTCAGGGCAAAACTGGGTCTCCTTTAGGGCAATACTGAGTCTCTTTTAGGGGCATACTGAGTATCCTTCAGGGCATACTGAGTCTCTTTTAGGGACATACTGAGTCTCCTTCGGGGCAATACTAAGTCTCCTTCAGGGCAATACTGAATCTCTTTTAGGGCAATACTGGGTCTCCTTAAGGGAATACTGAGTCTCCTTTAGAGAAATACTGAATCTCCTTTAGAGCAATACTGGGTCTCCTTCAGGGCAATACTGAGTCTACTTCAGGGCAATACTGGGTCTCCTTCAGGGCAATACTGAGGCTCCTTCAGGGCAATACTGGGTCTCCTTTAGGGCAATACTGAGTCTCTTTTAGGGGCATACTGAGTATCCTTCAGGGCAATACTGGGTCTCCTTTAGGGCAATACTGAGTCTCTTTTAGGGGCATACTGAGTATCCTTCAGGGCAATACTGAGTCTCTTTTAGGGACATATTGAGTCTCCTTCGGGGCAATACTAAGTCTCCTTCAGGGCAATACTGAATCTCTTTTAGGGCAATACTGGGTCTCCTTAAGGGAATACTGAGTCTCCTTTAGAGAAATACTGAATCTCCTTTAGAGCAATACTGGGTCTCCTTCAGGGCAATACTGAGTCGCCTTCAAGGCAATACTGAGTCTCCTTCAGGGCAATACTGGGTCTCCTTCAGGGCAATACTGAGGCTCCTTTAGGGCAATACTGAGTCTCTTTTAGGGGCATACTGAGTATCCTTCAGGGCAATACTGAGTCTCTTTTAGGGACATACTGAGTCTCCTTCGGGGCAACACTGAGTCTCCTTCAGGGCAATACTGAATCTCTTTTAGGGCAATACTGGGTCTCCTTTAAGGCAATACTGAGTCACCTTTAGAGAAATACTGAATCTCCTTTAGAGCAATACTGGGTCTCCTTCAGGGCAATACTTAGTCTCCTTCAGGGCAATACTTAGTCTCCTTCAGGGCAATACTGGGTCACTTTTAGGACAAATACTGGGTCACTTTTAGGGCAATACTGGGTCACTTTAGGGCAATACTGGGTCACATTTAGGGCAAATACTGGGTCACGTTTAGGGCAAATACTGGGTCACATTTAGGGCAGATCCTGGGTCACATTTAGGGCAAATACTGGGTCACATTTAGGGCAATACTGGGTCACTTTTAGGGCAAATACTGGGTCACTTTTAGGGCAAATACTGGGTCACATTTAGGGCAATACTGGGTCACATATAGGGCAATACTGGGTCACTTTTAGGGCAAATACCGGGTCACTTTTAGGGCAAATACCGGGTCACTTTTAGGGCAATTGAAGCTTACATGGAATACAGGTTCACCAATAAGCTTTGCATACACTACACTCCTCCATCACCCGTTAGTAAATACATACTGCCGTTTGTGGTGTAGCTGCTCATATTATGTAAAGTGAAGAGATTCCAATGAGAGGGAAACTAGTGAATGTTCTGCATGCACAAGCACACACACACAGGCACATATTATATAGCATCTCATGTCACATATCACCAGCCCTGGGACCCCATGTTCTTGCCTTGGACCCCAAAAATTGAGTGCTGAGAGTCCACAGGGCTCAAAAATAGACAGTCCCAGGTATTGAAGGACAGACAATGATCCACAACAGTCAACATACATACCAAGGCCATGGTTGTACCTCTTCACCAGGCAGCCAAGAATGTGAGAAATTGTCTCCCTTGTGTCCTTCGCCTTGGATATTCCAGGATTCTCCAGCAATTTGTAGCAGGTATTACTCACTAGGCTGTGGAGAGAAGAGAAAATGTTGAATGTCTTCTTAACTCTCTACATTGTCATAAAACTCTCTCCATAGAAGATTTGCCTTCATTTCTTTACCACCTTGTATATATTGAACAGTTGAATCAGTGGTGAAGTGAAATCGTCTTCAAGATTATTGCACTTTTATAGCCTGTGCATGCACATTTGTGTGGCCGCCTGTACATATCAGTCTGGATTAATGCCGCTTTTATAGTGCTTGCCCACTGAGATACCATGCTGCAGTTTAACATGAATACCCCACTCAGACACAGAATACTGACTCCGAGCTGTGTGCCAGGCATGGTAAAAACAAGTACCATGATGTCCATCATTCAATGCATTTTGGTATGAGATGGCCAGGGATATGACCCCCGACCTTCCCCTCTCTGGGCAGTCGCTCTACCACTAGACCACAGAGAAGGTGTGAACAGCTCAATAGGATGTTTTGTCCTGAGTAAAGGAAAACTGCCACAGAAGACAAACATTCCCGGGGCAGTACACCCTTTGGGATGTAGACAGCATGGTGCTCATAGACAACAGGATGTATAATGATAAAGCATCCACAAAATAACAGTGGGTTTTTATGTTGTTGCATTTGGCATTTGCAAGAGGCTTCACTCACCTATACCACAACGCTGATTAGAAAGTTCACCTGACGCTTACTCCAAAAGAGGTCCACTATAATTGTGACAACATTCACCAATGGTCAGTGATTGACATCATGAGCATCTTTTTTTACACAATTGGGATACCATGACATGCATCAACCTAGTCTGACTACCCGATACCACTAGTCGCCTCTTACGACAAGCATGAGTTGCAAAAGATAGATTCTAACCAGGATCTTCACAGGTCATCTTATACCAGTGAACACAGCTTGTTTGTACAGATATTTAATGAGGGATGTGTCTTTTGGCTAGTTTTGTCCTGCAAACAAGTCATCACCTAACATTACAGAAAATGTTAAAGCGGCATACAACATGATTATTGTTGTACTACTTGACATTGATTCATAACACAAGATGGCTGACCTGACAAACTCCTCCTCAGGGATGGGTGGGTCCCAGAGCTTGGGAAGGTTGAGCTGTATTATCTGCAGCAGGGCATGCACCCCCATCTCTCGCTCCCTCTCCCAGTCAATACCTGCATCCACACGCTTCTTCTGGGATTTTCGACCCTGGGGAGAAAATTAACCCATTCTTTGAACATGATTAATGTGGATAGAAAACATCACATTGTTATACCTCTTTGAAGAATCTTAGAATTTCATTGGTTAATCCATATCATGTAATGAAACAATGTATTTCAATGCTGTCTCAATACAAAACTGACACAAAATGGTTTGATCAGATCATGTGACTGACAACTCGAACATTGACTCATCACATGATTACTGTTGACCTGTCACATGATCAATATTCACTTTGTCTGATTGGTATGGTGGTGAAATTGGGTTTAACGTCGCGTCCAAGATTATTGCACTTATATAGTGTGCGTGCGAGTCCTTGTTTTAGCCCCTTAATGCCGACAGGTACCATCTTTTGGCAGGGCGCAACCGGGAATCTAACCCCAGACCTTCCGCTCTCCAGGCAGACGCTCTACCACTAAACCATGGAGACGGTCTTATTTGATAGAAACAACATGGCATCTGTGAGTGGCAATACACAGTTTTTCTTTCAAAATGGTGAAAAATAAGCACTGAACGGAAGTGTAACAAACCAATTGTATACTCTTGGCAGGGTCATTATGCCAAAACATTGAGGTCTGGTAACACCACCAAAGGGGTCAGGTCAGCATTTTTTTAATGAATTTTGGGATAAAATACATCTGAATACTCTTGACAAGGTCATTATTCCTCAGAGGTCAGGCCTTGAGTAATTATTTGTATAGTGCTGTAACCATGGTAACACCAGCAGCACCAGAAACTAACAGTTTTTGTCCACTTGTCCTTATAGTGACCACATATAGCAAAACCCTGAAAAATGGAAAATTTCTACTAGTCCTTATGCTACCTTAACTATTAGGCCGTTTGGCAAGGACTGATGGACCAGCGCCAATTTCTATCGCTGACTGGTATCACAACAATTCCCAAACTGTTTACCTTGGAGATGCTGATCTGTACAGCATTAGCTTTGTGGAAGTCCGTCTCAAACATCTCGATGAACTGACACAGGAGGTATACGGTCATCTTGACCAGGTTCAGGTTGTGGGCGCGGGTGTCTGGGTCAATACCAGTCTCCTCCACCACACTGGACACTTGACTGGCTACGCCCCGGGCAGCTTCAAAATAGCATGGTTTTGGTAAATGTCTCCATTAACACTATCTGTTTCAAGAAATGTGACCCAGGTATATGAACACATGATGAAACTGGGTACTGATTTTTTCAACCAGACAGGCATGATGACATATTAATAAGTGTCACTATGTCCCAATACGTGTCTTTGGTATCAGTGAAGGCGGGGGTTTCAATGTGATGTTGTGGTACAGGTTCAAATACTTTTATGAAAACAAGTGATGAACATATGAAATGCTTAGGCATCAATTATTCAATGAAACCCACACATCTGAAAACTAGACTGATCTAATTCTAACCAGATCAAATAGCTCATCACCATCCTAGACCTCTGACATACAACACAAGATCCCCCATTTCTGAATAACATGGGACCATTGCACTTCATTTTCGTTGGGAATGATTGGTCATTTAACAAATAAAAATACTCAAAACAAGTTAAAGAACATGCACAATTGGAAGGCTGTGTGTAGCAACACCCACCAACGATGACAGATTAGCAGCAGTCACGTGAAAGATCTGGTGTCCTGTAACTTCATATGAGTAGTATTTATATCCATATGAATCTCTGGATCATAACAAGTGTTGGACACTTAGCTTGAAAGTCAGGGATCCTTGTCAAAACCATTTTGTTAAATTCACAGATTCAGGTTCAGATTCAAATACTGTAGCACAGATCCCAAGGACACTCCTTATTTCTCTACCACTGTACAACTGTGGACAAAACATACACACCTTTCAACAAGCAATCCCATGTCTCCTCTTTCACTGCAGCATCAAGATCCCTCTGTAGACTGGGAAACATAGCAGCTGATAAGTATACAATCTCATTAAAATTAGATCTTAAAGTACTCATGGAAATGGAAAAAAACTGTTTTGCTGGATTTAATAATCGACACAAAGCATTACGTAGATGTAAATACGAAATAACAAAACAACTGGAAAAGAACTAGTCTGGATTTGCTAGTTTTATCTCAGTGCTCAATACAAAATGTACTTTACAGGAGGTAATTTGTAGGCACTTTCAACATTCAAAAATAAAACTAAGTCCAAATTGACATGGCAGAAACAGGCTATAGGCATTATGGAAATTAGCCTGGAAAAAAGTTATCAAAACAACAATAAAAATAACAGCTATGTTTATGTACATAATAATAATGACATGTATTTGTTTGAGAAGGGAATATGTTCCTTTTGATATTTTGACGATGATTCACTATCCCACAATGCCACTCACAAATCACTAACCACTGACAAATCACATGCACGTGGGTTTCAAGCACCTGTTTTCACCTGTCGTCAAGGTGTCATAGGTCATGGACATTCACCTTGATCTACTAACACCTGGTTATGCTCAGTTTCACAATAGTCTGTTTTGTTCATATTTTTACACACTTTTACGTGTAAAAAGACATCAAAACCTTTGATACGCTGTATTTGTGCCAAGGCCCAATTAGTACAAATTGAGTTGTTTGAATATTTATATATTTTGTATATAAACTGCATTTATTTAAAATCTGAGAACGAAAAAACAGTTTTTTTTCATTTCCGTGAGTACTTTAGTTCTCGCTACCGCTAAACAAAGATCTGAGGACATCCTATTAGGGGTCACGTCAGAACGACCTTTCATCCAACCAATCAGAGCGTCGCTTACCAGATCATGAAAGTGACAGTCGGAATGTGATTTCTAATCATGCAACCTTGAAAACTTTTTACACAGGGTATTCCGAACAATAGTTATGGGGTTAACAACTGAATCCATACAATCTAGACCAACTATAAGCCATTCCAGAATGTTCTTTTGTTCAGGTTTCAAATTTTTAATCGAGAATTTGTCAAAATATGTTTCCGAGCATAGTCGCCAATTTGAAATTAGTGCCGTAAAGCACGAGTAAGCTGCCTCTGATTGGTTAATGTCAACTTCTCATCAGTCATTCCATTGGTCGATCAAAGTTCACGCAAGGTCGGTCTGACATGACCCGTAATGGGATGTCCTCAGATCTTTTTTTAGCGGTAGCGAGAACTAAGATCTGATTTTAATGAGATTGATAAGTATATGAATACACCGGATCTGAGTTGTAACTCATGTTCAAATATTAGTCATAAAGCAAACAGAAAAAGTACATTTCCTTCCCAAAACTTTGACAAAATGTTATGGACAAAAATAAGAAATCTACTTGTCCCTTGGCATGAGTTCTGTTGATTTGGTGTTAATGTATGGACTTTTATTAACTGAGTTTACTGAAAAGAAAGATATTTTACAAGAATCAAGCTTGGAACGACTAGCTAAATTCATCTACATGTTGTACTGATACTAAGTAACAATTCTCAAGCTGAACATGTAAGTAACTGGATACTAACCACAAGATGCTGAAGAGTGAGTCAAAATTATCAATAACGGCAAAACTGTTGGATCGGGTGGCATATTTGAAATCTGAAATTTGGAGAGAAAAAATAAGTTTTACAAATTACATATCTGATGAGGATAATAATACATGTCATTGGGGGTGAGAAAGTGAGTTGGGTTTAACGCCACTTTGAACAGTATTCCAGTTATATCTCAGCTTGTCAGTATAATGTGGGAGGAAAGCCTGAAGTGATGCAGGTCTCAGATGTCTACCACTTTGGGTCTGGTGCTGACAAACCTGGAAACATAACTGCGGCGAACAGGGATTCAAAACTAAAATCATAAGATTCTGATGAGTCCAAGGGAGGCAACTCTGCCCAGTGAATTTCGGCACTGTAGACGACAACAATGGTGAATCTGGTATTGGAAATAACAATCATAGGATTCCTTTAGGGCTGGGATGACACCAAATTTACTTCCCAGGTGTCCAATTACATTCAACGACAACATTCTTCACATTCAGATCATCAATAAATACCATTTTCTTCTGTGTATAATACACAGGGTATTTTTAAAAAATACAGCTGTGTTGAGGGGAGTAACCATGATTGATATTTTTATTGTTACAATATTATACAATGTTTCATTTAACTAACCAAGTTTCACTGCCCAGGACCCACCCGACCTAGGTACCCGAGTTACCCGTCCCAGCCCTTGAAACCTGCTACATTATACATTTGTGCATGTGAGGACAGCTTTCAATGTTGAAATTGTTCCTGTGACCAGATATAGAAATCAACACTTGTCAGCTACCCTGTTCGAACAAGCTGACTCAATCAAGTTACTGTTAAAACTATCTTTTAAAACATTTTAACAATAATTCAGCTTAAAATGCTGTAGGTAACTTTTAATTTTTTTTCTCTTCATGTGATGCCTCCCAAGCGTCATGTGTCATAAGTAACAACAGCGATATATGTATCAGTTTTAATCAGTGAGAAAGTGCAGTGCAGAAAAGTATATGAATGTTTGTTATATGATCAGTTAATATAAGTGTATAAACATTGTAAAGATTTTTCGGTAGGCAAGCTGAAAAGGTGATACTGGTAAATTATGAACAGCGTTGTAATACTATTGGGTTTTTTTCTCACTTTTTCTTGCTTATTCATCTGCAAGTCAACTGAAATTATTTGGGCTATTTTGATTTATTTAAAACAAATATGCTGATTTCTTTGGGCTGTTTCACAGTTTTCTACAAGACTTACAGATCTATAAGGGGAACTAAAACTATGCTCATCTATCTTGACAATGTGTCTGTCAAGATGTTGTGTTACATTGCCTTTTGCTTCAGGGCAATCCTAAGTGATAGAAAGATGGACATGCTGACATGCATCTTTGTAGAGATAATACTGAGTTATCACAAACATCAACAGTGGGTCAACTGTAATGAGTGTTGTTGATACAGATCGAGAGGCTGACATTTTTCTCGATACTGGAATTGTTTTCATAATAATCGCACCATAACATTCAAATTGCTCGTTAAAACACATTGTCCGCTTGGTGTCCCAGCGTCACATACCTTGAAGAGCTCCTTGAACTAGTCTGTGTGTCAGGATCTCTTCCACGGCGTATTGGTTGACACTTGTTTTGGTCAGCAAGTCGTCTCGAGACACGGGGATTTGGAATTCAAACATCTTGTAATTTGTCGCCTGGAACATTATGTAATGCTCAATCTACTGCCATTGACATCAACAGGTAAAAACGAGTAAGAGTGTTGATCATGCATCATGTGTATGGAAAAAACTTCAAATGTATGGAAAATCACATCTTAGGGCCACTGTCAAGTTTGTCTATCACATGGTAAATCAACAATTATCGCATGAATCTAAATCCTAAAAATGTTTTTCATTACGAGCTTAAATTCAAAATTGCATCGATGCGATTTATAACCCACAGGGAGAAGCCAAAGTTCAATATTTACGATAATGTTGCTCGTCTTTGTACCTTCCGGGTTTGAAAAGTGCGCCTGAGAGTGTCAGTGCACGATGTTGGCCAATCAGATGTTCCTAAATCTGGAAATGCGGAGAGTTTTAGATTAATCATCCTGCAAAATAAATAAATATTTAGGTGGAATCTTTTGCATTGTATATTGTATATGAAAGTGTAATTACAAATTAAGTGTAAACAATTGTAAGAAATTTTACCTTTATTTTCCACCAATTAACGAATTCACCGTTGTTTACTGTTGTCCTACCGGATACTCTCGTGTCGAACGCACCGGGAGAATGTGAAAGTTTTATGAATAATGTCTTTAAATTTTTCTCCTGTTTTATCTGTTGTTTTCTTAACATTGTTATCATGTATTGTGTTTGGTTTTAAAACAACGCTGTTTTTATATATTTTGACTGTTTTATGCGTGTTTTTATTGGTCGAGGGTAGAGAATGGACCGGTCTTCTTCCGGTAAGACTTTCAGAGCACCTGGAACCGGCCGCTGAACAGATCAGACTGAGCACAAGATATATCAGCACTGTTCTTCATAAACCTTTATTCAGATACAAAAGTCCAAACATGTTTGACAGTTGGAATCCCTTGCAATGGTTGTGGAAGGGAAAAGATGGCCAAACATCAGGATCGCGACAAGTGACCAGATCAAAGTTTGCCAGGCGAACAAAAAATTCAAAATTTGGACAGAGTAGTAAGCAAAAAGAAAGATCTAACGCACTGAATTCACCAGCCCCAATATCTGTGTCATCTCCTAAATCGCCGAAGAGGGGTCTAAGCGGAAATGTATCAACTGGAGATTTAAATACAAGTGTGTCAGTGTTGAACGCATCTGGTCCATTGCTGTCTACCCCATTGATGCCCATGATTAAAAGAGCTGTAGGAAACACTTCTGGACATAATGACACCTTCAGGTATGTGTTACATTACCATTTAGCTTGATGCTTAGATTTGTCTACATTGGGGAGTAGTGCACTTTACCGGGCGCACTTTTTCAGATCCAATTAGCGCTGTGGGGGCTCGAACACGCTTCGCCAGCTCACCAGCTCTGCTAATTAATGTGTTAATTAGCCGACGCTCTACCACTGGACCACAGGCGCTATCACATGTAATCAGTGCTCGTTTAACGGGTCATTAGAATCCCCTTAGTTTCCCTAAGACCGAGGACGGGTGTTTGATCGTAAAGACGTGTAAGTTTCCCTTAGACCGAGAATGGGTGTTTGATTGTAAAGATGTGTAAGTTTCCCTAAGACCGAAAACGGGTGTTGGATCGTGAAGCGAGAGTCACCAGAGCGTGAGGCACGGTAACAGTATAACGAGACAGCAATGGCACTATAGCCCGGTAATTGAGCGGATGGTAAAGCTCGGGCTGTGCCCGGTAAACTGCATTGTTGCCCTACATTGCATTGAACTTGTGGGAATTCTGAGGCAGAATAGACAAGTACACAGCGGTAGAAACTAACAGTTTTAGTCCACCAGACCTTATAATGATAACATCAAGGCCGTAGTTAACTTTTTTTTGACGGGGGGGGGGGGGGGGGGGGGGGGCGCAAATATTTGTGGAAGTATCACTTGTTCCCAACTTGGCTGGGTACGGCATTGAACATAGAGCAAATCCCTTAAAAAGGGCAAATGTCTAAGAGTCCTTATGATACCTGAACTATTGGGCAGTTTGGCAAAGACAATAGGATTAGTACCAATTTCTACCGCTGGTACAGCTGCACTGTGGTTTGAGAGCAGCACTCGGAGCCCAACAATCTTTAGTCTAAGACTTGATGTAACTTTATTCATTTTGTTTACTCTTATTTCAAGACGATTACAGTAGCACAATTGAAAGCAAACTTTTTCTTGTAGATTACAACTTATATTCTTTTTTCTATGATCATGATGATGAGGCAGAATCAGTATCTTCATTTTTCCCTATAGTTTACCATGTTTAAGAGGATTTTGAAGGGTAATAATGAAATGAGTGAAAAAGATTATAATGGAGCATTCCTTTGTCTGGTTCTGCTCTTATTTGTAATTTCCCTTAGCATTACTGGTAAACTCCTTGAGTTTATTAACGAGTCAACATGGTCAACAGCCCATTTTCAGACTTGTGATTTTTTCTGAGATTATTAGCGTGATTAGTCTTGGGGAAAATAAACAGGTCTTTCCATGGGCCTACCTTTAGAATACAGTTCCACAAACTTTTCAAACATGTCACAGTACCGTATGACATAATTTGTAGTATTTTGTTGTCTGGTCACTCTGACGAAACAATGCACTGTGACGTCAGGGGTCATCGGGTGTGCATAAGCTCCTCCCAGCATTGCCCAGTGATCTGTCATCTCTACACGCAATGTCATTGAATAAGCCCAATTGAGAATTTTGAATTAAGTTTACTAAATATAGCCAGCGGCGGTACAATTTATAGTAAACTAGTTAGTGAAAGTATTTTTAATTTCAATATATTTTAGTTGTTTCTTTTTCTTTATTCAAGTAGCTAAAATGATTATAAATGGGAACTGATATGCATATATTAATTTTTCGATTCATTATTTTTCATTATTATGCACAGGAATGCAGTTATTTGGTATATTATATTGGTACTGAACACACCCAAATGTCGCGGTGTTAGGGTACTTTATCCTTAGCCCTTGGACACATATTGGATCCCCTTTACGATCTCTCATCCCTTTCAATCATTAGGTACCCGTTTAGTGGCGATTATAGATTCTAAAGCGGCTCCTTATATTCTTCACACAAAAATGTCGAGAAGCAGGGTGAAATGGTTGAGTTTTAGCAACTGGAATTGGAAACTGTCCTGGAACATCACACAAACCACTTTCACCCGCTATATTAAGTCAGTACTGATTCAAATGCGAACTCACCCTGTGTCGTCACTTGTGGCTAACAATCCGAAGGTCGTGAGTTCGCATCCGACGGATTCTCACAAAAAATGGTCACCTGTGCTCATTCAGTTGATTCGTCTATAAACTGGTAATCATTTTTTTTTAAATTCCACATATATCAGGTAATCTAGTGATCTACTCTTTTATTTACATGTTTTAGCCCTGATGTGAATTCCCCACTAGCTAGTGGCAGTCGAAGCCGACCAGTCAGACGAGCCAACACGTTCCACTTCACGCCAACACATCCTGTAGATTCATCGCCTGGAGTGCTGCCATGGGTACGCTTTGGCAGGAGAGATCGACATTCCCTGTATAAAGCTGACATCAATTCCTTCAAACACCAAAACACTGTACGGGTAGCTCCACCTGATCCATACAGAGTTATCTCCCCAAGGTAAACCAACCGTTCTAAGGCATTGACAGGAAATATTTGTCTTTACCATGTTTGTACAACTTTGTCATTTAAAGGGTTAAATTGATAAAGAAGAACCGTGATACAATTTGCAAGTAAGAACGAAACGACCATAAACTGTTTAGTGAGTGAAAAATATGTATCACAGTACAGACCCGTATTTTAATGTATCATATTGAAGGCCACATACAGGGTGCATCGGAGTTTCAATGTATCCTTTCACCCTCCACCAATGAACAGTAGAGGACGTAACGTGTACGCGAGACGGCTCTCCCGTCTCGCGTACAAGTGACCACCTGAGAGGGGTCACTCGTATGTGTGACGGTCTGTCAGTGGACCATGGATTTCTGCATGTTGCACAAAAATGTCTCCACCAGCGTTATTTGTGAAAATAATAAAACAAAATTAAGTACAGTTATTGATTATCCTACTAGTTATCGAATGACATGAAAAAAATGTCATAAGAAAAATAATAAACGGTCAAATTGGGAGAAAAATGTGTAAAAATCGAGCAAAATGTTCTGTTTTTGACAGCGATTTTCTCCTATGTACATATTTTTCAGAAACTAACACGTAGTATTTTCTAAAAGCTTATTCATCGTAGAGTTACAAAATATGTAAATTATTTCACGCACACCAACGCACACCCATTTTCCATCGCGTTGAAACATGAAGACCTGGGTTAGAATAGGTCTTCAGTAACCCATGCTTGCCATAAAAGTCGATTATGCTTGTCGTAAGAGGTGACAAACAGGATCGATTGGTTTGACTCACTGACTTGGTTTAATGCATGTTATCGTATCCCAATTGCGTGGATCAATGCTCATGATGTCAATTATTATATTGCCGGTCCAGACTTGATTATTTTCAGACCGCAATCATAAAGCTGTAATATTGTTGAGTGCAGCGTTGAACAACAAATAACCAACCAACCAACCTTTCACCCACAGCATGCTTAGTCATTTATATTTAGGCTGGGTTCATAGATGTGAATAGATGAGTTTAGTCACAAAAGGGAAATCCCAATGTTGACGTTATGGACAGTGTGCATCCTAATATGTGACTTCAGTTCAATCTGTGTATCCCTGGCAAGTATTAAGCTTAAGTAGAGGTGCGCAGTGACAACAGAGATACCAGAACTCATTTCATAAGATTGATATTACACGGGAGCTTATTTAATATTCTATATAAATTATTGAATTTCAGGTCTGGTGAAAAGTTGCCAGGACCTGTGTTTTTTTATAAATACTGATCACTATCAAATATTGTTGTGTTCAGCATTTTCAAATAATAAAACATAAACATGATAAATGCAATGAGAGATGCTAACCTGAAAAGTACCAGTACTGTAGAACTGAGAGGAAGAATGGAATTTTAGCAAACTAACCAGCTTTTGTCATCAGCTCAACTGGATCAGTAGCTGGAAAAGAATTCCTGGCTTTGTGTCTTACTCCTTCCATCATGTCCATCTCTCTCCTCATTTTTAGCACTCTTCAGATCTGTTTTTGCTTCTGTTCACAGTGTAATGCCATTGAAAGAGAGATCTGACAACACACCAAAGCCAGTGGACACGCAAGCTGTGGTCAATGCACTCCGGGAAAGAAGGTAATTTGTTGAAGCATGAAGCCAGCATTGGGGTGGGGGGATTCTGTGCACTGCTTATTCTGTGGATAGAACAATGTTACACAGAGAGATCATTCAACTGATATTATTTACGGTATTATTTCAGACTGCAGCGTGCGATAACAATGCTATTCCAAGAATGGTGAAAATCACAAGGACAAGTAATAAGCAGTTGAACACTATGCAAGTTGAATAAATAATCGTGGCAATCTTCTGATAAGTTTCTTTAAAATGCTGTCTGTTGTCCGCCATCTTACCTGTCTTAATTTTTGTCATAAACCTAAAGTTACTTAGTGCTACATGCTCAGACAGCTTTGAGAATTGACCTTTACAACAATCACTAAGACAGCTTTGCGAATCAGCGCCCTGTCTTCACCTCTAGACAATGCATGCTATCTGCACTGAATGATTGGTACATTGATGATATCCAGTGTACTGTTGCCCTCCTATAACTAACAATGACAATTGTGTTTTGCTATTCCAGGAAAAGATCACTTGTTGTTGCAGTAGAAGAAGACACACTTTTTGAAGAGTCAGGTCAACATGCCAAGAGAAGGTGATACAGAGTAGTAGGATCTCGCTTTGATGAAACTTACCGTACTTGTCAGGATTACAGATGGCTGGAAATATTGCTTTTGAGGTGTAAACCCCTTCTCAAGCTCACTGTGCAGAGTTGTGTCCCTTAGCTTCCTTCATCATCTTATTATGGGATGGACAGGGTTTTATCTAGATCTGCTCTGAGGTCAATATATAGCCCCAAGTCTGCAGCAAATGTCAGTAAAAATTTCCAAATTGAAAATAACATTTCCCGTTTTATGATGTAACAGGTATATCTACTAGAATGTTAAATTTCAGTGTTTAAATACCTCTGAATTAAGGCCTATATTTTTTTGTAAATCCCATAAATAATAGTTCACCAATTTGCTGCCAAGGGCACTTAGTTTGGAATTGAAGAGAATACTCTGGTTGTGGTTCCAGGTTTGTCTTGATTAGAAACCTGGCTTGTCAGCACCATAACCAGAGAGAATATAAGATGCTAGTGAGAAACTGTCTGTCCCATGTTAAAAGATTCTCTGGTTATAGTTCCCAGGGCTCCAAATGATGTTTTAACCCTTGAGTATGTTACAATGACCTTTGTACATTATTCACAGTAGTTGCGTTAATGTATAGGTTATGCAGATCTGTAAAGAATATGGGAAAGGCAACCTTTAGTTTTTTATCCCCCGCCGGGCCAGAATGGCCGAAGGGGGATTATGTCATGGCGCAGTCCGTCCGTCAGTCTGTCTGTCTGTCTGTCTGTCTGTCCGTCCCACAGAAGGTACTAAGCTTGTGAAATCAATTCCTCCTACAGTATCCAGAGAATATCCCTGAAACTCTACACACAAGATGTCGACATGTTGATGATACGCATATTGCAGTCCCGTTTCATTTCGACCAATTTTGACAGTTACTGCCCCTGTTTTACGGAGCTTCATTTGCCTAATTGTGAGAGAGGGTACTAAGCTTATGAAATCAACTCCTCCTACAGTTTCCAAAGAATATCCCTGACACTCTACACACAAGATGTCGACATGTTGATGATACGCATATCGCAGTCCCGTTTCATTTCAACTAGTTTTGACAGAGTTACTGCCCCTGTTTTACGGAGCTTCATTTGCCTAATTTTGAGAGAGGTTACTAAGCTTGTGAAATCTACTCCTCCTCCATTTTCCAGAGAATATCTCTGACACTCTACACACAAGATGTCGATATGTTGATGATAGGCATATCGCAGTCCCGTTTCATTTCAGCTAGTTTTGACAGAGTTACTGCCCCTTTTTTACGGAGCTTCATTTGCCTAATTTTGAGAGAGGGTACTAAGCTAGTGAAATCTACTCCTCCTCCAGTTTCCAGAGAGTATCCCTGACACTCTACACACAAGATGTCAACATGTTGATGATACACATATCACAGTCCTGTTTAATTTTGACAAATTTTGACAGAGTTACTGCCCCTGTTTTACGGAGCTTCATTTGACTCGTTAAAAAATTCATGCGGGGGATGTTGTTCTCTCAGAGCACTCTTGTTATGTATTTGTTCACATGCATCTTACGATAATTTGGGTAATGGTGACCTGTTTTACATATCTTACGCAAATACGCAGCTTATCTGGACAGCAGAGTTCCAGGTTTGTCTTGATTTGAGCCTTGGTCTGTCAGCACCATACCCAGAGAGAATATTAGACCCAAGTGAGAAACAATCTACCCCATGTTAAAGGATTCCTTCTGATCCTTTGCTGAAAGCTTTCATTATTCAAGCTAGTGCTGAAAAACAGGAGTAAGTTTCATTACATACCTGAGCTTGTGTGTTTCCCCATAGTGATAAAAGTCTTCACATAATGTGAATATCAACTGCTTCACTGTATGATAGGGTCAGCTGGGATAGTTTCATAAATTCACCTATCTGTGTGCTCTTCTATGTATCCTATGTTACGTGTGATAAACAAAACAAATACAAAAAAGATGATGCTAAGTTTTGTCTTTGTTGCAGGCGGCAGGAAAGTAGCCAGTCCACAGCTTCCTCTGCATCCCTGCCTCCCATGCCGGATCACCTCCCTGACTTATCAGACAAGAATGTGATGATGCAGCTGGATGAGGTCAGTCTGAAGCGGCCATCAGCTCCAAGCAGGGAGGCCATGGAGGAGGCAGAGCAGGATGTCAGCCTCGCCAAGCGACAGAAGAACACTCGCAACAACCCCATTACCAGCTCACTCAGCTCCAGCAGGAAGATTCTAATCAGGGAGGTGCGTGTACAGGAAGATACAGGTCGAATGTCGGGGTTCTGTTTGTCCAGCATAGCTAGGTTTCAATCTCCATTCTGGTACTAGTGGCTCTGTGGTATCATGTGCCTCAATAAGTTATCGTTTCATCTGGGAGGTGCGTGTACAAGAAGATTATGGTTGTCTCTTCCTTGATTGTCTGGTGCTGGGTGTTAGGGATAGGAGTCAGGGCATCTGTTTGTCCAGCATAGCAGGAGGGTCAGTTGCCTCAATAAGCTGTGTATAGTTGCTTCTGGGTGGAGTCTGTACAGGATGATTAAGACTGGCTTTGCTTTGATGTCTCCTTCTTTCTGAGAGATAAAGGATATATGTCAGGGTATCTTCATGTTCAACCTTGTTATGGATATTCAGTTCCTTTGTTAAAAGCAAGAAAGTAAAGCTGGCCAAAAAATAATAATCATGGACTGTTTGGTCTGTCAGCACCTTATTGTGCTTTTAGGTTTCTCAACATGGTTGTGTCTACAACCTACATTATACATGAGGCTTCCTCTCATGCACTATGTTTCTGAATGATTGTTCCAATGGACTTTAAACACAGCAGACAAACTCTGGTTGTTGTCTCTGAAGGATGGCTACAATGATTTCCCTCATGCATCATCATCTTCTTTCCCTATGTTTTATTAATAGAATATCATTTGTGACAGATCTTCTAACTGTATATTTCTGTATTGTTTGGAAGGTGTTGTCATGAAGTATTATTTTCATGTTGCAGAGAATTGAAGCGAAGAGTAAGACTCCCCTGTCCCATCTAGATGCAGAATTTCCACAGACCAAGCGGCGAGCTCCTGACCAGTCGCCTGCCCCCACAAATGATGTCCCTCAATCAGAGTAGGTGACACTTTCACTGATCATCACTTATGCAGTGTTTGAAAATATGCATAAAAGTTAACATGTCTGTCATAGGCCTAATGTGTTACAAGTTGAAGATTTTTGGTCCCCACATTAAAATGTTTCAGGAAAAGACCTGTAAGACCCCAGGACCTCCCTTAATTTCAAATTGTGCTTAATTACATTAAGTAATACGTTACCACTGTTATACCGAGGCTGTTGTCTCCCACAACTGCTGCTATCGCGAAATCTACCACAGAGATCTCAATTACCTCATGCAGCACGTGCGTAGCCACCTAGCTGCCATGTGACACCCTTCACTCTTGTCTCTTCGCTTGCTCTAGCAAGACGTACAATAAACTGCTCAAGCTTTCCAGTTTCTCCGACCATTCGGTGATATTTATTACTGTTTATTCTCTCTAATAAACTGTGCTTTTACGGGGCGTTTGCTGTAACTACGCTTGGAAATATTTTCCCGCCACAAGGAAATATTTTTCCCGCCCTTTTTTTCTATATACTTTCGGGGTGTCTCGTATGCACGTTGCGTCTTAGGTTCCCCTGTTCTAGTATATCTTGGGTTTTTTACATCACTTATACCTCTATATGTTATATGTGTATGTTCTATATTCGCATTGCTCGTTTATTTTCTTGTGAAAATACTCGTTTGTGACTATTTGTGGTGCGTGTGTTGTAACCATGTTTTGCTCTTTGTTCATAGTACAAACAAAATGTCTGACATGGATGTTTCGCCGTCCTCCACCCCCTCTACCCCCGCAACCAGGAGCTGCGGGGTGTGCCGCAAGCGAGCGCTACCGGCTGTATGTGCAGTCCGTTTCCACCCCTGCGGTGGCCGGCTCGTCCGGTCGGGGTCCCCTTGCGGGTACCACCACCACGGCTGCGGCGGATCCCTTGGCGGCCCGTGGGCTGTCCGGGGATTCCGTCGCTGCATTACTTGCATAACTTGTGGACTCCAAGCTGGCAGCCTTATCTCAGGATAGGCCGCTGGCTGTTCCGTCCCCGGCCACTTAGGTGGCCGCGGGGTCCACCGGTACGGCGGCGGCTCCCTCGGTCACCGGTCCTTCCCCCGAACCGTTGCTCCCGCTATCGGTTAAGGACCGCGTGGCCATGGTTTATGACCTCTTTGAGGACATGCCCCGGCCGGTACCGCGGGGAATCCACGACTGTGGGTTCCTCCGAGGTATACGATGAGTCTTCCGACACGGCTTTCCCCGCATCAACCTTGCTGCGCGGTATCAAGCCTTCCTTGGAGAACTTTCGCGGCGGCCTCCGGTCGGGGTCTCCCTTTGCCTCCGACGTCGTGGAGAAAGGGTTTATTCCCTTGCACCAGCTGGACACCCTCGCTCTGCACTCCATGTCTCACGGAGACACTTACTTGGCTGCAGCGGCCCGTCTGGTCGAAGGTTCTCCCACGGACCGTGACCAGCGCATTTACAACTGCCTGCTCAGTTTAAATGCTTCCCTGGAGTACGTTGCCGAGGACTCTCGGCACACACTTGCTCTTGTTGGGTCCCTGCATAGGCGCCTGGGTGCCGCTCCTAACCGGAGCGCGCCCCAGGCTGCTGCGGCCGGTAGGTCTAAGGGGTCGGGTTCTTCTTCCTCTGGGAAGTAGCCCCGCCCTGAGGGCTCCGGTATGGGCAATCAGCTGCCTTTTCGCGGGAAGACGGGGAACTGGGGGAAGCCAAAGTCGTCGACGGGCGGCAAGGGCCCCTCCAGGTGACTCTCATTGGAGGGGTTTGTATGCCGACAGCGCCAACTTCGGTTGGCCCTTAGGCGAACCCGAGTCACTTGGCCCTGGACAGTTGCGCCTGCCGCAGCCTGTCAGGGCCCCCTCTCCTTCCCCAGTGGGAGCCAGACTCCAGACTTACTGGGAGAATTGGGAACAAGTGTTCGACGACCCGTGGGTGGTCAACACGATTCGGTACGGCTATCGGCTAGATCTCAAAGCGAATCCGCCGCTCACCGTTGCCCCGTTGGCAGGTTTCGATTCGGAAACCGATCGTCCCATCCTCGCCGATGCCATCGGCAGGTTGGTGGAGAAGGGGCAGTACGGGAGTTAGCTCTACCAGAAATAACACCGGGGTTTTACTCCAGGATATTTCTCGTTCCCAAGTAGGACAGTGCCGAACTCACTGGCTGTTCACCCGGTTAACCACCCCCATAGTGGGGTTCCTCCACAGGAGGGGTGTCCGGTACTTCGCGTAACTGGACGACTCGCTAGTAGCAAATCGAATGACGGACACCCTGTCACGCCATCTCGTTTTCGCACGTCGGCTCTTGGAGCAATTGGGGTGGATTATCAATCTCCCCAAGAGCGAGTTAACCCCTTCTCAGAACTTGCTGTTCATCGGAGGTCGGTTCAACACGGTGTCCCATCGCCTCTTTGTCCCCCCAGACCGGTGGCACAAGATTCAGGCGATGATTGCCAAAGTCTTAGCGGTGTAACAGACTGTTCACTTTTGGGAACAGCTGTTAGGGCTACTTGTATCAGCCCAGGACTGCACCGAACGGGGTCGTCTCCAACTCCGCCCGCTGCAACGGTTTTTAATCCAGTTGTTAGCAACGGAGGTGAACAGTGCGACCGTCGCCCTCCCGGATCGGCTCCGACCGCATCTGGAGTGGTGGACGGTCCCTTACAATGTCTTATCAGGAGTCTCTATGCGGCCCTACCGGGCCACGTTTAACCTGTATACAGACGCCTCTCTAGTGGGCTGGGGCGCCCATCTAGAGGGGGAGGTGAGCTCGGGGCTGTGGTGCGTAGACGAACTAGGTCTTCACATCAATTGTCTCGAGTTCAAGGCAGTGATCAACGCAGTCAATCACTGGAAGCATCGTCTCGTCGACGCCCAGCTCATGCTGGCGACCGACAACACGACGGAAGTGTCCTATGTGAACAAACTGGGGGGAACCCACAGTCACTCGCTTCTCGATCTCACGTTCGAGTTTTACGCTCTGGTGGACAGTGTCCCGTGCCAGATACGCGCCCGTCACATCCCAGGTGTGCGGAACGTACTGGCCGATGCTCTATCGAGGCCTCAGGATCCGAGCCCCACAGAGTGGATGCTGAACCCAGTAGTGTTTCAGTGGCTGTGCGAACGTTTGGGTCGTCCGATGGTCGACCTGTTCGCAACACGGTTCAACAATCAACTCCCGTTGTTTGTATCACCAGTCCCAGACCCGAGGGCCATCGATCACGATGCTCTCGCGTTAGACTGGACGGGCTTGGACGCTTATGCTTACCCGCCGACAGCATTGATACCACACATTCTAAGCCGGCTCCGAGGAGTTCGCTGTCGAATGTTACTGATCGCGCCCATGTGGCCGAACAGATCGTGGTACCCCGACTTGCTGACCCAGGTCACGCAGTCGCCACTCCCACTGCCTGTGAGACCGGATCTCTTGATCCACCCTCACACCCGTCCGCTTCATCCAAACGCAGGGCAGTTCAATCTGCACGCGTGGATGTTGTCACCGAGCGTCTGAGGAGTAAAGGTTTTTCTCGCCGGGCGTCTCGGGCATACGTTAGTATGCATCGTGATTCTACCCAGAAGGTGTATAATGCACGTTGGGTTATTTTCACGAAGTGGTGTTGTAAACATCACATTCATTCGCCAGATAAGGTATCTGTGCAGGATATTGCTCGTTTCATGTCTCACTTGCGAGAGACCCGGAAACTCTCCTGGGGTTCCATTGCCAACTATGTCTCGTCCGTTGCTACGGTACGGGACGTTGCTATGGGTACCAGTCTCTCCAAAGAGCCGGTGATACGGAGTATTATCAAGGGTTTCAAACAGCACGATCTTAAGAAGGGCCGCCTTCAGGCACCGGCCTGGGATCTTTCCCTAGTGTTGCAATCACTTACGGAAGCTCCGTATGAACCCTTGCATAGTGCTTCGTTCCGGCATGTGACTTGGAAAACAGCATTTCTCCTCTCCTTTGCCACGGCGGCACGTGTATCCGAAATTCATGCACTCGATGTCGCCAAGGTACGATTCGATAGGGGTGACAAAGGAGCGGTCCGCCTGGGCCTGCTCATGGGCTTCGTCGCCAAGAATCAGAGAGTCGGGCAAACGGAGAGAGAATTCACTGTAAGATCACTCAAAGAAATCTTACATCCTGCTGATTGTCCGGTTAGGGCCCTTAAGTATTATCTTAAGGCTTCGAATGAACGTAGACAAGGGCGTGACCGTCTGTTCATATCGTGTAACCCTAATCGCACGGTTGACATAACTCGATTGCGTTGTGGCTTCGTTCTGTCATCAATCTGGCGTACCGGTCTCGGGGGTTACCGGTAGCGGGGTCACACCCGCACGAGATCAGGGCGCTAGCGGCAACATTTGCCCTACACTCGAATATCTCTGTTCGCAGAATATTACGAGGTTGTTACTGGCGTTCTGACTCGGTTTTTGCCAGTCATTACCTCAAACAGGTCGCTGATGCCGTCGTGGAGAGTGTGCACTGTCTTGGCCCGCGGATCGCGGCACCTAAGGGGTGTGCCCAGCGCAATTCCGAACTCCTCAGGCGTCAGACCTTGCACGGTGGTCAATCTGGGTCGACTCCACAGGAGTTGGGGTCCCACAAACCAGCGCACTCACACCACAGGTGAGGGCGGCTTTTTGTGTGCTTTGTCCTTATTTGTATTTTGACAATTATGTATTTAATTGTCTGTCGTGTATCCCAACCTTGTGATGCATGCTTACAAATACTGGAATTAGGTCACGCGCCTAATGCATACTTTAAGTAGGCTTGCTCTGGGATATACGGTCTGAATGAAATTAATTTCCCTCTTTTCGACTGTTTAACCTGATCTAAGATTTAGCTCACGCGGATACAGTGTTCTCATCCGCTGCGGCGATGAAATACCTATCCAGTGGGGCCGTTTGGAGTCACCAATCGTTTTGGCAATGACGATTGAGCCTTACGGTATGCGCTTGACAGTGCTTTGGTATTCCTATAGGGTAACGCCTAGCTAGGTGCATGCGCATCGAGTGCTTCCGCCTTGGTGTTTACTTCCGCTGGTCAGAAGGAACGCTAGCAGTCAGGATTCGGGTTGTAGGTGCTCCCCACCGCCTACTGTGGTAGTCAGCCTCGGTATAACAGTGGTAACGTATTACTTAATGTAATTTGTAGAATTTTCCTATTCGGAATATTCTATAAGTAATACGTTACCACTGGGCTGCTGCCCGCCCGTCCGTCCCCCGAGCACTTGCTCTCGCAAGAGACAAGAGTGAAGGGTGTCACATGGCAGCTAGGTGGCTACGCACGTGCTGCATGAGGTAATTGAGATCTCTGTGGTAGATTTCGCTATAGCAGCAGTTGTGGGAGACAACAGCCTCGGTATAACAGTGGTAACGTATTACTTATAGAATATTCCGAATAGGAAGATTCTACAATTTTGACCAACCTTGCATTAACTCAGGGGTATAAGGAGAGTGGACATGGGTGGCCTAGTTGTTTATGAAACTGCAGTTGTTGTTTTTTTCAGAGTTGCCTCCCTTTGTCATACCAGAATCCTATTATAGTAGATTTGGAGCCAGACTCAAATTAACTCATTGTTTGTGAAAAACAAAAGGAAATAGTGTTGAAAAAGTGAGCCAATATCATGGCACATCCGTCAGTTCGTTGAAAACTTTTGCATCTCCTCCGAAACTACATGCATATGAAGCTGAAACTTTGCATGAATGTCTCTGAGAAGTACTAACATATTTCAATCCTCTTTTAAACATGGCCACCATGACAGCCATATTGAAAATATCTTTTATTGCCCATTTCTGATCCTGTTGTTATAATGGAAGTTGAGATTCAGCAAGCAGGTAGTACGTAGAATGACAAGTAATACGTATTTTGGCAGGTTTTGATTTTTCACCTATGCTTTACCTTACCTGAAGCTTCACAGTGCTCTGTTTTCCAAGCTCTCTCAACAGCGAAAATCATATGTTGAAAAGCGACCTAGTCTTGAGCGGAAGTCCTCTTTCTTTCAGCCCAAGCGTCAGTCCCCTAAGAAAGACTGGAACAACAAGGCCCCCCGACCATGGCCGCTTTTCCTGTGGGGACCTTAGTAAAAAATGAGTCGGAGGGAGACTTCAATACAGCTACAGCATCAGTTCGTCACAATCTGGCACTCTTCAATCTCCGCTATCTTGCGCCCCCGCCCCCGCCACAGATGATCCATCCATTCCCTTCACCACCTGATCATTGAAGATCATCAGTGGTTCCCAGCTGTCCTCGATCCCAGCCCTTTTTGCCATGATTTGAGGTTTTCAAGTGGAAGATTAGACTAAGAAGTCCCATCCTCCAGCTTGGGATCTCAATATTGTTTTACTGACTTAGGCCAGGCCTGATATCAACCGCTTGCATCTGCCTCGTTTGAAGATTCTTGAAGACTTGCTTTCTCCTGGCGCTTGCCACGGCGGGCAGGTTAGTGAGCTTCATGCACTGGATGTGACTCTGGTCTGGTTCGACCAGCGACCTCACGTCAGTTTCACGTCCCGCCTTTTTCGGAGATTTTCGGTCCAGATGATGACATTGAACTCGCCCTCTGCCCTGTTGAAGCTCCATGACAATATATTCAGGTGTCTGAGCAGCGTCGTAGTCAGCGTCAGAGGCTGCTCATTCCTGTTTCCAGCCGACCTACACCTCCAGCGGTCTACAATCCACACGTGATCCGAGCCCTAACTTTTTTATGTTGGCCGTCCATGCTAACATCTCCATCAGGTCAGTGATGGAGGGATGTTTTTCATCCTCTACCTCTTTGCCAGCCTTCTTCGCAACACTTCTGTGGAATACATCGAGGGAACTCACAGCTTTGGTCCACTTGTCCTGGCCCAGCAGGTGACCACCCCAAGGATGCAATTGACCATGCCCTATCTGAGGAAAGAGGTTGTCTGCTGGCCCCGCTGCCTTGCTTTTACCCAAGCAACTTCTCAGTACATTCAGACCACCATTCTGTTCTGAGAGGGCTTGACCTGCATCCTATCCCCTAGCCTGCCATGCCTGGTGCCGCTACCTTGCTGTCACCTGAAGGGTTCCTTGCTGGATGGTTTAGTTGTACTTCCTCAGCTTGACTGGTGCTTCTCACGGTTAGCCCGCCTTCCATTTCAGTCAAATAATGCACTGTGTAGCATCAGGTAGAACATGAGCATTTCTGATAAAAAGCAATGTTTTTATACTTACCTGATGCTACACCTACAGGCCCACCCAAACTGCATCCACCTCATCCACCTTACCGATTTGGCACCACTGTCTACGCTGCACCTGCTGTCATACAGTGAAGAATTTGAGGGAGATGGGGCCAAGGGAAATAACTCATGGATGCCGGGGGACTGGCGATAATTTGTTTCAACTGTTTCTTTTTTACAGTACTGTCTGTTTGTATAAGGTAGGGAAGATGTTGAGAGAGCACTGTGTAGCGTTAGGTAAGTATAAAAAAAACCATTTAATCAGATATGTTCATAATTACTGGTGTGTTCTCATCATTGAAATCTCTGTGTTTTGTTCCAGTGAAGGAGATTCTATCATGATTCCAGAGTGTGAAGAAACTAGGCCTGAAGCATCCACAACTGAAACTGTCAATAAAGACAAGGTACCTACTTAAAAAAATTTAAAATATGAAATTGGAATCTGGAGTAGAATGAACCTGTCTTTAACTGCTGTGAAATGTTTGTTTGAATAGGTCCCTAACACCACATAGCTAGTAATTTATAAAAACTTGACTTGATTGATTGCATGTTGTCGTGCAAGTCTAGATTATTTACAGGGCACTATGATATGGCTGCAATATTGCTGACTGCAGTGTTAAACAACACTCTCTATTGTCTCTTACCCTGTTATTGTACATGGCTCCCCCTGCAGGGACGAATGCAATGGAGGTTTTTTAATGCAAACCTTTTAAATCAACTAGCAGTTTCACTTGTTGAAGGTACTATAAGGGAGACATGCTCTATGTTATAAATCTATGAGAACTGTTTGTTTCCTTAATTTATGTTGAAATGTCTACATATTTGTGTGATGTTTTGATTGTTCAGTCATCTACACCATCAAGTAAGACATCAACACCCAACAGGAGACTGCAGCTGGATGGTGTACACAAGCCAACAAGACGTCGGAACCTGTCCCTGTACCCAGGCTTGAATACTTCATTTGCTGGGGTTAGTATTCTATATCTATATGTCCCTGTACCCCACTGGTACCCAGGCTTGAATACTTCATTTGCTGGAGTTAGTATTCTATAGTAATATATCCCTGTACCCAGGCTTGAATACTTCATTTACTGGAGTTAGTATTCTATAGTAATATGTCCCTGTACCCAGGCTTAAATACTTCATTTACTGGAGTTAGTATTCTATAGTAATATATCCCTGTACCCAGGCTTAAATACTTCATTTACTGGAGTTAGTATTCTATAGTAATATATCCGAACCCAGACTTTAATACTTCATTTACTGGATGTAGTATAATGTACAGATGCTCTTGCCTGCTACCCAGGTGCCGGTGGCGCGAGTGTCAGCTACAGCAGAAGACTACGAGGCAGACAGGGAAGCTGAACGGCAGAGAGTGCAGGACATGTTGGAGGATGCTGAGACGTCCAGCAAACAGAAGAGCAGGCCAGGTACATGCCACAACACTCTCATGCACATGTTTGTTTGTTTTTTGTTTGACACCGCACTCAGCATTATACCAGAGTCACCTCTTTCGACAAGTATGGGTTGCTGAAGACAGATTCTATCTCTGATCTTCATGCGAGCTTTAACTTGACATACATAGACTGGATACCAGATTTACCTGTGTAACTAGTAATTAGTTCTATGTGACAGATAGGCCAGCTGGTTGTATGCTCACACAAAAAGTCATTTCACAGTTCACCATTAGGGAAGCTTAGTACTGGTATTGAAAGGACAAAGATGCTCACAGATACTGGAAAGTCTTTTCCTTGTCACAAGGGGTTGACCTCCTCAGAGATGAAGTGGATAGAGCATCAGCGGAGAGAATTTAAGGACAATCGTGAGATGTTAAAAGATTGTACTTGTTAACCTGCCTGGCGTTCGGCTTTAGGGGAATAATAGGGGTATTAGCGTTCCGTTCGTCCGTCCTTCCGTCCTTTCATCCAAGCTTTTGTACGGCCCATAACTTTTTAACCATGCACCCTAGCTTCACCAACCTTGCTACACACATTAACCACAATGAGTATTTGTGCCTTTTGCTAGTTTGAAGATTCTGAATTATTTTTTTTTTTTGCCGTTTCCATGGAATCATGGTGAAACATAAATTTTGGGAAGAATTTTTTTACAATCCATGTTTACAATATTATATATCCTAGCTTCAGCAAACTTGCTACATTAACCACTATGATAAGATTCTGAAAGTTTTCTCTTTTGCTTTTTTCTTGGAAACATGATGGAATTTGGAAATTTTGATGACTGGTTTTGTATAGCTTATATATTTTCAAAACTTGTTGCCACACATGTAGATCATCATAAGTATCTGTGCTTTGTGTTAGTTTGAATTTATGAATTCTTTACCATATCTGTTGAGGCTAGATGGAAATTATTTATTTATTGATTTTCTTATATGATATTGTTCCATTGTTTATGTGTTTTTATATCAACAATTTTTGGTCCTTTTGATAATTCTTCTTATGTAACTCCGCAATCAAATTTTATTCAAAGGTGTTCATGGTGATCTACTTCCTTGTAGTGAACACTGGTAACATGGAAGATTTGGGTGGTGTCAGCTGTCTCTGGAACTTAGTTTTTAAAACATTGAAGTTAAAATCAGTTAGAAATATGTAATATTTCATTAATTAACAAACTATTTATTATTTGTTGTTGACCAGTGGGTATAACGGGGGTATGTGAGCTTTGCTCACTTCTTTCTTGTTTTGAATGCAACATTAAATCCCATTTTACTTCCCAAAGGGCTGTTTTCTCATTTGGGCAACCACTATATTTGAAAATTGTGAATTGTGAAATGAAGTGGAAACTTCATGTTAATAATATGCTTCTGTTGTTCCAGGTGCTGATGTGTTGAAATCTGCTGCCACTCCTTCAAGTACCAGCCAGACAGTGACCACTACCAGCACCACCTCATCTCAGCAGACAGGCATAAGCACCACTTCATCACTCCTGTCTCCCCCCTCTGAAACAAAGACTCTAACTGCAGTCAGCAAGACACCAACCTTATCTTCCATCTCTGCCACCAACCCTCTGTTGAACTCCAAGCCAACCTCCACCACTAATCCTCTCTTAAACACCAAACCGACCCCAACTACAAACCCTTTGTTGAGCACCAGACCGACAGCCACCACAACAGCCGCCCAGCTGGACCTAACCTTCAAGCCCATCTTTGGTACAGTTGCCACAGGATCATCAACAGCAAGCACCTCTACAACAGCGTCAGTGACAACCCCAGTGTCATCCACCACTATTTCAGGCTTCAACCCCATCTTCCCACAAGCAGCATCAACAGCTTTATGTACAGGAACATCTACAACAATGACTAACCTTGTTGTGCCGACTCCATCAACTAAAACAGACTCTGGCAGGACTGGTTTATCAGCAGCTCAGGCTATGTTCAACACGTTCAATTCACCTGCCAATCCCCCACCACCGTACCCAGGCACAACTCAAGTTGGGAATGCCCCTGTCAACTTCTCCAGTGCTCCAGCTAAGCCAAGCTCTCAAGTGATCGGCATCTTACCCCTGTCTACCAGTACACCCAAGCCTCCAGTACAGCCTGGGTTCTCTTTAACTGGACCCACTGCTCTGCAGTTTGGGCAGTCATCAGCTCCTGCAACAACGAGTGCAGCATCGTCAGTCCAAACAGGATCTGCTGGGCCACCGGCACCTACATTTTCCTTTGGTCAACAACCAGCAGCAACTACCACGAATGTTGGATTTGGAGGAAGTAGTTCTGTACCCGCGACCACAAAAGGCACCACAGCAGGACAGACAATTGGACTTTCAACTCCAGCTAAGAATTTGTTTGGAGCAACTACAGCAGCGCCATCCACTGCATCAAGTATGCTAGGGTTTGGGCAGTCTGTCACAGGCTCTTCAGCAGCTAATCAATTTGGGCAGAATACAGCTGTGTCCACAGTTTCTGGTGGGTTTCCGTCTACTGCGTTTCAGATGGGATTGACGTCAACAACACAAGCGAAGACATCTGCAGGTCCTGGGTTGTTCAACTTCGGTGCGACTCCTGCAGCTGGGACAGCATCTTCCTTTGGCAACACCAGCAACACCGCGCTAGGGGTGGGAAGCACAACATCTTCAGTGTTTGGATCTGGGGGCAATTCCGCATCAGCCTTTGGAACGGGAACAAGTGCAACATCGGCCTTTGGTTCAGGAACCAATGCAACATCACCCTTTGGAACGGGTACTAGTGCAACACCTGCCTTTGGAACAGGAACAACTGCAACATCAGCCTTCGGTTCAGGAACTAATGCAGCGTCGGCATTTGGCTCAGGAACAAGTGCAACATCGGCCTTTGGTTTAGGAACTAGTGGTACAGCAGCCTTTGGTTCTGGAAACAGTTCTGCACCAGGTTTTGGCACTGGATCTGCTCCAGCCTTTGGGTCTGCAACAGGAACAGCTGCTTCTGCATTTGGGACAAGCTCTGGGAGTGCTGCATTTGGCTCGAGCACTGGGCCATCTGCACCAGGGTTTGGAGCTGGTGCAAGCACAACAAAACAGAGCAGTACAGGGTCAAGTACATTCTCATTTGGTAACACTTCCACTCCTTCACAACCAGCTTTCGGGTCCAGTCAGACAGCCTCTACATCTTCAGTGTTCGGGGCACCTGGTGGGAGTCAAGACCAGAAACAGACAAGTGTGTTTGGTGCATCCACAACTCAAGCAGGGTTCAATTTTGGATCAACATCGAGTGCGTTTTCCTCAGGTTCTCAGCCTGGTTTTGGACAGTCATCGTCAGGGTTTGGAGGCACAACTACTCCCAGTAAAAGTAACACTCCAGGCACATTTCAGTTTGGACAGACAAGTCAGCCAAGTACAGGGGAAAACAAGGGATTTAACTTCAATGCATCCTTCACAGGGACTCCACAAGTAAACTTTGGTAAGTTGCTCTTTCATGATCTTGAATCAAATATACTGTATGTGACCGTATATAAGCAGATCTAAAAGATAAGCCGAGGTGTTTACGTGGTCCTTGAAATCTGTATGAAAATGTTATGTGCGGTAGATAAGCCGGACTCCAACCTAAAACTACACCTCGTTATGATCTGTCAACAGAAATAGAATGTCAACAAATCCTTATTGAATTTAAGTTAATGGTGTCGTTACCCCGTCGGTAATAAAAAATGTTCATTGTATATCTGGACTCTACGTAATCTAGTTTAATCAAAATTTCATTCAACAATGTTTGCATAAATTTCGTCGAAATTGCGTGTTCCTACGATACATACAACTTCCGTTTGCCCCATTCCATACTGTGACAACACGACTTTTTACATATGCAGCAACCACGATCATATTACCGCTATTGACACCTTGAAACAAACCTTAGTTGACAGAATGGATACATATATCATGTGTAAAACTGCCATACATTGACTCGTTATAAGTAATATTTGTTGTAGTTTGATGATTAAATGTCAACATATTGTTTTTGTGATGGAAATCATGGAAATAGCAAGATTGCGCAAAACCTCAACATTAATTTGTCAAATTGTTCCATGCAAAAATGTATCCCACAATACACCAAAGTGCTACCACATAACCCTGGTTATAGTTATAATTATTTTGAAGATATATAGTAAAACCTGTAATTAAAATAACAAGATTTTATTTTTGTCTGATCATTGCATACAAATTCTTTTCTGATATATCATTGGGTATGTTTTAACATAATCACTAGTAGACATGGTAGATGTAGATTGAGAGAAAACGTTTGTACAGCTGATTGCTATTTCTGGCTAAGTTTACAAGACAATACACACTATCCCTGCATATAAAACAATGCCTACTATAACAAGAAATACAATCCAAACTGTAAATAAACAATGTCTTGTGATGTTTAATTGCAAATTTCAAATTTTCATTGACCAAATTTGTTATAGCGTTGTTCATTCACCTGAAGTGATAAGATGTATTTTTTTTAACCCAAAATTTGGTTTATTTACGTCACATAGGTAAATATTCGTTACATTAATCATGTTAATATTACCCAAATGGTGACTTTTTGGCATTTTCTTTCACGGGTACATTGTAAAGGATTTAGGTAACCAATAATACCCAAGGTAAAATGACATGAGTGTCAATATTGTTTTACACAACAGTGTGTAGTTTTGTTATCAGTCGGACTTAGTCATGTTAGTGGCTGTAAACATTTTAGTGCCTCACAACATGATGATGATGATGATGATGATGATAATGATCCAGGTTAGAATAGGTCTTGCCGTAACAGGCATCAAACATGATCGGGGGTGGTCAGGTCTGCTGACTTGGTTGATGTATGTCACTGCATCCCAAATGCATAGATCGATGCTCATAATGACAATCACTGGATTGTCTGGTCCAAACTGTCAAATAGCTGGAATATTGCTGAGTGCAGCGTTAAACACACACACACACACACCCTTCTCTACCCCCCCCCCCCCCCCCAACACACACACACAAATCTCATTCATGTGTCTTGATTCAGTGTTGCCAGGTGTGTGATAACTCACGATATGACTTCGCTCTTGCAGGAACCCCCTCAACTCCCAACACTTCTTTTGCCTCTCCATCCAACATGTTCAGTGTGTCAGGTGCAGCGGGGGTGCCTCCCAAGCCGCGGGTCGCTACTCGCGGACGAAGGAGAGGTGCCAGGAGGTGAGAGCGACACCCAGCAGCCAACTCAACAAACATGTGAGGGACAGGACCATGTCTCTCTACCACTCAACATTTCCAGCTGACTCGGTTGTGACTTCAACTCTTCTGCTGTTAACGAAGACAGAGTTTGTAAGGAGTCAGTTTGTCAGTTCAGGATATCTACAACATGACTTGGGTCTCCTCAAGATGCAGTGTTACAAAAGATGATGATGTAATGGTAACAGTTTTGCAATATATGACTGAAGCCAGCAAGTGAGGAGTCAGCATGTAAGGTTGGATCCAAACCCTCAGAAAAGAGGTGTTCTACTCTTTGATGCATATGATAGACATGCATATTAATATCAGGGGAACTGAGCAGGATATTCTACTCCTTCCTCATCGCTAGGATGTGCATGATACACATGCAGGTTGTGAGTCGGGGTAATTCAGCGAGATGTGTTGCATATTTTCTCGTAGCAGTAGCAGGGATACAGAAGGTTGTCTTACAAAACGTTAATGGGACATTATGCAAGTTTTTACAACACAAACAAAATAACCAACACATAGGACAACCGAACCTGTTCAATGAAACTGCAGGTAGAACTTGTGGCAGGTCCTCGGTCACAACAAATACATATTGGATGTTGAATGTGTAACCATGGTAACAGTGGCTGCAGTGGCTTACAGTGAAAAGAGTAAACAACTGCTGCTTCCTTCAGCACTTTGCCCAGTCATCTATCCTGGGTATTTCTGTTATCTGGTTGTGCTTCTTGTTAGGAATAAACTGGGATGTAACTAAACCTGAAACATTTGCTTGTCTGAACAGTTATGACATGAGGACACCCGCTAAAAACCTGAAATTCTTCTCACCCAATGGATACCTTTGACACCAGACAAACTGACTCAGGCTAGCGGGGCAGTTGCATCCCTGATGAACGATGCATAGCCTGATCTGACATGCCACCCCATTTCATTTTTTGAGGTATTTCAATGAAGACTTGATTTTATTCTCGAAAATGTTTGTTTAAAAGGTTTACTTGGATTATCGGTTAGTCTACCTCAAGGTTTTGAAAGACTGTGCATTTAATTTCCATACTTTACCAAAGTTATCAATCATTGATTATGAAGCATGGTAATATAGTTACAATATCATCTGATTAATGTGGTCATGAACAGCTTTTCATTTTCCGTGGTATAATTGTTTGCCAACAAAGAGATGAAAGGGGGCATAATATTAAAACTGTTGTTATTTCCTTCATAGCACTAGATTTATTTTACTTTTCACAATACTCCAGCATCAGAACACATTCAGATACCAGGACTGCTGGAAGTGGTGATATTGTTCTCATTAAGTTTGACACTGCCAATTTTACAAAAGGAATGGTATTTCCTTTTTCACCTATCACATGATGGATATTGTATGCTGGATATACTGAGGTAGTGTCATTATTTCTGTAAGGAGTTGTTTCATCAACAGAGAACTAAAAACAATTCATCTGTATTACGTATTGTATAATATTACGTTACTTAGTTTGAGTTAAGAGAATATTTATAAGGTTTATTTGTCACAAAGTATGAATCATGTTGAATAATAAATTCTGTCTTCAAATTCTGTATCTTGACAATACAATGAATCAGATTCTTGTGAATGTCTCAAAAACTGAATTGCCTTGTCTCTGTGCATTAAAGGGTTGGGTACACGTGCATTATACCGGATACCTGATACATATTGGTTGGATCCCTTACCAGGGATATATTGCTTATAAAGCAACATGAGAAAAATAGAGTGATAAACTGATATAGCCACAAAACTGAATATGAAAGCAATTACTTAAAATCAACATGGAAATACTAAGGGCATGCAGCAACCTCATCAGTTAAACCATCAAGATTGGTATTGTTTATTGACTTTGGTAGTTCATTAGTTAAGTAATTATTACAGCAAGCCCCTAAACCCCTTGTTTTAGTGAGACTGCTGAAGGTGGCAGGTGAAATATTTAGAAACCATCACAAGGGAAGAAGCTTGTGGACATCCCTAACCAAAATGGAGGAAGGTGTCTGGTATACTGCAATCCAGCCTTGTAGTGGTTCATTGGTCTGCTTCACCTCAACCAGGCCCATCATGTTCTCGGACGACAAGAAGCAGTTGGTTCACCAATAGTCTGTATTCACCATTCATTTAATCAATTATGATATATTCATCCCACTGACTCCACTACACTTTGCCTCACGTCAAGATGCTACAAAATGTGCTACAACCGAAGAAAATTACTATGTGTGTTTACTTGATAAAACATGTCTTCCCACAAACAGTTTTTGCTTCATGTGAATCACATCCATCAACGATTTATAAATACAGATAACCTGAAAGGTTTTATAAAATCAAAAGGCCTCCCTCCATTTTTACAATTTGAATGAAAATCAGATAATTAATTTATTGTGGCCTTTAATCTTTCAGAATGTTTGTAATATGTTCAGTTGAATATTGTACCATGTTTTGTTATTTTATGTGAATTCTTCTAATTTGTTTCCTTGTGATGTCTGTTCCAGTGTATATAAAACTAGATCCTCACAGATCATGACAGAATATATCACTAGAGTTACATACTCGCATAAACACTCATATTCCAGTGGGAAATGAGAAAAAGCCTGTTTATTTAGTGTTGACAAATCAAATAAATCTTTATTTATTCCTGAACGTTTAGCATGGTTAAGATTGTTGTACGTCACTGTACATACTGGGAATGTAAGTGTATGTGAGTATGTTGCTCTTTCTGTCAACGTGCATATATAATTGTAATATATGACCTTCACCTTGGTATCTGTGGATGTGGCATTGTAATAATCTGTATTCGCCATTTCTAATGTGACCTTCACCTTGGTATCAGTTTGTGGGTATACTATGGTCACTGTATTGCCACTTCCAATATCAGCTGTAACCTTGCCCTTCAACACAGCAGATGTGACCCAGGTTATTCTGTATTAAGGGGCATTCAGATGCGTTGTTCTGGTGTCCTTTTGGTAAAACTAATGTTAAGTTTTGTATTTGTCTTTCAATTTCAGCCTACCATGAATATTCAAATGGATACCAAAAACAGGTTTTGAATATTCTCTTTGTGGAAATATGTCTTCTGGAAATATCATTCGATCATGTCCATTGTCACAGTAAAGTTTGATAGTCCATTGAAACCTTGATAATCTGTCCCAGTAAAGATCCAGGATGGAATTGGCATTCATCAATCTGTGGTGTCGTGTAATTAACGGATCGGTGGTCAGACTCACTAATTTAGTTGCTGCATGTCACCATATCCCAACAACATAGATTGCTGCTCATGACATCAGTCACTGGATTGGCTGGCTCACACTCGATTATTTACAGACTGTTGTCATAAAGTTTGAATGCAGCATTAAAAAACTTGATAATCTGGACCCTGTTAATCCAAACGCCCAACTTTCTCGACAATTATTTTTGAGAATGCCCATGTGAATCTAAAGGGTTATTACAGTATATTCATTAATCCTTAAATCTGCCAACCCGATGAACTTACCCGCAAACAATGTCATCTGGATTATCGAGGTTTCACTGAAACAGTACTAGTTGAATGTTGCCCTGATGGATGTAGGTTCCTATTTTACAGAAAAGTTAGTCGACCCTAAATTTTTCCCAAACACAAGCTTAAAAAAATCTGGAAAACTAATTTGGTCTGGATGAAGGGTGTTTGAAACTGTTAACAACACTTATTTCTACACTTTGTAAATGTGTTATAGTTTGTAGTGCTAATTTACAATACAGGATATGTGTCAACTTTTTTCTAAACAAAATTCATTGATTGATTGTTGAGATGGACATCTGTTATATGTAGTGCTGTGTCCTGCCGGTCCCAGTTAAATGTTTATAGAAGTGTTTCTGCACTGCACTGCACACACTGGTTACTGTACTTAGTAGAAGTGCTTGCAGAGTAGTAAGTGCTGCTCAAACTCAGGTAGTATCAAAGTGCTATATTTAACTGAATATAATAATATTACTTTATGGGTGTTTATTAATATTACGCCATTGGATTTGTGAGTAGAATCTAAAGTTTAAAATTACTAATGGAATTATTATTATTGTTTATTGAGTGGCACAATGTTGTGTTCTTTTAGTTCGACATTTTTACAACTCCTGAGACTGAGATCATTTACTTTCCTGCTGTCATTGACATGGGAGTTTGTGACTGGGAATGAACACTTATGCTGGGTGTACTTTTATCAGCTGATTTGGGAGATGAGTACTGGGATGAACTTTGCTGATGTGGAAGTGAGTGACTGGACTGAAGAAAGACATGTTGTATTATATATGTGAAAATAAGTATGATAAGGGGGTAGAGATACTGAGGTACACATTATTGGTACATCTTGTACACCTGAAACAGTCCATGTTACTTAAAGCAGAACGATCATGTTTAATTAATATTTTCAGAAAAAATTATATTTAAGTATAACTGTTTTGAAATGTGTTACCTTTTTTACTTCATTTAAAGCTCATGTAGGGTTTTAGCTCTGTGGGGAGGGGGGTGGGGAATGGAGTGGTTGTTCGGCGAAGCGCCAGTAAAATATCAGATTAACTCGCTGCGTTTACTTGCCTGGAGCCCGTCTGTAACCTGTATGTATCCAATCATGTTATCCTTTGTATCGTCTGCTCATTGGGTGTAAGATGATCAGTGCAGAATTGTGTGGAAATATGAAGATGTGTGATTATTTCTGTGAAAGTGAAAATACAAATTTATGTTTCAGATATTTATTTTGGCACTTGTGTTTTCGAGAAAAATGCTCATTCATGACGATCTAAATTTGTAATAAATTCATACAAGTGATTTTTGTGTTGTTTTGTTTAGTCTGGATCAAGTGGATTCTTTTTTAGAAGTTTACAAGTTACGCAGATCGATACTCGTGATGTCAATCACTGGATTGTCTGGTCTAAACACGATTATTTACAGACAGCCGTCATTTAGCTGGAATATTGCCTATTACGTCAAACAACGAAAACGCTCAGTGCTTTCGATGCCAATTTTAGGTTTACGCCCGACTTCACTGTTCATCAATACATTTTGGGTTTATCAAGACTAAAAGAATAAGTGCATGTACCGTTTAAGGAACTTATCCTCTTGTCCTCGAGTGCATTATATATCCATTCTATTATTATATATACCGAGAACCCATTCGTTGTATTAAGTTCGTTACCAACATTTGTTTTTGTTCACTTGCTCATATTGAAATACGACAACAGAACTCGTTTATCTTATGACATGTCTTGTAACTGTTCAATGGCAAAACCTTTTTGACTTCTGTTATAACTGCTTCCTTTGCTTCTTCGCATCAAAAATGACCTAGTACTTTCGACCATCTGGAGGATGAGAAATTGGTTTTAACGTCGCGTGCCAGAATATTGCACTTACATACCGACGTGCATGCACGCGCCTGTGAGTGGCTGCTTGTATTGGTCAGGACCAATAAGGTCGATTTTATAGTGCGAGCCAACTGAGATTTCATGCCGCAATTTAACATGAATACCCAACAGAATACCGACTCCGAGCCGACAAGTCCTTGTACCATCTTTTAATGTCTTTTGGTATGACGCGATCGAACCCCCGACCTTCCGCTCTCCGGAGACGGTCCCACATGATTTTTTCATATTACAAACGTTAATCTGTCTTTGGCATTGCAGATTAACTACAGTAATATGAAATAATCGGGTGTCCCTTAACGTCGTTTGAGTAGCATATTAAAATACATCAGGGCGCTGGTAAGCATTTCCCCGGTGTGTTTATATGGAATGGGAACTGTTCAGACAAGCTTTGTTTATCGAAATATCACAATAAAGACAAACTCCAGGGTATATTTTCTAAAGATAAATAATTTAATTGATTATTTATACAAGACAATGCGTCCCAGCACGGGTTACAGTGGTGTGAGGGACGACCTTGCTACACAACACAATATTTACAATAATCTCAACACGATCCTTGATAGAATATTATCGCTCTCCAGGGTGGCACCAAGTTGATAGACTTGGTAACAGAGTGACACCTAGCGGATGGATCATATTCATATCTATTGTATAGTAAAATCAAGCAAAACAAAATTTGAGGAAAATACTGGTGCACTTCGGACCAGTTGAGCTATTGATTAATAACATAAGGTTCAAATGATGTTAAAATGCATACACATATCGGAAAGTTACTGTTAATCTCAATGCTGATTGGTCAGATGAAGCCATATAACGTCACAGTGCTTTATGTTGAGAAAAGTGCGTCTCCACTGACTCCCACAGCTGTCGAAGACTTCTGCACTGATTGCGGTGACATATATTTTATGGATTGTATCTTGAGTAGAACGCATTTCAAATTTAAAAACCTAATTTATATGTATTACACAAATTAGGGAGCAAACATGTTATTCTTCAGACCAGCGGTTGCACAACTTCGAGAATGGCGATATTCTTTTCAAAGCTAAATATAAACATGTACAGGACGATGTTCATGGAACACTGCATACAGCAGCCTGATTGTTTTACACCTGATGGAACAATACAGACTCACAACTAAAGCTATATTGCCGAACTAGTGTGTGAATACACGAGTTATCATTTCTCGAGTACCGGGTAAGTGTTTCAGCCTTGTGGCACAGTGTTACCTAACGGAATAACATTGTAGCGAACTGTTACCTAATTGAATGACAATGTAGCAAACAGTTTCTTAACGGAATAACATTGTAGCAAACTGTTACCTAACGGAATAACATTGTAGCAAACTGTTACCTAACATAATAACATTGTAGCAAACTTTCCTAACGGAATGACATTGTAGCAAACTGTTACCTAACATAATAACATTGGAGCAAACTGTTACCTAACGGAATAACATAGTAGCAAACTGTTACCTAACATAATAACATTGTAGCAAACTGTTTCCTAACGGAATTACATTGTAGCAAACCGTTACCTAACATAATAACCTTGTAGCAAACTGTTTCAAAACTGATTAACGTTGTAACAAACATATAGTTCTGTCATGGCGACAACAGATGTAGCACCTGCTTGAAGTTGGCTCTGCTTGAAACTCTGGCGTAGCTGATCAAATAAAATTAAAATTAAAAATAATGTATCATTTATTGATGTGTAACACATGTGGCACGACCTTCTATTTCAGTGTCAATAATGGCTCTGCGTCGATTAATCTCAGCAATTCAGGAAATGAAACGTAATTATATACCAAATTGCTAGCTGAAACGTAAAAGAACAGAAATGATTCATAAACTTTCTGTGTGATAAAAAATAACTCCAAACCACGAATATCAGAGCTATATTCACGCAATGGGATATTAATGGGTCAGCTGTGAGAGTGGAAGCGTGAAACCTACGTTTTGCCATTACGAGATGGTGGGTGACGAAATACGGTTGTCGTTCCATTTATTCGAAATAAATAAAGGGCTTAAAATACCATAGTCCACGCATGCTTGAGTGCTATAATCATAAGAATACGTAAATATCAGTGTTGTTACAATGTTGTTACGTCATAATACACCTTACGTCATAATACTATGTTAATACGTCATAATACAATGACCATACGTCATAATCTATGGTGATGACATAAAATCATAGTGATACGTCATTATACCATCGTGCTACGCCATAATTCCATGGTGATGCGTCATTCTACCAAGGTGACACATCACAATACCATGGAGATACAATGGCGATTCGTTATAAAACAATGGCAATACGTCATAATGCCATGGTGATACATCACAATAACACAGAGACGCGTCATAACACAATGGTGATACGTCATATATGATATAGACCAGACAGACCGGGAAATGTTTTGTGAATAAGTGCTGAATTCAAATGAGTATATGTAAATCGTATTTATAACAAAATGGCGCCCCTAAAATTATTCCTTTCAGATATTAAATCCCACTTCCAACGAATATTTGTTGACAGGCCGCAATAAATCTCTTTGAGAAAGCACTTGAGAATTCCTTACTTTTGAGGGATTGTTTCTTTTCTCAAACCAAACACAACAAAAAAATCGCTGTCACTCTTGACACAATGTCCGTCAAACTAATAATCAATTGGTGATGACCTTTCGAACATCTCCGTGCGTCTGTCAGTATAACGTTATATCAAAACAAGTAATGTGTTCGAGTCCCCGCACAGCACCCGTGTTACTTTGGTGATACAGGTTCAATGTGTACCACTGATATATTTAAAAGGAACTATACTTCAATAATTCAATCTTTGTATTCACCAGAAGATTCATTCACACTCCAACATAACTTCATCCCTGGACAGACTAATCCATAACCCACACCTTGTCACGTCATAGTGTCTAACGTCTTGTATACCGTATTTCCTCTAAAAAGAGTTCTGGAGAATTCCAGTACAGAAGCTGAGTCTCGTCTCTGATTTCTTTCGAGAAGGCAAGAATAAGTTTGGTAATGGGGGAGAAACAAGCGCGGATGCAGCCTTTTTTTCTTTTTTTTCAGCTCTCATGTCCAGACCTTACCCCTTGACACATTTCTGAATAGAGGAAATTCGGTATCTATCCTTATTTCATGACACAGAATATACCTGCTACCCCCGATGTTTGGATCAAACCTAGCTCTAACTATTCACACACCGAACCATCTCGTACATTGGCGGTCTGTCTAAACATGGCTACACATATCTACATGTCGGGAGTTACACAAGGTCACATGCTCTCTCATGGGCGCCATGTTTGTATCTTGGTGGCGCTGTTAAAACTGACGATTGGCTTCCTATGGTCGGGTGAGACACCTTCCAGGATCAACGACGGATTTCTTGCTCCTGTGATAACAATTCAATAACGACGAACACAATTATATGCCAGCGGTCGAAACTCCTCATTTGAATCGCTTTACTGAAGCAACTGTGACTTCTTGAATATGAGTACTAGTTCAAAGTCAGATCTACGTCAGAACGTATCGTTTAGACGACTACTGCACAGGTAACTGGCGTTAACTTAGACATAAACAATCTCTCAATTACCGCATTTCCAAACACAACCCTGAATCTAGATACACGTAGTTACTAATGCACCATATATTTATCCTTTACTCGCCACTGTGGTTTTGATTGTTTTAGAAGCGTGTGTTCAGCAGCAGTCATGAATAACCGTAACTATACACTACTCAAGTTTTGATAGGGGTGTTCCCATTGTGTCATGAGCGTTACTTTAACGCCGCTTTGAACAGTATTTCAGTTGCATCACGGTGTGTCAGCTTGAGGTGGGAGAAAGCTCAAAATAATGCAAGTCTTTGACGTTTTCCACTTTGGTGATTCCCCCGAACACGGGTATGGTGCTGACAAACCGAGAAATATAATCAAGGTAATTCTGGGATTCGAACCCGCTACCATAGGTTGCTCTTGCTCCAAATGGACATTACTCTGTACAGCGAATTGCGACGCCTTTGACGACTGGCCCACCCGCTCCTCCAATTATTTCATGACACACTGAACGTATAACTGATAATTTGGAAGTTATTTGGACAGGAAGGCTTCGGTACCTCAGTTACCCTGTCTGAAGTTGAGTAGTACATAACATAACTATATCAGAAGAACGCAGCGTCCTGTTCAGTCTCAGGTGTTTCCCCATTAACTGCGTGACTAGAGACGGTGGATGACACGAACCCATTGACTTGTGGTTTGCTAACATCCGACTGACTGTTTGAAGTGGACACCTCGGAAAAATCAGAGTCGAAAGACATATCAAAATCCTGTAAGTCATCCTCGTTCTCGGGCCAGGGCCCTAGACTCTGAATACCAGGTTTGGGAGACGGCACGTCAGGACTTGACCAGGCGCCATCTTTACCGTCGAAATAATAAGTCTGATCGTCCGGTCCAGTTTGTCCATTGGCTTCAGAAAACGTGAACCTCTGTCTGGCACCGGTCTGTTCTGGGGCATGCTCCGAGTAGAAGGAATCATTGTGGTCGATATGTTCTACTGGTTTTAAATGCTCTTGGTTAGCGTGGTTATCACGGTCACTATTATTATTATACACTTGATGGTCCACACTATTCGCGTTATAGTGAGGAGAGGCCGGGGGGCCATCCTCGGAATAACCAAACGTCCTGAAAGGTGTCAGTCCGTTGACGTTCTCTGTTGTCGGGTTGTTATAGAAGCGGCCGAAGCTTGTTAAGGGGCCTTTATAATTCTTCTCGTACTGCTCTAACTCCTCCTCGGAACATTCTTCGGCTATAGGTTCAGAGACGCCGTTGAGCGGTATGGTGTCAGACCGGCTGTCATCGAGTCCAGGACGATCTGAGATAGAGCTTGCTCCGGAGGACGACCCAGACGAGACAACGGCTTGCGTCTTGAACACAGTGCCTGCAGCGGCGTCAGCCTCCGTACCACCTTCACTAACAGTCTCTTCAGGTTCCTCTCTAATGGATTCGAAACACAGCCCTAATCCCCCTGGTCCATAGCCCGCGGCATAGTTTAAAGCTAGAGCTTCTTCAAAACCTTTGTCAATGTCTGTCCCAAACTGTACAGCATTGGGGTTGCCAGAAGCGTCCGGATAAGCTGTGTTTAGTGACTCACCAGACCTGGGTGAGAGATCATCTTCGTCCATCCAGGGCGGACGTCTCTCCTCTCGGTATGGCTCCAGAGTTATCGAATGATCACTTCCGGGAGTACCTGGCTCTTCGTAATGCTCCACCGCACCAACAGGCACTACATCAACATCGACGTGCCCGGAAACATGATGCTCCGGGTCTGTAGTACTCTCTTTGGTCAACTCCTCCAAACCAACACAGTCTGAAGTAACTCCGCTTAACATTTCCTCAAATGCATCGTTCATGTCCATGGACATGCTAGTGTCGGCCACGGCGGTGTGTTGGGTGTCGAGGATGTTGTCGATGTCATCGTCACCGTAGGTGTAACTGGCGCCTTCACTTTCACTCTCCTGGTGGCGAATACGGGGCATATTGTCTGTCAGGCTGTCATGGTGATAGTCACTTGACATGTAATAAAGACTTACATCACTTCCGGTTTTTCGCTTCTCACGCGGCTCAACCCGTTTGGGCGAAGCCAGTTTATTTTCACACGGAACCTCGTCTCCGTCAAAAGCTTCATTTACAAATATGGCAGGAAGATGCTTGCGTCTCATCTGTTCCTTCCATTCAACACGGGAGGAACTTGACGCTGTCCGCCTCAAGTCGTCCCCCCTTACCGGGGTTGACAGGAGGGACTTGGACGGGCTGGCGGGACTTGACTCCCTCATACTGTTCCTCCCACTATCACTCTGCCGTGACGTCACGTCGTGGTTACCGCCGTGTTTAGCGCTGTGATTTGTCATAATAATCATCCCATCATCTAAATCTGTTGTCCGGATTTCCAACATGCCGCCATTTCTGTTATCACCATGCACGTGGTTTACCGCCCCTTGTATGACGTTGCCATTAGCCCTGACGGCTTGTCCGTTGGCGACGTGGTTGGAGTTGCCTCTGTCGGTGACGACTGCTGTCTGTCTGCCCGGGGCTCTGGACGCCACGCGGACAGTCTGACCGTCCACGTCCCGTACCTTCCTTGTGTAAGACTGTAGTGTGCAGGCAGAAGGATCTGGAAGTATAACAATGACGCTTACTTTAGCTCGGTACTGTATTCTCGTACTTTACTGTTCACTGAGTAACCGTCACATGTAAATCCAACAACACATGAAATTATATTTATAAATACGTTCTTATATTTGAGAACATGAGGAATGAACATCAGAGAACTTAAGAGATTAACTGACGACCCAATCAAACACTAATCTTAACGAAAAAAATAGTTTGATGTTTTGTCGAATACATCTTGTTACATTCGTGTTAAAATGTAGAAATAGACAAACATATACGAGATGTGAGTAATAGAGATAGATGCATATTATATATTTTACAGAACGTTATATAAACAACAGAGGTAATATTTCAATGAGTAACATAGAAACATCCTGTGTAATAAAAAGCTCTGTGTCAGAGATGCATTTGAACTTAACTGTTTCAGAAATATCCTTGAGAGACCAAGAACAAATAATAAATTATATGTAATTAAACAATTTAAGATAAAATCAATTATTACTAAAGTACACATTTTAGTATTTTGATGAAAGATCAGTGATAGACGACACAAGCACAGAAGGTTCTTGCAACACATGATATAAACTAGATGGCCGCCATGACGACACTCGCCTACAACACGGCATCCAATAATGCATCAGTCTGTTTCATTACATAAACACTAAACTTTCGATTCCATACAATGAACTTCTTTAAGTGGCATTTAGAAGTTGGTGTGATGAAGTAAGACAAGTTCTATTGATGAACAACTTCTTTATTACAATTAGTGCGACGTTTCGGTGTAGATCCTAACACCTTTATCAAGCAAGTGATCATCTCGTCTTACTTCTCCATACAATGAACATGTTTCAAACGAAATTAATATGGCATGTATTTTGTGGTTATTGTTGAGAAATTCGAACAGTTAACAAGATGGCATCCACACACACAAGCAGACGCACCTGGGACACATGCACGTGGCACATGCAAATGTGCACGTGACTTAAGGAAAAAATTACCTGAAGGCCTGGTTATGTGTCCAAGCGACCGCACATTTACCCAAATACTTATTTCATCGCTTTCATAAGCTTAACGCCGCACTCAGCGTTTGTTCCAGCTAAATGAAGGCGACCTGTAATTAACTGTGTCTGGATCAGACAACCCTGTGGTTGATATTATGAGAAACCATCCACGCCGTCGGGGTACGTTGACAGGCAATGAACCAAGTCCCAGCGTCTGGCCATTTGGTCGCCTCTTAAGACCAGCAAAGGTTTCTGGGGACAACATCCTACCCGGAATCAGTACTCCAATCAGATTCAGTATTCAGTGTGTGAGTTGGGTATCCATGTTGAACTGCGGCATGTTCGAACGCACGGACACCCATACGCAAGAACGCACGGACACGCATACGCAAGAACGCACGCACACACGCACGCACACAATATATAAGTGAAGTAAACTTGAACGCGAAGTTAACCCCCTGGATGCCAGAGGGACATGTATGTCACAGTTTTGACAATTTCCTGTTCTGTGACATTATCTACTGTCTTTTCAGGGAAAACAAAATTACTGAAAAGTACCTCTCAAAAATAAGGCACATCGTAAAACTCGCTATTTGTAAACATTACTAAATCACCATTCACGGCGTTATTTACAGTATCGTTTGAAATCGAATGTAGGTCCTCGCACAACGTTCACTATTAAGATCTTATGAAAATGTGCGTCAGAAAAACAACGCGGCATCCAGCGGATTAACCCACATTTGACGTCACCTCACTTTTGTCAAATTCACGAAACGGGCTTTGGTGCTGACAACCCCCGGGTCATGATTAGAGGGACCCTTGGAGAGGAACCCACAAGCAGCTACGACTCTAATGTCTGTATATCATCTTAATAAAGTAATTATACTAAACTTACATCAAACTAAAGTCCGTACATCAAACTAAACTGTAGACTTCAAACTGCGTACATATATTGTATATATACCACAATATTATGTACATCAACTCAAAGAAGCTGCAGTTTGTGTGCTGGATTCATCAGTTTGATACTGGAATAACAGGGAAAGAGATTTATCAAATTACATTCCGTGATCTTCAGTTTGACATCAGTAGCGGTTATATTACATCTCTATTTGACAACGTTGAAAGCGAATCCGATTCAGTCAACGATATATTTCAACATTTCACTGTTTCTTTTCTAAATTTATCTCCTTTTATCGATACATATAGGTCTCAAGTCATTATATATGGGTTTCACAAGAGGGGAAGAAGTGAAATTGGGTTGAGTCTGAACATGGAGAGAGAGGATGTTTGTATTAATCTGGACTAATGCCTGTTTCATAGTGCTCGCCCACTGAGATACCATGCAGCAGTTTAACATGGATACCAAGCTCAGACACAGGCTACTGACGTCGAGCCGACTGGTTCTTGTTTTATCCCATTAATGTCGAGCGCCAGGCAGGGAAACAACAAGTATCATCTAACGTCTTTTGGTATGACGCATCCGGGAATAGAACCACCGACCTTCCGCTTCCCGGGGAGACGTTCTTTCCACTCGACCACGGATGCGGTTTTCATTCAACATCTGTAGGAACATTACATGACAAGTATTGTTTGCCTTGTTTGTTGTTTAACGTCGCGCTCAGCAACATTTCAAGCTAAATGACGTCGGCCTGTAAAAAATCGATTTTGGACCAGATAATCCAGTTGTTGATATTATTATCCACCAAGTCATCGAACCCCACCACCCCTTCCATTAAGTCGCCTCTAAGTGGAGGTGGTATATTCTCACCAGGAATCCCCTCGGGGATACACAACAACAAGTGACAAGAGACATTTGGCAGTGAAGTGACATTCCTGTGATTGAACATGTAGAAGTGACCAGGTCGAACGAAGACTGAGACGTAATCGTGACGTAACTGTGACAGAAGTAATGTGTCAGATATTGGTTTCCTTGTTGACAGACAAAATAAGGATACGAATGGAATCTTGTGATGATAATGTTTCGTGTTTTATCTCCAAGAAAAATAATAAAGTGAAGACTAAAGTGAAGAGAAACTACAGCAACTTCGTGTCTGAATATTTGAATTTACCGGGCGACTCACTTGGTCTCCATATTCCTCGTCTCTGATTGGTCGGTTCCGGCCACAAGGTGTGCCGGAAGTTGACCATTTGCGCTGCAGGGGTTATCACAGGCAGGTCAAAGTTCACATACAGAAGCAACGTCCAGTCTAATCACTAATATATGATACTCCTACAGATCCGTATACATTAACGATGATCCAGAATATTTGGAAACTATTTACTACTTCATCTATGAATCTGTCAGTCAGCTACAGAGAATTATATAGATTTGTATATAGTGAGAATGTCATTGCTCTGCTTACTAATATAATCTCTATCAGTATAAGATTACGAAAGCTTCACTGATCTACGAATTGTAATGTTTACAAAAAATAGGATTAAAATTCATTTAATGAAATGTTTTCAAAATATTAAATACAAATAATGTTGTCATTCCATTGTATTCTAGTTATACCACGACATGTCAGTTAAATGTGGGAGGAAATTGATGCAAGTCTTAGATGATTACCACTCTTGTTAAAAACCCACGAGCACGGGTATGGTGCTGACAAACCTAGAAACGTAAACTGGGCGAACCGTGATTCGAACCCACAATCATAGGTTTCTGACGTGTTCAAGGAACGCAACTCTGCATTGAATTGCGGGACCTTAGGCGACTGGGCCACCCGCGCCCAACAATAAAGTTTCGAACTGAATTGAATAAAAACATCGTATACTCTTGATACGCTCCCTGAACATCCTAAGGTGAGTATTATTGGGTGATGGTGATGCTTTTTTCTAAAGATTTCAGGAGGTGGATTGCCTGTGACACGTTCCTAAAGATTTCAGCAAGTAGAAGCATTGTGTTATTTTCTTTTAAAGAGTTTAGGACTTGAGGCATGACGAGATTGTCACACTTACACATGTGCTTGATCTTTACTGAGTGTTTGAGACTGCTTTTGAAGTCCACTGACTTGTCGATTTTATTTGACGGACAGACCTCAGGTCATCGAGTTCGTTGACTTTGCTAAATCAATATAAGCCGGATGAAATCCCGTAGTAATTATAGACACACGCTACCGTCAGTTAGCAATAAATACCCTCTTGGTCATTGGTAACGATTTATATTATTTTCTCTACAAATGTGTATAATAATGCTAACAACGCTAGATCCCATTGAAAACCCAAACGCTCAAATGGCTGGTATTGAGCAGGTCGTAGTCAATACTTCGCATTGTGAATATGAAACAAAATATGGTTAATCAAACCCTTCCATATCCACAATTTTGTCCTGAAACTTTCACAGGGAAAAATACTTTCTGGGGACAATTTCGGGAAGGTTTAGATTATCTAGCCATTGCATCCTATTCTTTCTCTCTGAACTGGAAGTGCACGGCACACTGATTAATATTGGATGTTCTTTGTGTAAAGACGCAACTTGATGGAATGACCTTGACCTGTAGATGACCTCTACCACATCATTGTGTCATCCCCAGCAAGGTCAGTAAAAGTCGAGTCGTAATTTTCAAGAGTGAGTATTGACCGAATCACTACTGGATTACCTTCTTCTTCCGCTGCAGAATCTCGGAGAACGTAGACCTTCCACGTATAGATGAGCGCGTGCCTGTAGCGTTTGCTGATGAGCCAGAATGCGTGCGGTAACGTGAGCGACTGCACCAGCAACAACCACTGCACTACCATCTGGACAAGAGCTCTGTTTGGTTTCTCAACAAGCTGGCTGAACTCAATTAGCTGTGAACAAAAACAAATACCCTTCAGAAAAAACAACAACTTACATTCAGAAAAATATCATTGATGACAACGAGGTAATGAATCAAAGGACAGGTCATTAAATGTTATTTAATTAAAAAGTGTGTAAAGAAACGTTCAAAATCCATGAACATACAACTACACGCATGCAACGACCAAGAATATTTGATTTAACGGAAGAGATGATGTCTGTGTTATATATATGGGCCCACTCGGCTTATTCCGCCACCAACATAACACTGTGGCCAGCAATGGAGTAGGGATATTGCATGAATTCTCTGAAAACCGCTTAACAGCAGATCATACCGCATATAGATCTTCTAACATGACAGACATTTTTCAAGAAAGTTACATTCGTAAATAAGGACTCTACGCATGTGCACATGTAGCCTGGCACAGATGTGTTTGGGGCCGTCATAACCAGTAAGAACTTTACAACATATTTCATCCGCAGCCTCTTGGTTGAAATCGTTAAGCTTGCTGCGCGTACAAACTGTGGAGCCAGTTTAGGAATACGTGTGTGCAGATATGCTATCTTTATATATTTGGCGCAGCCTTGGGACCAAATATCGGACTCAGAACAGGTCTAGAGAAATCCCTGTATTATCAATCTGTCTGTCTGTTTAGCGTTGGGGTGACAATATGATGAAAATGACCCACCAATAAGTTCTAGACAACTCTTGCCTTGACTATTTTCTAGAGCAAACTGCATAGTGACCTTGACATTCACACACGGTGGGTGCAACCGGGAGGACAGCACGTGCACACCCGTTTCGCGGGCCCCGGGTGTCATCACTGTAATGTTACCATGGTTCGTTTTGTATTCTTATCGAAGGTCAGAGAGTTGGCGGTTTGGGTAGCCTTATGGTACAAGCGTTCCCTCATCACGCTGAACGCCCTTGTTCGATATACAACATTTTACAATATCTGAAACCCATTTCTGGTTCATTATTGCTAAAAGTAAAATTCATCTTGCATATTCGACATTTCCTCCAATTTATATTTATGCTTTCATATGTACATATCTGAAAATGTCGTTTGTATCAATTACAATATTTGAACGCACTGCACTGATCATGTGCTAATTTCGATGTCTTTTCATTCTTGGTTCCACTGCCACGCATAGCCATGAATGACACTGGAGAATCTAAACAAGACTTAACATTATTGACATTCTTTGTGGGAATTATTCAGTTTGTTGGACACCAACACCGAAAACTTCACCCTTCTGTTGTTTACCTATTAATTCACTTGTTTCCAACATGGCGGCAGACGAATCATTTCTTGCGCCATTTACGTTAATAACAATTTGACGCGAAATTTGACTGCATCTGGTTGAAATAGTTCAAAGGGTGAGACAAAACCATGTAAATAAATACAGATGACTTAAAGCAATGCCGCTGGCCAGTGAAGCGAGAGGGGGGAAGGAGGCAGGATGGGGCCCGTCTCAATAGACACTGTTGCCTCAGTTGACCGACTTGAGTTGTCAACAGTCTTGGTCAACACGCCGGACATTGTGTCCACTGTGAAGTCAACATGGCGTTTGTTCATCTGGCAACGAAAATACGAAACTGTTTCGTTAAGTCATTGCTCTCAGCTGTGTACCAGTGTTGATTCAGTTAGGTCTATTGTAGCACGTGGCGTGTTGATCGAGAGACCTACAGGAGACACGGTAGTCAATCTCACAGAATATGACCAATATTAGTTTCCCTTCTGCCCAGCCCTTACTGTTATGCTATTGTCCTAAATGAAGCAAGTCTAGATTTTACACAGGTTCTGAATCTCCCATCTCACTGGAGCTCCATTTAAATTTAAATGTTGTTGCTTGTTTTTATCCTAAGAAATTATTGTCAGAGACTAGGCGTAATTCTACATACACGGCAACGGGAGCAATCCACACTTTACTGTCAGGTCTTTATTACTGTGAAGTCTTCATCGTCGCTAAGTCTTCATCGCTTGACAATGAGCCTATGACATCCATCATCCTAAAATAAGGACATGTGAACATACGTCGACGATTAGCTACCAACCATTCAGCTTAAACTCATGCAGTTTCTGTCACAATGCTTCGTATTGTAAAACACCCACGCCTTCAGACATTGAGGACATTTCATTGAGCGATAATGAAGCTACTCTCTCATTGGTCGAATTCAATGTGTTCATACCGTCATCGTCTTAAGGTTCTGCGACTGCAATGAACACGCATATGATGTTTGTATGTTGAGCGGGAGTGTCCTTGAAGCCCCGAGTGGCATCATCGGGTCAACACGGCTGATTCCGTTACAGTCACCGTCTTCACCGTCACGTACGTTCTGCTACACAACACTAAATATGTTGTGATTATGTGGAGCCGGAAGTATCCGCGCAGCACCCGAAGCAGGGAATGGCTTCATCGGGACCACTCGGTTAATTCCGTAAAGGTCGTCGTCTCCACTTCTGTTACACCATCTAACACAAGATGTGTTGTTGGTGTGTGGAGTCGTAACTGTCCGCGTAGCCCCCGAAGTTTCGGAGGGTGTCGGGTTTTATTCAAATCCTTCAACAAGAGGGATCTCATGATCATCCCTTGAATATGTGAAAGCAATATGTCAAAATGTTTCTGACGAGAAAAGCCTGGTGCGAAGGCTTAATTTCACGATGAACTTCATTGTATCTATTTGATTGGCATTCTAGAAGTTCGTGAGTAAATAAGCAAACATACAACCTCACGGATACCAGTTTCACACCGTTATCAAGCTTAAAGCGAGTTTCATGGAGCTTGAAAACGGTGTAAGAATCTTCATCGAAACGTCTCTTCATGCTATAAACTGGAAGTTGTTATCCATAAAGTTGAATGTTTTCTTATCAACACCATTGTACATACGGACATTTAAAACGTATTGTGTGAGGAGGAGGATGCCATGTTCGGTAGGTTTGGAGAAGAGATTTTCAGTGCAAGCCGACGACGAAGCCCATAACACATAAGCTGACAGGAACGATGTCAAGATGACCTCAAATTAAGTTGGTTGTTTGCTAAATTGTATTTTGTAGACTTAATGATGAATCTGAATACTGCGTCACTGTTGCTTTACCCCCATAGTTGACAGGCCAGGTCATGATATTGAACTGATGCTGGGGTTAACTTTCTTTACATGGATTACCGTACAATAATTGCGAGAAGATATGGACAGATGTGCCATAAAGAAAATACAAGGAACGTTTGACCACATACAAATCACGGCTTACATTGAACTGGGACTGGCGGCTGGGATTTGCATAACATTGCGGCGTTGTTACGGTACAACACGTAGAACACCTGTGGAAGGAGTTCACAGATACGTTGTTTGTTTGTTGCTGAGGCAGAAAATGATCGGTTTTGACAAAAGTGTTTGAGTTCTGACACCAAGGTCAGACAACGCATATAGGGATCATCGATGACACAAAAGCACGTTAAATCCATCGCAACATAGCGATAACATACAGCCTGGCATCCCAAGGCAAGTAGTGGAAACACAAGGCACGTTGATTCTTTGGGCACATCCTGATAACAAAGCACGTGCACAGGCGGGCACACGATAACACAAAAGCACGTGGCACATGGTGATATCACAAACACGTAGCGTCCATGGGCACAGAGTAATATCACAAAACATGCTGGGCACATGGTGATCTCGTCCTGCACCATGATTGTGGAATATGTGCATTTTATGAAATAAAACCAATATAGATTTATATAAAAGCAAGTCGTGTTATCTTTATTTGCAACAAGAGCACAGCTACATGAGATACATAGAGGAGATAAAATTCTCTTAGCAGATTGAAATTTCAGTTTCCCGAGCCTAAATTTTACTTTGAAAATATTTGTCACTATGGATGTATTATGTCGGAATAGCATAGCACGGGACCACCAACGTGTCTGTCCAGAGCCTAAATAGATTAGCACAAGGCCACCAATGTGTCAGTCCAGAGCCTAAAAAGATTAACACAAGACCACCAATGTGTCTGGTCAGTGCCTAAATAGATTAGCACAAGACCACCAATGTGTCTGTCCAGAGCCTAAATAGATAAACACAAGACCACCAATCTGTCTGTCCAGAGCCTAAATAGATTAACACAAGACCACAAATGTGTCTGTCCAGAGCCTAAATAGATAAGCACCAGATCACCAATGTGTCTGTCCAGAGCCTAAATAGATTAGCACAAGACCACCAATGTGTCTGTCCAGAGCCTAAATGGATTAGCACAAGACCACCAATGTGTCTGTCCAGAGCCTAAATGGATTAGCACAAGACCACCAATGTGTCTGTCCAGAGCCTAAATGGATTAGCACAAGACCACCAGTATGTCTGTCAAGTGCCTAAATGGATTAACACAAGACCACCAATGTGTCTGTCCAGAGCCTAAATGGATTAGCACAAGACCACCAATGTGTCTGTCCAGAGCCTAAATGGATTAGCACAAGACCACCAGTATGTCTGTCAAGTGCCTAAATGGATTAACACAAGACCACCAGTATGTCTGTTCAGTGCCTAAATGGATTAGCACAAGACCACCAATGTGTCTGTCCTAATCAGATTAGTACTAGACCATTAATATGTCTGTAAAGTTCAAAAAGAGAATAACACAAGACCACCAATATGTCAGTATCATTTGATGCCTGATTATTTCTCTCATGAAAATGTGCATTTATACCCTCGGCAATTCCATCCATCCATCTCATCCCCCATCCCTCCCTCTCTCTCAGATTATCAGAGTGTAATGTGTTTTATATTAGTCGCTTAACATTTCAGGTGGCGCCACGTTCTGTGATGCTCATTGAAAGTCACTAGACGTTACCAGTCATCCCTCCGTTTGTAACCTCATGATAACTGACAGATACTCTTCGCTATTTATTGCCTATTGAAGTCGCGGATAGAAGTACACTCCCTCGAGAATACGGTACTCGTGGAGCACGGTCCATCATGGCGCGGACACCTACAATAACTTAAATGATAGCAAAGTTA